TCCTGTATAAATGTCGAATATGAATCTCGAAGAGTGGAAGACTTTTGGGACATCCAACTCAATGTTAGCGGAAACAAAGACATCGAGGAAAGTTTCCGAGATTACGTCCAGGTTGAGACGATGGATGGGGAAAATCAATATTTCGCTGGAGACGATTTCAAACTGCAAGATGCCAGGAAGGGCGTTATATTCGAGAGTTTTCCCGAAGTTCTTCATCTACAGCTCAAGCGATTCCAGTACGACATCAATCTCGATGCCATGATGAAGATTAACGATCGTTACGAATTCCCCGAGACTTTTGATGCCGCACCGTTCTTATCAGAAGAAGCAGACCGATCGGAGCCTTGGATCTACCAACTGCATGGCGTTCTGGTGCACAGCGGAGACTTGAATGCTGGTCATTACTACGCGTTCATCAAACCTGATAAGGATGGGTGGTTTTACAAGTATGATGATGATAGAGTTACTAAGGCAACATTACGGGAGGTTCTCGAAGATAACTACGGAGGTGCATATACGATTAATGGTCAGCCGCAACTCTCAAAGTCTAATACACCTATCATGCGTCAAAATAGTGCCTACATGTTGGTTTATATCCGACAAACCCGGTTAGACGACGTCTTATTACCAGTCACACAAGCCGACACTCCTCCACATCTCCGTAAGTTGACCAATTTCACACTAACACACTCTTGACTGACAACCAATCAGAAAAGAAACTTGAGGATGAAGCTGCTATTCGAGAAGCACGGAAGAAGGAACGAGAAGAGCAGCATCTCTACCTTTGGGTCAAGGTTATCACTGAAGACTCTTTCAAAGCACATGGGGGAACAGATCTAACCAACTTTGACTACGCCCATTCTGAACAAGCTCCTGATGCACCCTACGCGTACAGAGTTCTTCGGAAATCTACGCTCAAAGAGCTAGCAGTGAAGATTGGGGAGGAAACCGGTGTCGATCCGAGGAGGTTACGTCTTTGGTCAATGGTCAATCGCCAGAACAAGACAACGCGCCCTGATGCCCCTGTACCTGATGCCATTGCCACCTTGGAAGATGCCGTGCAGAGATTGGGCAACAAATCACCAGAATTACGGCTCTGGGCTGAAATCGCCGAAGAGACATCCCCTGACGGAGAGCCCATATGGCCGTCTCCATATGGAGCACCGAATGGAATTGCTCCCAAATCAGATTTAATAGTCCTTTTCCTGAAGTGGTTTGATTTTGATACACAGTCATTGACAGGTGCTGGGCACATCTATATCAGCAGGGAGAAGAAAGTCGAGGATTTGGTACCTGCAATCCTAAAGAAGATGGGCTGGTCTGATAAGACGCCAACAGGTGAAAAGGTTCAGCTGAGGCTATTCGAGGTGAGTTTTGGCTTCCAATTTCCAAGTAGTGTCTCCATTGACAAAGTGCAGGAAATCAAGCCAAACATGATTGAAGCAATGAAGGCAAAGCAATCTCTGAAGGCCGCAGAACTTCAAGACGGCGATATCGTCTGTTTCCAGAAAGCGGTTGATGGAAAAACCTCAGATTCAGATCGAGAGTCAGTCTCCCAAACCTACTCGCATCACAATTGACTGACATAGATAGGAGCGTCAAATCGGGACACGCAGACCATATCGACGTCGCACCTCAGTTTTACGATTTCCTTCTACATCGGAGACATGTTCGATTCTACCCATCCCCTAGAAACGCCGATCAAGAAAGCTACAAAGCTTTCGATCTTACGCTTAGTGCCAAGCATTCTTATGATCAAGTTGCTACAAAAGTTGGCGATCACTTGAATGTCGACCCAACCCACATTCGATTCTGGACTGTTAATGCAACGACGAGTAATCCTAAAGCTTCCGTCAAGCGTGGGCAAGGCCAAGTATTATCGACCATACTCAACCCTCCATATAGTACTTTTAGCAACAATAACCAAAGGGCGGATTCTTTATACTTTGAGATTCTGGACATGAGTCTCTCGGAATTAGACACGAAGAAGACCATGAAGCTCTTGTGGCTCAGCGAAGGCATATCAAAGGAGGAGGAGATCCAGCTTCTTGTTCCTAAAACTGGCACAGTCGAGGACCTCGTCGCGGCCCTAATCAAGAAAGCTCAACTTGAAGACGAGGCCAAAGCTGGGCCTATTCGAGTGTATGAGATCAACAACCACAAAGTCGGCAGAGAGTACGCACGGACGTATACTGTAGCCGGAATTGGCGACTACACACACGTGGTTGCGGAGAGGATACCGGAAGAGGACCTCGATGCCCCCAGTGCAGAATTACTGCATGCTTTCCACTACCAGAACGAGCCAAGCAAAACTCACGGAATACCATTCAAGTTCCGAATTAAGGAGGCAAGTAAAAGAGTTAAAAATCAAGTCGAACAGGTCTAACATATATATAGAGCGAAAGGTTTTCCGATACGAAGAAACGACTCGAGAAGCGTCTTGGTATCAAGGGCAAGAATTTCGAGAAGATCAAGTTCTCGGTGGTCAAGAGAAGCCATTACTCCAAACCTATATATCTCACGGATGGTAAGTTCCCACATGATGTCGAATATTCTGCATTATGCGTCGCTAACGTGGCACAGATGATGTGATCTGGGAGGTAGCTTCCAACGATGATGATATGCTTGGCTTAGACCATGTTGACAGGTCACGCGCGGTACGCAACGGTGCCGGGGATCTGTTCTTGCGGTGAGTGATGATATAGCTATGACAGGGCAGAGAGACACCGCCATCTTATTAACGGGTATCACGCACTTGTATGGATATTGTGGGATGCTGGCGCTTCGGGTGGGCGCGATAAGCCAAACATGTCTTGTTTTGGGGACTGATATGAGAGACATGCGTAGAAGGCTATCCATAGCATTATAAGGGGATATTCTTGCATAGCTGCTGGTGCCGGGGCTGGATCATGCGATGCGGTGCATTTGTGCTGAGATCAAAATACATGCAGTTAATATCACCATTTTCGAGTTGAGTTATCCTAGTGCCAAAAAGCTTTTGTGACAGGTATGTTCTTCATGTTTAATTCAGCTGCATCTTGAACCTCTCTTTTGATCAATTTATACTAATTATTTATCCTCTGACTGAAGCTAAGTACCTCTCTCCTAAACGATTCAATATTTATTTATAACTTCACTTCTTGTACACAGACCCCAACACAAACAAACAGGAGAGGAGATAATGTGCCAAAAGGTAGGATAATAGGAACAAGCTCTGTGTGGAGGAAACCACTCTGATTCCCCTTGGTCGTTGACAACTAGGGTAACGGCTGAGTCTTGACTTTGTCATTTCATCAGATGGATGAATATTTACTTTTAAAAGGTGTTGCGTTGTTATATATATATATTTTGAATCGATTCGTTCATCGCAGGCTAGACGAAAATCGAAACACTTGCCGATGAATCATTCTATGGAAATTGTGTGTTTGTACGTTTCCTAGAGATTGTTGTTCAAGACCTTGCGAGACAGGACCGACGTTCTAGGCTCTCAGGAAAATGGAATTTGCACTTGCAGTCAACTGCCAACTGATTTGAGTTGCTGTTGAATTAACTCTTTCTGTTATATGTTTCGATGAAACTTTGTCTGTAATTGAATTCTTTTGCTCTCTACAAGCCAGCACTTATGGTAGTCTTGCATGCTGTGTTCGAAACATAATTAGGCATTGTCGTTCTAGCTAAAATTAGACGCCACATATCTGGCTGTTGCGCATGATCTTTTTTCTCTCGTTGTAGAGTGCTGAAGTGTGAGTTTGTATTGTTTATATAGTACTATTCCAGGGAGAGGGAAAGAAGTGAATGTAGTGAATGCAGTGGCATGTCAAACCTCCCTCACTGCTCTGTTATAAACATAGTCACTATTCGGGCTTGCACCTACTGCACTCGTGGGAGTAGGGAGTCGTATTTAGCACCTATTGACTTTTACTATAGCCTAGCAGATTGTGGGACCCGAAGCCTCCACGGGTATACAGTTGGCTCTTTCCACAGCTTCCTACAATGTAGCTACACCTCACCCTACAACGCGCATACCACACAGATATTGTCTTTAGCGGCATTGGCATTCGAAGCTACGAGTTGACTTACATCACTTGACCTCTCCGGAATCACTAATGTATACTCTGCTTTCTTTTTGACGAAGAAACTTGAACGTTCCTTTCCGAGGAACTCGATGTTGTTTTTGTTTCATTATCGTCGCAAGTAGTGAATGAATTTGCTGTCTAAAAACCATTTGCTGTAATTAGGATACTCTATTCGTACTAATAAACACCCTTCTCTTTTCCGAAAAGTGCTAAGGAATTTTCTTAAAACGGCTAGAGACTTGGGTTTAAGATGAAGGGTCTCACGTCGAGACCGGATAACAGTTCTATGCTCGTGTTACTTGGCTGACAGACGACGCTGATGACACTCGCAGCGAGCCCCAGGGCCTCTGCCATCGCATTGACTTGAAGATGGTGATATACTAAATATGACTAGGAGTGGGTCGACGATGGAAAATGCAAATAGATAGAAAGAACAATGGAGGTTGGAAATTGGAAGCCTCCCTCAGCCTCGTACGGCTGAGAAATCACGTGGAGGTAGAAAATATGCCTTGCCAATCATCGGAAAATTCCCTGGGGAAATGGAATGATACTGCAGCCTGCTAAAGAGAACGAAAAACAAAGTCGAAATAAGATGCTTCCAAATAGATAATCAGTACATACTTCATACAGCCAGGTACTCCGCCGGTGCCCCTGATATGAGTAGCAAAAACAGTAGATGAATACCAAAGTGCACCGAAAGATTACATGCCGAATAAAATTAGATAGACTTGCACAAAGGTTGACTGCTAAGTGATATGTTCATACGTCTGATGCTTGGGAAAGAAAGTTACTTGAATTAAAAGCTTGCTTCCCCTGAAGTAAGCAAGTGCGCTAAGCCGCTTTAAGATTTCGCGATAAAGCCAAATCTTCAGAACATCCAGCGTCAAACTGCCGTCACTGCAATTGATCAACCCAACAGCCACCATGAAGTTCTCAATTCTTTCCTGCAGCTTTTTGGCCTGCATCTCTCCTCTAGTATCTGCGACGGCCCTTACCTATAAGTTGTCTGCGAACGAGAAGGCATGCTTCTTCTCCAACGTCGAGAACAAGGGCGCCAAAATTGCTTTCTACTTCGCTGTACGTGCCTCCTTTTCCTTGAGCATTTTGGCAACTATACTAATATGACTGGGTGTAGGTTCAAGCCGGAGGATCTTTTGATGTCGACTACGAGGTCGTGGGCCCCAATGACAAGATCATTATGGATGGAAAGAAAGAGCGACAGGGCGACTTTGTCTTCACAGCTGGCGAGACGGGCGAGTACAGATTTTGTTTCAACAATGAAATGAGCACCTTTTCCGAGAAGTTCGTGGACTTCGAGATCGCTGTACGTTTTCCCACTTACCCCTATTCTATGACCCATCAAATGACAACGGCTGACATGTCCTTTCCGCTTGAATTAGGTTGAGAACGAACAGCGCGCATCAATCCCAGCGAAGCAAGGCACATCCCCTGAACAGACATCTGCGTTGGAGGAATCTATATTCAAGCTTTCAGGCCAACTCTCGACAATCACACGGAACCAGAAGTACTTCCGCACGAGAGAGAACAGGAATTTCAGCACAGTTAGAAGTACGGAGAGGAGGATCTTCAACTTCAGTGTTATTGAGAGCTTGATGATGGTATGCATGGCGGGATTACAGGTGTTTATTGTGCGGTTTTTCTTCCAGGTAAGTCGCCCTATTTGCATTGAACTTGTAACGAGGATAGTGACTAATATATGTCTTAGGGAGCAAGAAAAGGATACGTGTGAACTATTAGCTGGGAGTCGGTGTGTCTATAGGAAGCATGGCATGGCATCGCCAGGGGAGTCGGAATTTCTGTAATTTTATGAACCTGAAATGCAAAAGAATAGATTTAATTTCCCTTCTTCCAAACACATTAGTCTCGTATAGTGTGGCTTTCCTAATCTCATAACATTAGATAACTTTCAAGTTGTAAAGTATCACCATTATGATTATATCTAAGTTAGAAACTCCAACATGCGGAGAGTCACTTAATCTGGAAAGGCGCTAGTCGACCTTAGCGTACTACGAGGATTAATCGCGATAATTTGACATTGAGAACACCAACCTCGAAAATCTTCGAGATATCCCCCCACCAACATAACGCCTCAGTCATGACCTCCATATCAGCAGCCCTCTCGCGAGCGCTCCCGAAACCAAAATATACCGGGGAGGAGGAGGAAATTCCCCAGCATGCGCAACAGCGAGGCCCTAGGATTCTGGGAGCAGGCGCTCTAGATGACTCCCAAATTGTGTTAAAGGTTAGCCAGCTAACTATTTCACTACCTTATGAACCTACTAACGAAGGTCTTCAGAAATCTGGACCTCCACCATACGGAAATCGAGCAGGATGGCGACCGCGGAGCCAGGAGGACTATGGAGACGGCGGGGCCTTTCCAGAAATTCCAGTTGCGCAATACCCTTTAGAGATGGGCAGAAAATCACAATCTTCTAGCAATGCACTTGCTGTCCAAGTTGATGCGGAGGGGAAAGTCAAATACGATGCTATTGCGCGACAAGGACACAACGATAAGCGGATAGTCCATGCCTCTTTTAAGGATCTAATACCACTTCGACAACGCGCTGATGCGGGGGATATTAATTTAGATAGACCGAGCGAGGAGGAAGTGGCTGCTTCGACGGAGAGGACGAAAGATGCTCTCGCGAAGTTGGTCAGTGGTGCGGTGGCTGCGCAGAAACCCAAGAACGTCAATTCTGGAAACAGGAAGGAACCGACGTTTGTTCGATACACGCCTGCGAATCAGATGGGGGATAATACAAGGAAGAATGATCGGATTATGAAGATTGTGGAGAGGCAGCAAGATCCTATGGAGCCGCCGAAGTTCAAGCATAAGAAGATTCCAAGAGGTCCACCTAGTCCTCCACCTCCAGTTATGCATTCACCACCGAGGAAACTGACGGCGGAAGACCAAGAAGCTTGGAAAATCCCACCTCCTGTTTCAAATTGGAAGAATCCTAAAGGTTATACTGTCCCGCTGGACAAGAGATTGGCTGCCGATGGAAGAGGATTACAAGATGTCACAATCAATGACAAATTTGCCTCTTTCGCTGAAGCGCTTTTCACAGCTGATAGACATGCAAGAGAGGAGGTCAAGCAAAGGGCATTGATGCAACAGCGGTTAGCAGAGAAGGAGAAGGCACAAAAAGAAGACCACCTCCGACAATTGGCGCAAAAGGCGCGAGAAGAGAGAGCGACGGCGGGATCTGGGAGAAGAGGATCGCGGACATCGAGATCTCGGTCAGGCAGCTACAGCTATTCCGAGTCTAGTTCTGACGACGAGGAAGCGGGGGTCAAGGAGCGAGAAAAGGCGCGCCAAGAAAAGCGAAGAGAGGACGAAAGAAAATTGAGACAGTCGCATATGGGTGCGGAGAAGAGAGCGCAAATGTTTGCTCGAGAACAGAATCGAGACATTTCGGAGAAGGTTGCTCTGGGGTTGGCGAAGCCTACAGCGTCTTCAGAGAGCATGTTTGATTCCCGCTTGTTCAATAGGACGAGTGGTTTTGATTCGGGATTCAATGAGGATCAGGCATACGACAAGCCTTTGTTTCAAGCCCATGATGCTATTAATTCTATCTACCGCCCAAGACAGGGCATGGATGATGGGGATGATGATGAGGCTGCCGAAGCTGAGATGGGGAAGATTCAGAAAGCGAAGCGGTTTGCTGATGCCCTTGGGAAGGGGACGTTTAAGGGCGCTGCTGAAGTAGAGGTAAGTTTCTCTGATTTTCATCGGAGTCAGAGAACTATGCTAATTGGTATGGTATAGGCGAGAGAGGGACCAGTGCAATTCGAGAAGGACACTGGGGATGTGTTCAACGTGGATGACTTTCTGAGCAAGGTTGGCGAGAGCTCGAATAAGCGCGAATATGGACTGCAGGAAGGAGAAGAGCGGTCGACCAAGAGGGCGAGGGTTGACGAGGACGAGGACTAAGTTGGTGTGGTGTACAAAGGCGTTGTAGGAATAGGGAGGAAATGCATTGCATTTATAAGGGCGTCTTTGCTGTATACTTGAAGAACCAAAAATCCACGATGCTAAAACAGGAAACGGACAATGGAGTTCTATCTCCATTCGTTTCTTCCTATTCCTATTGGATTTGGATATTTTGATATCCAAAACGAGCATAGCTCTAGCTACCTTACGCTGGTACTGTACGACTCCCGCCCTACGCGGCTCTTCCCGTGGTACAAAAAAAAAAAGCAAATTCATCCCATCCCGCTCTCTTCAGTGTCACCTGAACTGTCAGCCAAAGCTTAAATTGACCTCAAGCCGATATCATGGCACCGCCAAGCCATTTTAATATCAAGGTCTAGATCTAAGCCTCAAGATTGCATGGTGGAGATGTCGTCGAACTCGCTGACGCGGCGTGGCTGCTCTTATGGAGCTGGCGTACGTGGGCGAATTATACTTTTTCAATGGTTTTTTTTTGATTTGATTTTTGATTTTTGGGACGATAACTCCAGGAGGGAGAAGATGAAATGAAGGTTTTTTTTTTTGGAATCTAGGATGTTTTCTAGTTTTATTAGATGATTCCAAATGGCACGGATTCGGAAGGGCGTAGTTCACTGGGTTGTAGTTTCTAGTTTGTTCGTGAGAACTTAAAATCGTGATCCGAGGTGAGTGGATCTTCAGGGGTCGTCCAGATCTTCCATTTTCACAGCCACCAGGCCCAAGCTCGACCAAATGTTTTTGGGGGGGCAAGAATATTTTCTATTTTCAGCATCTGTTGCCAGACAAGGTTTCTGTCCATGATCAGCATACTTTATGCTATGCTATGTCAATTGGATACTCAAAGCGTGATACGGTCGGTTGTTGAACAGCGCAATAGTCTGCCTCTTCTGACTGAAACTTACTTCGCTCTACTGAACCTTCTCTCGTTTGCCGTGAAACAACAATACTGAGCGCAAAAGCGTGCGAGTGAGTACCGCACCTGGTAGTTGGCCATGCAGCCAATCGATAAGACGAGGAGGGGCAACTCATCCCTTTTCAGATGGCTGGGTCAAACGTCGGTTCACATGCGTCACGCTCCTGGCCCACACCTTCCCCAACACTACGTACGCGTTTTAGCAGCTGGCCGCGTGTTTGGAGACGGAAAGAGCAAAAGGCATATCAAGATGCCTGCTCCCGCTGGTTCGTATCTGCGTCAGCACGCATATCCACTTCTCCATTTATCAGTCGACCTTTTCGTACCCTCCCTTGCTATCTAGCGAATCGGGCTGCTGCGGGATTATTGCGTCGTTGTTTGTTTGATTATTACTCGCCCATTTCATTCATATATCTACCGTTGCCCACCGTGGAGCAACGACAGAAACAAGAATTCCGCCCACTCGAGTATTGGAAGCCGCCAAAAGCTGTCCGTCACATTCGTTCTAAGAGTAGTACTGGGTTTTTGTCGAGTTCAAAGGGGAATAGAAGAACGACCTTTTCGAAGTCGACGGATATAGAAGAGGGCTCGGAAGAAGTCATCGAGAAGCACATGTCGTTTAATACTATTGGGAATATGGCCGACAGGACGAAGAACGCTTTTCATATGGGACCTCCACCGGCGTATAAAGTTGAGGATGAAGATACTCTTTCGCCAAGATGGTATGATGCGAAACGATGGGGGAAGAAAGTATGGATTGCGGTCGGGGCGATTATCGCCATCATTATAATCATTGTTGTGGTGGGAGTTGTGGAGGGGGAAAAGAAGAACGCATACCCCGATTATTCAAAGCTGAGCTACAGTCTCACAGATACAAGTTTGTTCTCTACGCTTTCCCTCTTCATCATTTGCTAATATGTTATCAGTTTCTGGAACCAGTTTCTTCGACGAGTTCGACTACTACACCGGCTACGACCCCTCATCAGGCTTCGTTCACTACGTCGACTCCACAGTAGCAGCGCAATACAACCTTACCTATGCATCCTCATCTTCGGCGGTCCTGCGCGTCGATACTTCCGTAACCGAAGACACCGTACCGAACGCTTCGACGGGCCGCTTTTCCGTACGCATTTCTTCCAAGAAGCAATATAGTGTGGGTAACCTCTTCATCTTTGACGTGGTCCATACCCCTATCGGCTGCGGCACGTGGCCTGCACTCTGGTTGTCGGACCCTTCTAATTGGCCTCTGAATGGAGAGATTGATGTTATGGAGACTGTCAACGTCGTCAGTAGCGCCGCGAACCAGATGACACTGCATACATCTAGTGGCTGTAGTATGGGCGTCAAGCGCAAGGAGACGGGTAAGCAGCTCACCACCTCGTGCGTCAACACTACCGATAGCAATGCCGGTTGCGGTGTCACTGGCGATTCCACAAGCTTTGGGACTGGTTTCAATAGCGTCGGTGGTGGTGCCATGGCAATGGAATTACGCACTGAGGGTATTCGGATATGGCAATTCGTCCGTGCATCCATTCCCTCAGACATCACGAGCGGCACCCCGGATCCCAGTTCGTGGGGAGAGGCAACAGCTGATTTCCCGAACACGGACTGTAACATCGGGACTCATTTCAGCAACCAGAGTATCATCGCGAATATCGATCTCTGTGGGAGTTGGGCAGGTGCGACGAGTGTCTATGCTGAAACCTGTAAGTCTACCCCTTTATTGACTTTCAAGATGGAATGAGGCTAATTGCTACGGTAATAGGTTCTGGGTCTTGCGAAACCCAGGTGGCCAATAATGCGACCGCGTTCACAGATGCCTATTGGGAATTTGGAAAGTTCTCTATTTATACCGCCTCGTGATCTCACTTCTGTCGCTCACGATGTAGGATTATTTTGTTTGTATTTCAGCTTGATGCGATTATGGAAGTTAGATCGGACTTGCCGTGGCTTGGACGAGAAATTAGATACCTAGGTCAAATATGGCTGGCGTTTTGGGGTAACGGTTTATAATATTGAAAGGGTGCGCTGGTCGTGGTCGATATTCATGAAAATGATAGTAGGATGTACGGCATTCAAAAGACCGAGTATCAAGCTCGTCAATAGAAAGAAATATTAAAAGAATATGTTGGTTTCACCTAATGCATTAGGTTGGCCTAGTAATCTGTGGTTTTCATGGTTGCATTTCTAGGTGTAGAAGAGGTTTCTAGCTAAGGTTGCAGCGATGTGGGGATAGCCTCATCGCTGCTTAGTCATCAAGACTAAGTCACGTATGCCACGTGACATATATCCCAACAGAATACTTGTCTTGAATTCTACCTATCTTTGACGTTCAATATTCTCATATTAATTTAGTTTACTTTTCTCTTGAACATAAATAAAATGCACAGAGCTCCGCTACATTTAGAGCTACAAAACCACAACAGAAAGTTCATCCGAAGCATCTGAGAATAGAAAGCCGATAGTATAACCGTTGCACGACATGAACAAGTACAACATACAAAGCCCATGGGATGGCTCAAATTACTTTGCTAGCCATTCATCAATAATAGCTTATTACCTTGCAGCAGCCACATTTGATAGAATCTCCCTGGAATTACTCACGTGTGATCAAAGGCAAACTTGCCGTACCTTCTTGAAACCGAGGTTTTAGGAGATACTCCCGCTAGAGCTGCAACTCTCAAGTATGTGATCTTTACAGAGTATTGCAGTGTTATACTGTAGCTGAGATTCTTGATAACTAGCCCAACTCCCACGCCAAAGGAGTCTATCTTCTTTACAACATACCAATACATAACTTAACAAAGCTAACCCAAAACGCCATCGCCATGCCCATCTTAACACATATAATACCTTCTTTCTTCAAACCTACAAACACCGCCTCTACTCTCCCACCTATCCAATTCCATTCCATTACCCTTCTCTTCTCTTCTCTCTTCCTATCTTCTCCCCCCGCATCCACGTCCACATTACAACCTAATCCCCATCACTAGGCCTCCTCATATACGAATCAATAGCAGCACTGAACGCCGCGAAACCCGCACACCCAACCAACGCAGCCTGTGGGCCTGCCGGCGCAGCCAACACGCCCCCCGTTATACACCCAGCCATAACACCATTCGCGAGATCGTTCTTCGCGCGGAAGCCTTCGATGCAGCATTCGGTGCCGGAGAAGATGGCGCCGACTTTGCCGAAGTTCTTGGCTGAGGATAGGGAGCGGGTTCCGAGGTCTTTGAAACCTGTGGGAAGGGGAGAGAGGCGTTAGCTGTTTTCTAGTATTGGGAGTAAGGGGTTTGGTATTTGATGTGATGGGGGGTCAGGATGGGAGGGGAGGGAAGGGAAGGGGAACAAACCTTGTTTTATCTGCTGTCGTAATGGTAGAGATTGTATGTTCGCTGCAACTGGGTTTGTGGATAGAGGTGTGTCGTAGGACATCGAGGCCATGAAGAGACCGAAGGCGCCGCCGAGGGCGAAGCCCATTACGCCGGACACTGCAGTTTTCCCAGGGCAAGATTCCATCACCGCTTGCATCTGTCAGGGGGCATTATTAGCTTAAAGCTCTCGAGGGGATATGGTGAGGTTGGGCGAGGGTGCAAGGGGATTGGAGAAAGGGAACGTACGGCTTTCACGGCGGCCATGGTTTGCTCGTCGCCACGCCCATGTTGGGATGGCCATTTATACCCCCTGGGTTGGATAGAGGACCGTTCATCGTGTTTGCGATTCGAGTGGGTGAGAGGGATGGGATGGAGTACTGTAGGAAGTGAAGGACGGGGTTGGGAATTTTTTGAGATAAGATTCTGCCGGGTGAAGCCGCTTTGAAGCGAGGCTGAGGGCAAGGCTTTGGATTGGATTGTAATCCGACAAATTTTGTCGAAACCGTAAAATTAGATTTAGATCTATGAAACTAATCGTGATACTATTATGTACGGGTATCTAAGCTATGTACTTCTATAAATCTGTATGTGTATGTGCAATGTATTCCAGGCGCTGCAAATCGTCTCTACTCTAACAATGCATCCCCCCTCTACCTTTCCTATATTTACGTGACTTGTGCAGTAAACTTTCCCCTCTTCCTGATACTCGGTCCATAAATGTAAAACAGGTACGGAATTGGAATCAACGCAACGGCTACGAACCCTAGTAAGCTGCTCGCCCATGGTATTCCCAAATTATGGAACATGGGAGTGACAAACAGCGGAAACACCGCCGCAAATATACTCCTCAAAAACGTATTTGCAGCAACCGCACTTGCAGAGTATCTTTGAAATGTGTCAATTAAATAGTTCAGCGCTGCTTGGAAAATAGTAAAGAATCCGAATCCCATGCATACGAGTCCGATACATGGTGCGAGCCAGAAATCGTGGCGGTAGGATGTCCAGCCGAAGATGAAGAGGCCGCCGGCGAAGAAGACGGAGCCAACCATCATCGGGGGTAGGCGCGCTTCGGGTACAGCGCGCATGTTGTTTGCCTGGAGTTTGCGGATGTAGAATTTGTTATTGCTGGGGACTGTTAGAACGGACTAATGAGAATAGGAGGGAAAAACGAACAAGACGTTGGCACCTCCACCGAGGATTGTGCCGAGTAGCAGTGCGAGGAAGGGAAGCTCGGAGGTTACAGGACCCCAACCTCTTTCTTCGGCGAATTGGATAGGAATTGCTGCTAAACATCTGGAACGGTGTCAGCTCAGAACAGCAGATGCGCGACTCAATCCTCGTATCATAGCTAATCTAGAGTGGAGGATTTCAGAGTCACTTACAGATACAGAATACCATATACGAAGGATGCGTACAAGGCAACACAAAAAGCAATAGGAGTGACCAAGAGACGAAAAGGAGTCAACAAGAATTTGTGAGCTAATTCTTTCAGACCAACATCCCACTCTTCATGGTGAGCGTGAAGAGCCCAATTACCAGACTCGTGCCGCAGCCTTCGTGCTTTGTTGACAAGAAGGACGGGCGGATAAGACTCGTCGAGGATGATCAGGTCCATTACGAGGAAGAACACCTGCATGATACCAGTGATCTAGGACGTATTAGCCGGGTTGGTATGTAAAGATATGCGAAACGCACGTATTCAGTCCATCTCCAACGTAAGTAGCTGGAGACGATAGCCCCTCCAACAATTGGTCTGGTGAAAAGTCAGTAACAAGCATTAATAATATATGTTCCAAACATACCCGAGAGTCGGTCCGCCAACTACTGCAAAAGCATATCCTACAATAGCAGTACCTCTCTGGCTAGGTGACCAGATATCCCCAAGAACTCCACCAGTATTTGTTACTGGAGCTGACCCAAACAATCCGGCGAAAAGGCGCGTGATCAAGATGGTCTGTAGGTCTTTTGCCGTAGCTGTGCCAAATGAAAAGCAAGCAGCGATAAAGTACGGTATCAAAACTGCAGGTTTCCTCCCATAACTATTTCAAACGTAAGCACTGAACCCCCACCCTTCACCTCTCTTTATAAACTTACACTTCGCTCAACGGTGCCCATAATAAAGGCCCAAACCCGAATCCTAGAAGTAAAAATGTAGTACCTAAAATCCCCACCTCGTCTGCCACCCCATATTCTTCAGAAATTTGCGCGACAGCTGGACTATAAATACTAGTCGACCACGTGGAGCCCATAGTCGTTAGCCCATATAACAAAGTTGTTATAACCTTCTTTCTAAAAGGCCAATTGATGGGCCTATAAGGGTCGTCTTCTCCATCAAAGTCTACAATTTCAGCCTCGGAAGTCTTGACGTGAGACAAGGGATGCGTGAAGCGGTTTCGATTCGAAGCGCGTCTTGTGATCGATTGGGTTCTTGTAACACGTGCGCGAGTTGTATTATTAGGATGCGAGGCATTATGGGCGGATTGAGTTTCTGTGTCTTGTTTTTCAAGATCGAGGGCTGTGGCGTTGGCATCTGGCGAGGTTGAGGCGCGGGATGGTGTGAGGGTAACGCCGTTGTGATCTGAAGTGGGAGGCATTGCGCAAGAAACAAGCAATTGTGGGAATAGCTTCAATTTGGGGACCTTGAGTGACGGATGCCAAGGTTTGATCTCAAGGAAAACATCGTATCTTTCTACTCATGTCCAGTCCTCGGGTTTTTTTACTGGAGCTAGAGCAAGGACTACCATATGGCAACGGTTGATCGGCATCATGACGCCTAAATGCATTTCACGTACGGGACGGAACGATGCTGCCGATACCACAAAAGGGCCGCGAATCGGAGAGTGCGCTACACGTGACCGTAAATAGAGGTTTGAACTGATAGGTAAAGGTAGGGACAGGTACAGGAGGGACCTAGATATGTACTTTGAAGCGGATAACTTTTGATAGCTGCTAAGAAGGAAGACTGACTTTAAGTTTAGGATAAGAAAGTTATTACTGGACTCGCGTTCCGAAAAAGGCTAGTGTAGGCGCGTCGCTGATTATCTTCAACATCAACTCTCACACGTTCCCACCATCGAAACCTCTTGACTACCCTATAAAAGCATTTGGATATTCGCAAGTTATGGCTCACCAAGCATAATTACTGGGTATTGACGAAGTCACTCATGCTCATATCCTATATCCTCAGAGTGTCATACCAAAACGCCCGGATTTCCGGAGCTACTATGCTTTCGTCACAAGATATTCACGGAATCATATATTGACGCAAATCGCAAGCCTTCTTTCAACTCGAGGACTCCACACGTTCTCGCCGCGGCGTAGTCTCCATGTCACCCCGAAATGACGGCTCAAAAATGGCAAGCACAATCAGGATAAGGTGCTCCAAATTTATCTTGATCGAACTATTATCCGGTTGCTTTTCCAAAATCCAACTCGAATTTTCTATTCTCGCTATTTGCTCTCTTTCAAGCTGCCTTCTCTTATTCCGATGTCATTCAAGTCAATTCAGCCCCTTCCCAGCTTCAACGACTGGAAATTGAGGAATCGAAAGGTCGACTCATAGGCGTGGGGATTGGAGCCCTCACTTTCGCAAGTCCCGCTATCTCGAGCTGATCTCAATTGAAAATGACAAATTATCATTCGCAATCGCCAATCAATACTGGCTACATTCGAGCCTTAAGATACGCCCCCAATCATTTGTTGCGGCCTTTTCCTATTTTCAACATGCGGGTCTCCAAACTCACCCTAGGTTGTTACATGCTGAAGATCTGGGAAAACCCTGGGAGCCAGCCAACAAATTTTCAAGTCAAACAAACATAAATCCTTCAGTACGCCTTAAGTCTATCCTTTTGATAAACATGAATGCCCAGAAAACTCCAATGGACGCTGCAGGTGCACTATTTGTAGTTGGAACGAACATCTGCTTCAATTCTATCAACCACTTAGAGGGTGTTGCAGAGAAGAAAACGTTGAAAGATCTCCTAGTGTATGGTTAGCAGCGAACAACATCACATTGGGACGAAAGCCGTCCAATTCTCAATGTCGGCATTGCTAATATGCAAGACACGGTTTGTTAGGTGTTCCAAGTCATGACAGCTTTTCCTCAGCACAAGCCTGCTCAATATCTGAGAATGCTTAGTGAAGTGATCAATCTCGTAAACCAACGAAACGTCCAGGTTCTAGATTTCATTACAGTACGGCCGACCTCAGAGCTTCAAGACGCTTTCAGAACGATGCTGGGGGGTGGAAAGGGGCACACAGGCACGATTGTCATTTAGTAAATCGACTAACTATTCCAAAATTAAATCTCAACTGACTACCTAAAAGGCTTAACGGAAGACCGACTTATCAATCGCTGACTGATTAGACACTCTGGACACAAGTACAAAGGGAAGGAGCAAAGCGAGCAATGGGACCGGGGGAAGGAAGGAAAGGTACCAAAAAAAAGGGAAACTTTTAGATCAAGCTCTATAACCATCAATTAGGTCGAACCCCCTATCCCTGCTGCTAGCCGAGCGCTACGCCGTGGACCATGTAATTGGCGGATATGTCCGTGGACATCACGCTGGTCTCAGCCAATACGATCCAGTTTGAAATACTTAGTTACAGCTCACTCTAAAATCTCTTGTGTAGGGCTTTACCTTCTCCCGTCGTGACTCTATAACTCTGCGTATCTGGGCAGGTGTTTGCGCGATACCCTGCCCTTCAATCAACGATCTAAGTTCTTTAATACCAGAGGATAAACTAGGACTAGGACCACGAAGCGTCCATGACGGCCACAGCGACGATAATAACGCCAAACACGGGAGAGGCAGTTGAATAGTCGATAGACATATGTTATCTGCATTTTTTTTTGAGGGCAGGCAGAGAAATACAATTTTTGCTGTTGGATTTCCGTACAGGTGTCACACTTCGTGTGGCATAGGCTCTAAGAAGAATTTTAATCAGATTTGTGCTCGTCGCGGACGATCCTCATAGTCGACCCAGGCCTCGTTAAACCCGACACTTCGAGCCCCTAGATACATCTGTTAGTGGTTTTCTTTTGATGTGCCAAAGAGTAGCAAAGCTAAGAGGTTTGTTAGGAATTCATGAAGAAGATGCACTTGCTACTCCTCGAGAAGGCAATTGCCACGAGGATAACAAGCGAATTCCAAGTTCTGGGGACCGGTTTTCGAATTTACTGAAACGGGGAACGGTAACTTACAAGTTTCCCCCTGATCCTCCACGCTATCAATGACCATATTTCCAATCTTCTCCCACATAAACCCCCGAATCTTCGCCCACTCAACGTCTCCGTACTTCTCCGCGGTCAACTCCCCGTTCCTCACAGCGCGCCCCAACTTGATCGCGTGACCATCGTCCTTCAACTCCCACAGCCTTTGAAATATTCCAGGCCACTCGCCGTCGCCCTTCTCCAGCTTCGTCGGGACATAAGTGCTAATTTCTTCCAACAGCAAAGGAGGAGAGCGACGCGACGCGTACATAGCGAGATCTAGATACCCCTTCCATTGTAACAAGCGGACTTTGTTGGCAGTTGAAAGCCAGGGCTGTTTGTTGAAGGTTGGAAAGAAAATAGAGGCGTTGACGCAGTGCATAAAGTAGAAGTCGAATTTTACTTGCTTTGGAGGATGTTGCGCCGCGGCTGTGAAGTAGATTGTTGAGTTGATCATTTCGGCTGTCCTCTGCTCCAGGTTCTCGGGAGTGACGACCCATTGCGTTGCATAGTTCATCATCTCTTCTGGAGCACGGACTAGGATGCCGTCGCGGATTTTGTTGCCGTCGTCCCACTCAGCTGCCGTCGACAGTTTTTTATCTTCCCTGATTTCATCGAGGAGCTGGACATAGGTTTTAGGAGAGTTGGTAGGGTTGGCTTTCGCCGCTTTCTCGGCAGCGAGAAGGTATTTACCAGTCCAGTTGTCGTGACAGGCTGCTTGTGCCAGGGCTTCGCCTATGATTGCTGGCTGGTGAAATTCGATGCCAAAGCCAAGATGAATCAGAGGGTGGAGGAAACCTGTTTGTTTTCAGCTATGGGTGACTAAATAGGATACAGCATACAAACCACCATACAATCTTCCCAAGAGGTCTTCTGATTTCTCGTTACCGGCAAGTAGATACTCATTCAAAACATTCTCCCAGCCCTTTGCTTCAAGCTCCGTTTGGAAAAAAACGAGGAATGAGTGATAGTACTTCGCCTTTCCAAGACACTTGGTAAAGGTTTCTGGGGAGCGGAGGTCTTCGACTGCTACTTCGTCATTACTCTTTGCAGGGCGCTGGTAAGAAGCGTTCTCGGCATAGCGCTGCTCGATAATAGATGCCGGGGCACCCAGTCCGTAGAGAGTGAGGAGCTGATGGGCAATATGATTATGGAAGCCACTCTCGCTGAAGAAGATGTGGTGTTTCTAGAACACAGGTTACTTGCTTGTGTTGCAATATATTGTAAAGGAGTATTCACATCGTGGTTCTCCTGAAGAAGCTCCGATACTTTGGCAGCTGCTTCGTTTGTTTGGGATTTGTTCTTGACAACGCCGGTGTCGTTAACAGTAAGGTGGATCTTGCTTGGGGAAGCCATGGTGTTGTTTCTTCGGGTTGACGATGCTAGCCACTGGTGGAAACTTGAAGCTGTTTGTGAGCGTTGTTGGAGCTTCCTTGCTACTATCGTTGATATTTGTGATATTGGGGGTCTCAATAGTAACATCTGGCTACAAACTTCTGGGACTCATCGATGGAAGGCTACCTTATATCGCGAAAAGAAATCAAATAGCTGTGGTGCTGTAGGTGATGACGTAGATTGAACGAGAACGGCTTGTACCAGGCGTTCGCGAACGATTGTTCTTTACGTACAAACGGCAGAGTACAGCAATTAAGGTGAAAGTTACATGCGGGTAGCAAAAACAATTGGTTGTTCGGAGATGATGGTTGCGACCTCGTATAAAGGTACGAGTATTACCAAGTAGCTACGCCCATCGAGATCTAGAGCTCTGCCTAGGTACCCACCTCGCTTCTTCCTCTGCCCCCTTTGGCGGGGCGGAATCTTTCGACAGCGGAAGCCTCCTCCACTGATCAGACGAAGATAACCTGGGGAACTACTCCGTATGGAGTAAGCAAGCCATTCGGTTCAGCCACAGCATTTCTTGGCAGATGCAAGGTTTACGGAATGGAAGCGTTTCCCAATACTGTCTAGATGTGGCTTATTGTCTAATCCCTGCTGCCGTCATGATGACGAACATCAGATGAAATCAAAACACGACATGTATCATAACATGCCCAAGACATGCCCCTAATCTCATTCGTTCTCTAACCTCTAAATACCCTCACAATTGAGCTCAATTTCCCCTCAACATGTCGACTCTGCAAGACAAAGCGACCATTGCTAGCTCCCTTGCGCTACGGCTCTTCGCGTTCATCTTCCTAAGATGGATTCCCGGCCATGTAAGTTGTTCCTGACCTACAAGGCTATTAGAGATTCTGACCAGCTATAGCCTTTTCCGCCAATAATCTACACCTTATTTGCCATCTACATTCCGTCCTTCATAGCCAGTTTCCTGACCCAGCCTCAATACAATGTTCTGGAAGATGATGTGGATATCACAGTAGTAGAGACCGAGGTTGAGGACCAGCCGCCTGTACTTGCATCAAGCGCCGCACATTCCAAGAATCTGCGGAGTGCCGATAAACCCAAACATGTGGTGGAGGAAGTGGAGGTCCAGGAGACACTCTTTGTAGAGAAGAGGTCACCGAAGCCATGGAAGACTATGTTGACTGGCCTGCCTAGTCCCACTTCGGCCCTGCTGTCTTTGGCGACGTTGCTGGTTAATGTGGCTCTTGTTTTGGCTGTAACGGATCTGGTGTACAGATCCAAGGTCATCCATCCTAGCCACGACCTCTCTTTCGCTCGACTAGGATATGTCTCGCCCACCGAGGCAAGTCTGTTGATCAGAGAGCCACATCCATCCCAATGGCCGGTTTTTGTGTCTTACAGGCTCGCTGGTCAAGCTGCTCCATACGATGATGCGGCATGGCATGCGGCAGGACAGATAAATGGCTTCAGCAACGAGACGGATTATACTGGGGTGGTTACCTTTCCTTTACCAAGCCATTCGGATCGGACCTATCAATGGGTAACTTCAAACAACCACACCGGATCATTTTCTGTACCTCCAAAGCCCGGTCATGTTGGGAATCAAGGCACGTTCACCTTCCTTACCAGCAGCTGCATTAAACCTCGATTCCCTTATAACCCTCTCGACCATGCACTCAGCATTCCGGGATTCAGACACATGGGAAAAGCCATCAAGTCAATCCCCGGGGGTGCCCAGTTTATGCTATTCCTGGGCGATTTCATCTATGTGGATGTCCCAAAGCGGTTTGGAGTTTCTGTTGAGGATTACAGGAGAGAATATCGTCAAGTCTATGCCTCACCTGATTGGCCTGCCGTAGGCCAGAATTTGAGCTGGATCCACGTTCTGGACGACCATGAGATCGCTAACGACTGGGATGCCAAAACGACCGGTGTCTATGAAGCTGCCGCAGATCCATGGTATCATTATCAAACAGCTGTCAACCCACCTCGTGCACGTCAAGCCGGGACTTATAGCACCCTGAGAAAGGATGCCACATATTTTGAATTTACGCAGGGCCCAGCCTCGTTCTTCATGTTAGACACTCGGACATATAGAGATTCTTCTAGTAATATACCCGTCAATAGCACAGAGAAGACTATGCTCGGCGCTGAACAACTGGCCGATCTTCTTGCTTTCCTCGAGAAGCCCGAGCCAAAAGGAGTCAAATGGAAGATCATCGCTTCTAGCATTCCCTTTACTAAGAACTGGCGAGTTAATAGTCTCGATACTTGGGCTGGGTACCTTGCTGAGCGACAGACGGTCCTAGAGGCTATGTGGGATGTTGGAAGTCGAGGAGGTGTCGGTGTGGTCATTCTATCTGGTGATAGACATGAATTCGCAGCGACTGCTTTCCCTCCAACCCAGGGTGGAAAGTGGCCTCTTAGTGCTACTGTACACGAATTTTCGACGAGCCCGCTTAGTCAGTTTTATTTGCCCTTTCCAACGTATCGCCAAAATGACGAAGAGGATGTTATGGTTAAGTAAGTCGTCAACAGTCGCTGAAAATAAATTCCTACTAACTCTTGGAAGATATATACCAGCGGGTAACTCTAAACTTGGCGCTATTACCATCGAGAACACTTCTAGTGATCAAAGCATCTTGAAGTTCCGTCTCTATGTCGATGGTGTCGAAGCGTGGTCGTCAGTTGTTCTTTCGCCTCCATCTATTTCAGGAAGTCGATGGAGTAAGGATGCGTTGTGGGGTTAGATCTTGACAAAATTTAGACAATTGAGATACGGCCGTTATGTTCATGAATTTAGGGTAGTGTGTCACTTCCAATTTAAAAGGCGGCATCGAGGACTATATTTATGACTTGCTGTTGACTTGGTACCAGATGAACTAGCTATGATGCAAGACTCTTGAACTTATTAAAAGTCATCATACTTTTTCTTCCATCCTCACTTTGATCGCGTAAATTATTGAATGCTTTTTGGTGGTTTCGAGCTTCCATTTATCGATTAACTTATGGTTCGCCGTATACTCCCAATTCACACACCTTTTGCGTTGCCGCCTGTTCGCCACCTTTACGCTATCATAAATAAGACCCCATTCTCTTCCTCAAGGCAGCATTTTCGACATTAGAACTTCTTGATTACCACTTGAACACAATCCCTCGATCTGTAAGTTATCACTCATCTACCCTCAAGCCGTCTCATACCCAAACATCTTTTACCCTTCCCAGCTCTTGCCGTAAAGCCAATTAACGAATTTATTAAGTTTTCCAAGATCCCTTTATTAACAGCACCTCGTGCCTCACGTTTCGCCCTACTTCACCTCGAGCTCTACCTTGACAATTGAACTCTAGCTTGCTTGTCTACCTATTCTCACGATGTCTATCCCAGATCAGTATTCTACCACCACCTCCAAGGCTAAGGTTGATAGCGAACATCATCATTCCGGCCGCTATAGGGTCAAGAGCCACAATGGCACGTTTGCTGGTATAGGGCCTCTGAAACCCATCCCTGGTGCTTTGGGACGCGGAAACGCTCCAGCTCCTCGTGCCGCAACGATCTTTGCTGCCAATGCTGTTGCTGACGCACCTGCACCCTCCCCTGCCTCAAATGTATGTGTTCATATTTGCATAAACCTATTCCCGCTAATATTAGTCACAGACAATCAATACCACCCAAATGGCTATTCGTACCTTTCCAACCCCACGACTCCGGCCCTCTAAACTCAACTACCGGCCCGATAAGACCAAAAAGGACGTGGTTATCTCTTCGACAGGTATAATTCGCAATGCGAATCGCTTTGTCGACACGATTTCTGACGGCAAAAATAAATACGTCGACACCAAGGAATTCGCCCCCAGCAAATACAAAGTAGCGGCAGCCGTCCAGGACATGGAAACCTCCGAGCGCGAGGAATTCTGGGTCAAAAACCATGTCGAGATTCAGATCCCTATTGCCGCTCTTGCTCGTCCAAATGGTGGATATGAAATCTATAGAATCTTGAGGCACATGGACAACCTTGGCGAAGATTTCACCAATCATCTTGAAAACATGTTCATCAACATGTCCTTCCCAACTGAATCTACCCACGACTCTAGTACCAATATATTTGAGGTACAAAGCATCAAGGCACTCCAACCCCTCGTGGAAAAACTTAAGACTTTCAAGAACTTGAGGTTCACATGCGTCAATATCATCACTCGCAACAGCGGGGATACACCTTGTCTCTGGGAGTGGCTTCAGTATGCGGCTCCATTTGGCTACTTGCCATATAAATGGCACCTTTATTGGATACCGGGTTTCCAGCAAGGTCGCATCCGAATTGATCCCTGGACCGCCAACTATCGGTATGTAAACGAGCAATCCAACGAATACTGCCGTCAACATGAGGCATATCTCAGCTCGCCGCAGACGGCCATCCCTTCTGTATTCCAGCAGCAGCTGGTACATCGAGCTAAGGATGCTGACAATTGAACGTGGCTTGCGGTGGAAATCCTTTGGCATTTGATGTACTTTGAGTTAGGGACGGTGACTTCCTCCCGCATCATCTAGGTATTTGTCGGATATTAGGACTTGACAATTGTGACGGCGTCTACAGCATAGTTTCACTTTCTTTTTCGTCTACTTGGATACAGTTGCACAGTATCAATATTGATGGTGTTCTTTCCATTTCTGGTCATCAGCCCAGGGTTTTTACAGAGGACTTGCTTCTTTGTAGATGCTACTATGGAATACTTCAAACATTTGCATTTTGGAGATGACCTTTTGAATGTTCCTTCTTGACATAAGTTATACCTCCGAAAATCACAGCATTTAGATACTTAAATTGACTCCTTGATAACCTAATTCCCTGTAACTCTTCCATGGGGTGATTAAAAGATAAGTGCTGCCAATTTGCTGCTACAACCTTGCCTATTGGATTCAATCGCCCACCGACTTTCAATTCATCACGAATTCCATGCATCGCATGCTTTTGCATGTGAATACATGTAGACTGATAGCATTTCACACTGTTCAGCCTGGGCGATTGACTGGTTAATGGTCGGGGACAGGGATCTTCTTGCCTTCTATATAAACAACCAACATCGACGACAAGCAGTGGCCTTTTATTATTACCTACACTTCAAGACAGAAACAACATCCAATCACTCCGTGCCCCTTCCTAATTCTTGCCTCCGCTTTTCAGTAAACCACAGAATCTCTCCCATCCTCAGGATGGCATCAAAAACTCAGAGAAGCGGCATTGGTCGTAACCTTAAGATTGGAAGACCAGCTGAACAGCCAGCATCAACTGTACGTATACCTAAATCCCAAGCTATTGATCCCCTTTAACGTGAATGAACCAGCCATCTTCAAACATAACCCCTCGTACTTCTAGTGGAGGCCCCTTGTTTCGCATCTTAAATCGACCCGACAAGTCAATGAAAGACGTCAAGATTACCTCCACCAGAATTACACGCAACATCGTCCAAATGGTTGAGAAGACCGCCAGCAACGGCTCCAAAAATTGGATCAAAACCCAAAAGTTCGATGAAGACAAATACGACCTCGCCGTCGACTTAGCCGGTATGAGCGAAGGAGGTAGACGCGACTTTTGGTCTAAAAATTACGTCGAAATTGAGGTCAATCTGGAAGCACAAGAGACCGAAGAAGGAAAAACAGAGATTTCTCGCCTTATCCTCATGCTGGATAGGCTTAGTCCCGGGTTCTTCTACCACGCCCAGAACGTCTTCATCAATCTGCTCTTCCCGGAAGGCGATACAGTATACCTACCTCTCAAGGCATTGACGAAAGATGATCCTACCGCCCTTCAGATCCTCGATCCTCGATCTCTCGACTGTTGCTGCCTTGCTTCCCTTGATGGAGAAGTTGAAGAACTTAAGAACGACGCAGCATTTTGTGGTCACGATCCGAGACCCGTCGTGGACTGACGAAACTCTCTCGTACTCGATGCTAAATCATGCGGTGCCGTTTGCTGATCTGCCGTTTCAGTGGCGCTTGGATTGGCTGGCGCTTTGGTTTAGGAAGCCTGAGCGGGTTAGTCGGGCTTCGATGAAATATGTCGAGGACCAGCATAAGAAGACTGTGCAAGAGAGGAAGGAGAAGAAGAATTCGGAAAGTTGACGGCAGCAATGCCTATAGATTGGGGATTGGATTATGATGTCTTTACGCCACGAGTAGTTCAGCCATAGCAACTGAGCCATAATAGGTTCTTTTTCTTTCATTTTCATTTTAAGTCAGCTTAACTCACCGGCTTAATTAGATATTCGTTTTTCTTTCGGTTGGCTTAAGCGTACAGGCATTATCACCTTGAGATAACCACCATGTTAGACATCAAATCTCGAAGTGTCTTCATCCCACCTTATTATGGATGTTGCTAATAATGTAATTTAACACTTGCTTGCAAAGTGAAGAATTGGAACTTGTTGGTCAAGTCATTCACATAGCCTTTTTGTGTCTATCTATATTATTCCTACATACCTATTGTAAGTAACACTTAACAAGTAAACCGCAACACCTGCCTCCGACTAAGCGGCAACTTCACAAAGAGGTATTGAATCAGTTACTTGAAATATATATATACGTCCGAGCAGTGAAGCTCGCTATGACTTTAGATCCACAGCCATTCACACACTGGTTGCCACGACAATTGGGCTATAACTTCTGTTAGGCAGCTGTGTGAATTCTCAAAGGGAAAGGTGGGCTAGTGCACTGCAGGTATATAAGCACCCTGCTACTAACAAGCTTTTCCTCTTCCTCAACATCGAGATTTTCCCGAATAACAAAATTTCGACCAAACCATCGAGAATACTTCGACCGCGCAAGACAACTACCTGTACGTTGATATTAATTCTTACTCATTTATCTTGGGCATCCTGCCATCCTACCCCTCGTCCTCCTTTGACCCCTTTCACTAACCTCTCAACGTAGACAATAGCGATCACCGAGTCAACATTCCGCAACGCTGCGCTCTTGCTCTTCCGTCTTAGACTCTTAGCCTTTACATCTAGAGCATTGATCATCAAGTGAGTAACCACCTCCTTCTTGCGGTTTCATTTCTCGGGAATGCCGCTCAAAGGCCCAAGCCTTATCTCTTTACCCTTCCCGGTTCAAGTCAAATTCTTAGGCCTTATCCACTAACATATTGACCATTTAGAGATTGAATCGAAAGTTCTACTTGACATCCACAATGTCTAGACCCACGACCTTTGCGATCATGGCTCCTGAAACCCCGGCATCACCGTCGGCATCTGAGACCACAAGTCAGAACACCTCCAAAGTTGCGGGAAAATCCACTGGTCGTAAAGGTGTCGGACGAGATCTGAAGATAGGTAGAAAACCTGAGACCACCGAACCGAGCCTGGGTTGGGTGTCGAAGATTCATGGTCACTGCGCTTTAGCAGGGAACCAGGTCGTCAACAAAATAACAAACAAGCAACAGGCTCAAGCCAGTGAGGTAAGCAGCGTAATCACTACAAGTTAAATCCTATCTAATATTATTTCTCTTAGCAGGAACCTCTACCTTCGGCGACGACATTAGCTAATGCTAATAAGAAGCTTCGTCGCAGCAATACTCGTAGGCCCAAAGCTACACGGGAACCATTGCCACCACGTTTGATTTACCGACCCTGGAGAGCAAAGAAGGATGTTATAATCACGTCAGACCGTGTAACTAGAAACATCATCAGACAAGTCGGCGAGCATGGCGGAGATGGAAAATACCATTGGATCAGCACTGACGAGTTTAGCCCGGAGACATACGATCTTGCTGCCGACCTAAAGTCCATGCCGATGGACGAGCAAAAGATATTCTGGACCAAGAATGACACCGAGATCGATCTGGAGGCCTATGATCTTGCAGTCGGCAGCTCCGGAATTTCCAAAGTCATTGCCCATATGGACCAATTCGGCAAGGTCTTTACCGACAACAACCTGAGGATCTTTGTTAACATCGACCTTTCTGGTCCTACCACTGCCAGACCTCGAGGGGCCAGTGTTCTCTCCGTACCAACGATTGCTTTGCTTGTCCCCCTCGCTGAAAAACTCAGCACATTCAAGGCCCTAGAACGCTGTATGGTGATCCTATCCACACCTGCTGACAACTACCTTGATTGGCAATGGCTTGACCATGCCGTGCCTTTCAAGCGTCTGAGTATACCAGTACCAGTTGACTTCATGTGGAAGCCAGACGGATTGCCCCAGCAAGTTGTTCGTGGAGAACACCTTCACCACTTGAACTTGGAGTGGGCCAAGGCTAAGAAGGAAATGGCGGCAAAAGCTGATAAGGGCAAGAGAGATTAAGCGGACTATAGACATACTTGTCAAGAGCCTACACTTGGCATTTTCTTTTTAGATTACCATCTATTCTGCTCGTGGATACATTGGTTTCTCAAGGGGCGAGGCAAGGAGTGTTCTACAAGAAAAGGTTATTATAGAGATTTTAGGATCTATTTAATAGAACTATTGCATCCTACCCTTTACTGAATAATCATAGAGATTCATAATCTAGCCAAGCATCTTTCTTTCTCTAGCTGAGACGAGACAAGTCATGTGACTTAGCAACCATGAATACAAAGGTTCACTTTAACATAAACGGAGTTTAACCTTACATGAGGCTTTATATTTCATATTGAATAAGTATATAAGGTAGCGAATATCCAATAACACTTGGAATTACCCTGCTCGAGTCGTTCTGTTGTCTCGGAGTAAGACTCGTACTTTGCGCGCAGAGGCTGCGAGTATGAATGGCAAGGTGCATTCGTTTTATTTACTGCAGCATGCACGCAAGCATTCGAATATATTTGCATGGGATACGTCGCAATACTTTGAAATCCTGGCTTTGAATACCGGTATGAACACGAATGAGAGGAAGTTAAGCAGTCAGTTCCACTTATGCAATATGGATCCGACGCTACACAACGGGTGGCGTTTTCACTGGAGCTGGGCGGCTAGGGCTACGATCAAGTACCGGATCGGCTGACTAAGAGCAGTGTACCAGTATTCAACACCATGAAACAAATATTTCCAATTCATTGCAGTAAAATATTGATGGTCTGACCATCACACCGGAGCAGGCCCGGCCGAATTACACCAACATTGATGTTGAGAAATTTATTACGAAGTACTTGCAGAAGTATCCGTAATAGCGGATCTCGCCCACCGGCCAGTCCGTAGGGATTCTGTGGTCCGTGGATGGATGCCGATCCTCAAATGCCGAGATATCTTCTAATTAAGGGACGATGATGCTAGCCAGGAGCACATTGCGCAATACTTGTGGGGGTTTGACTTTGGCTTGAAAGAAGAAGCAGAAGAAGAATCGGCCTCCCCTAGTGCTTTGGATCTAGAAGGGCTTGTGAGAAGAACGCTTGCGGTAAATGCAGAAATCCACTGCGGCACCCCCGCCCCCGGATGCAGGGCGTTATCCCTAGGAGTCGCAGATCTAGACTTACCTGTAAATTACTAGTACATACGTGCACCCTAAAACCCAGCGCATAACCATTAAACTTGGGCGTTTTCTATGACCTTATACCTCTATAGGTACACAATTTATATATATCTAATAGTAGAGGTGAAACTCTATGTACCTAGGTAAATATTACATATTAGCGTTCTAGCATCTTTCTCGCTAAATTTATAGGGCACTGCAACCCTGCCCTGCACCTGTTAGTGTATGTATTAACGATTTTAGTAACCAAGTCAAGCTTTATGCCTACTTTTATTTGCATGGAACCTCAAATGCCAAGATGCAGGATTTATCGTTTACGCAGTGTCAAGAGTGAGGATCAGTGGTGATCCTACTACCTTTTTTAATTTCGGGAGGACATAAGAAAGCCAAACCCCACGGGCTAGAAAGATTCTCATTCTACAACTAACAAGAAGTCTTCTTTCCATCGTCGCATCGAACATCAGTGCCAAATATGAGTTTCTTCAAGTACGGCTCTGCGTTACTGCTCATTCTTGTGGCCGTCGGCGAATCTTTGATAATACCTAGATCAACGGTCCCGGTAACTGATTATGATGTCTTGGTGATTGGCGGTGGGCCTTCAGGGCTCAGTGCCCTGAGTGGCCTTGCCCGAGTAAGACGTAAGACGTTGATGCTTGATTCTGCAGAATACCGCAATCAGAATACAAGACATATGCACGATATTATTGGCAATGATGGCAAGTCTTCTCATGTAACTGCTCTAAGCTTGAATTGAGCCCTAACAAAAGTGCAGGCACTGTCCCCGCGGTATTCCGCTATAATGCTAGGGAGATGATAGCGAAATATCCCACAGCGTATATGAAAAATGCAACAGCTACGTCGATTGTCTCGGTCAACAACGGCTCATCGTTCGTCACGACCGATGCCAATGGTACGACCTACTCCAGCCGCAAAATCATCCTTGCCACTGGCCTCAGCGACGTTCTCCCAGACACGCCAGGCGTCAAAGATGCGTGGCAACGAGGCATTTTTTGGTGTGACTGGTGCGATGGATATGAGCATCGTGACCAAAGCTTTGGCATCCTTGGCTCCATCGTTGATGCCGTCGGTAGTGTCATAGAGTCGGAGACGCTTTTTCACGACATCATTGCTTTCGTAAATGGGACCTACACGGATGAGAATGTTGCGATCTTGGACAAGAACCGTCCAGGCTGGGTCACAGAACTCCAAGGGTACGGGGTAGTCATCAACAATGCAAGCATCAAGAGCATTGACCGAATCCAAGATGGAGCGGTAATACATAACGTGACCACTGACACGGAATATGACAAGTTCAAAGTCACCCTTGCCAACGGAAGCTCCATTGAACGGGACGCTTTCCTCACCAACTTCCCCTCCATTCAACATTCGACTCTCGGCTCATCACTTGGAGTAGAAGTCTACGGCGAGAAAATGATTGTGAACCCGGACAGTATGAGAACCGCTGCACTTGGCGTCTTCGCAGTGGGCGATGCAAATAGCGATAATGCCACAAACGTGCCACACGCAATGTACTCTGGCAAGAAAGCTGCTGTTTACGTACATGGTAAGTACATACTGCATTGAGCATCCTGTTAAAATCCTTGTACTGACAAACTACCCTTACAGTTGAGATTGAGAAGGAACATGCCGCAACATTTCTCCAAAAACGAGAAGCAGAGAACATCCATGAGAGAATGGGACATGACTTGGAGGACCTGTGGAAACGGTTATCGAGTGATTGAGTTCGATGACTTAGATTGCCGCGATGGATGGCAGTGGCAACACCTTCACTTGAGAATAGTGTCGAATAGCGAGGCCAATAGAATCTAAACAAGATAAAAAAATGCTTCAATCATTTCTTGGACTATCCCCAATACACGAGAGTGCTTGAACTGACACAGAGCCTTCCAAACTTGTGGCAAGTGCTGTAGCAAAACGATGCTGGATAAATTTCGTTATCAAAAAGAAAAGTCTGCTTGTACTTTACATCATCTACTAGAAATCAAGAGATCTATTATAATTATCAAGTCTACCATGTTGGTAACACTCATAAAGCAATTCTCTAGCAAATTGCGGGGTAGACCGGACCGGGGATGAAGCTGATTTAAAAATCACCCCGCAATTCCCCCACAGTCAGACCGTAGCAGACTCTTGAGTTGAAATGTTTCATTTGACATCCAGGCGCTCTATGTATACAGGAACAATGCTTCGGAAGCCGTCAGTGGCACAGAACATGCGGAGGTATGTAACGGATAGTTTTCAGGAACATTAGGATGTTGAATGAGTACTTCGTACAGGTAGAACTTAGGCGAGCACGGACCATGTTGCTTCCCCTTTTCAGACCCACCCCTTACCTGAGGCTGGGTATGTACCTTGTACCGGTATGTGAGACTTTCAGGTGTCCAGATGCCCAAAAATTTGCAACTAGCGTTTCAATGTGACGTGAATTGTTCAATTGGACTCAGTATCGCTATCAAGACACTAAGATATTAGGCGTGCGGAGGTATAAAGAAAGTCTACCCACCAACAGGAAAGAGCTATTCGCAAGACAATGAGGGCAATAATCAGGGTAACTTCCTCACAGTATAGTACACTAGCTTTTTTGATTATCAGTAAAATACATGTAGAGTATTTTCAAAGAAACTTACAAGTTTTTTTTTTTTTTTCATTTTTCTACTGAGATTTCGAATATTAGGATTGTCGTCTTGATAAAACGTATACACCACATCTAAACATATTGCTCGTCAACATGAAGAGTAAGGCTTTGAAAAAGTTTAAGATATGGCATCAGAAGAGACTTATGCCACATCCACTAACTTTATAAAAGACAAGTGCTGATTCTATGATCCTGTGAGATAGCATATTCAAGTAACAAGTTTCATGGAATTTATCACGGAACAGGCTACTAGAGTACAAATAACGAGCACGTGTCCACTATTAATCATTCCGCTTGCAGTTCTCAGAAACCTCAGTTCAATCAGCAAGCATTGCTTGCATTCTCTAGGTTTGACGTGTGGGACAAAAATAATTGCTTGCTTTCTCAACTTGCTTCTACTCATTGCTCATAGTGGGTGATGTATAACTCATAGCAATCCTATAAATAACGTATAAAGAGAGACGGTTCTCACAGCCATATGGTCTGTGATATAGAGAACCAGCACTTAGTGAGTCAAAAGTCCCCGGGAGATATAGTTTTGGGCAATCTCATTCGTGCGAACATACATTAAGTCTTTTTTCCATAGCTTACAATTACTTATCTCCATTTTTGTAGCTTTTCCTACATCATAATCAACTGTTTAGTTGTTGTTTCTCTTGAAGGTTGTATTATAGCTCTTCGGGATTGAATCATCAACTGCGCAGCAGACCCAATCACCATTGCTGCCTAATGCTTATGGGGACAGTGTGAATACAGATGCAAGTCTTGGGGTATAAAAAGAGCCATGGTCCCTCGTTCACAAGAAAAAAATCATACCCGCACCAACCCGAACACAAGAGCACTTGTCAAGCAAGACCCTTATCTATCACCAACCCTCTCAGCAACGCAAATACCCACTTCCGAGACCATAAAATACCATGGGTCCTCCATCCAACCTCCAACGAACTGGTCTTGGCCGCAGATTCGCTTTTGGTACTGCTGAGCAAAAGGCGGCGGCTGACCGAGCCGAAAACGATGCTAAGGATGCTAGAGAAAGAGACCTTGAAGCTGCACTTTCTGCCACACGTCTTGACAGCAAGAAACGAGTGCCTGCTACAGAAGTGTCTTCAGCACAACCATCCACACCAGCTAGTGCACAGGATGCTTCGGCAAGCACTTCTGTGGCACACTTGGCTTCACAGAAGGCTCTTTATCGAACCAAAGCACCCTCATGGGCAACACCCACGGGTCGTGACCGGGTCATCCGAAAAGAGCACAGCAAAAAGGACGTCGTTCTAACTGCATCTAACATTACCAAGAACCGCCTTCACCAAGCAGAGTACAAATTTCCTAAGGGAAATTTGAAGTACTTCAACACCACCAAGTTCGATGACGACAACTCCAGCTTCCCTAGGGAGTACAAGGCGATGACTTCGAAAAACAAGCAAGCCTTTTGGAAGGATATGTGGCTCGAGATTGTGATTGACATCGGGGCTATGGGAACTGCTGACACCGAGGTATCATCTGTACTCAGAAACATGGATAAACTTGGCCCAGAGCTGTATGCATGTCCTCACGTGTATGTCTCTCTGCTGTTCTCTCTTCTACCAGAAGATAACGAATGCATCAAAATACTCGGCCCGGATGCCGCAACAGAGCCACTCGATCCTGAGTCTCCAGGCATTGACTTCAGTGCTTCACCATCGCTATTGGGTCTCCTGGTCCCAGCTGCAGCAGGTTCTACCCTTCTATAAACTGAAATTTAGGAACTGGAACTTGGCCTATCAGCCAATATTCGCTACTCAGCGTCCCCTATTCGTCGAGCACGTCATCATAGAATTGCTCAATGTGGAGATGAAAAAGATTAGAAAGGCTGAGCAAGAGTTTAAGCAGTCCCCGGAGGAGCCACCAATGGAATGGGGCGTAATCGGGGTCACCCCAAGCGCTGCCCCCAAGGAGTAGTTGAGGGGGAGCTCATAATGCAATGGCGGAACAATGGAGTTAGAGGATCTTAGAGAGTATATTAGATAATAGACAAAAAGAATCCTTTGAGAAAAATTGGACAGTAAAATATTCCTTTGACGTATTTTAAAACAATCATATGCACGAATGACACCCAAGTATTACAATGTGATATGCACTCCATTAAGATGTTCATGAATTTATCTCTTTCTTATGCTAGTATATATTACCTTTCAGTTGTACTATGCCGCGACGGCTGTGGCTCAATATTAGACCAGACCTCTCGAAGCCAGGCCAAAGCGAAGGTGAACGTCTACCCCACCACTTCAAGAGAACACCAGCAATACCAACACTGATGTCTAATAAAGGTGTGATACTGCAAGAAAACATTCTACATGTCCCATTAAGATCGTCATATCTCTAAGAACCTAATTCAATACAGAGCTCTGCTGCTTTATCTAATTATCACGAATCCATATCCAAACATTCACCATCGCCCTGCGACAGCGACAGCGATAGAGCGAAGGACAGGATTGACTGCAAAGTCAGTATAATTGTAGGGCCGTGCCTTACCCCAGAAGGTCAGGGGTGTGCTACGACAATTACTAGCTGCGTCTGACATAAATTGAAAAGTGTTCTGACGTATATTGGTTCCCTGTTGCTTGATAGACATTAGCTAGGCGCTATTGCGAGAAAAAACGAACGTGTTTGAACAATAAGCTGTCTAGAATATTAGCTTCTCACATATAGTGTACTAAAGATCATCTATCATACATTTATGGAGTTTTTCTGTTTCCAATCACTCCTTGGTAGAAACAGGGACCGGAAAGCGATCTCACAATACTTTAGAATGGCCTCTGTTCAGATGTTGTTACATTCCACATTAAACAAGCCAATAAACACAAGATTTGACAAAGATAGCCAGATAAATCCACAGAGCATAAAACAGAATCTCGCAAAAGAGTGGGGCAACCTCAACTTGCAGATCGAAATTCTTTTGCCTAACTTTCTCAGAGAGATATTAGCTTCCATATACATTCACATTCTCATGTCTTCGCTCCAATCTCCACTCGATACTTATCCATAGGCAGCCACATCAAATCTGACACGATGGCAGGCAAAAACAAGCGATCTACCAAAAAGCAAACGCTTCTACTGTCCTCTCAATCCGCGGAAACGTCTATGGCTAGTTCTCAAATGGTGCCATCTATTGAACTCAACGCCATGGGGATTAGAGAAACTGTACCACGAGATGGAAAGGGAGAATACGCAGCCTTTGAAGGCAAAGCAAATGGCTTTCCGAATCTAGGGAACCAACTTCAGTCTCTCAAGATTGGCGTCGATTTCTCTGGCCCAGCAAAGTATCTTTCTACTAACGCCCCAGATACACCTCCCTTCTCACCGCAGATGTCAAGCAAATCAGGCCTGCCTTCAACTGTTTTGTCTTCAATGATTCCTCTCCTTGAAGCTCACAACTTGTATTCCCACAATCGTGCATACCACAAGAATACAGCATCAAATCAATCGTTAGTCTCCACACCCGGCTCCTACAGCTATGCCTCTTCTTCAGCAGCTCCTCGAACTTGGATCATCTACCGACATGATAAATCGAAGAAGAATGTCATTATAACCGCATCGGATATCAAGCACAACATCACCGAGATGCAGAGTTTCATCCATGCCGACGGATCTCGAGTTCAATTCGAAACCGACAAGTACAAAGAGGGCCACTATGAGTTTTTGGCGGATGTCTCAAGCATGAGTGCTCCGGAGAAGGCAAGGTTCTGGGCTCGAAATGTAGTCGAAGTCAACATTGATATCAAAGCTCTCGACTCTGCACTGGATCCCAACTGCCCAACAATACTCACGCAGATGGACAAGCTAGATGACAGTTTCTACCAGCACGTCGAGCAGATCCACATCAATCTCAACTACCCAACCCCTCAAGCAAGCGCCGGGACCGCCATTGTCCAGAATGCTGGCAGACCAGCACCCTTTCCCTGCCTGAAAGACTCCCCGCCGATCGAAGTCAACACTCCAGCCATGCTCCTCCTCACCCGCCTAATCTGCCGCCTCACCAAGCTCAAGTCACTGACTCAGCTGGCAGTGACCATGCGCACACCCCTCACATCCGGAACCTCTATTACTGCCGAACAGCTGAACTACGTTGTGCTATTCATGATACTCGAAGACTGGTCACTGTACTGGCAAGCTGTGTACTTGAACACGCCCCAGTTCATTCCGCACAACTCTTGGGCGACGAGATACCTGGGTGAGCAGTGGTTTAAGATTCATGGTAGTTTTAAGGAGCTATGGGTTGAAGTTAGGAGGGAGTATGATGTCGAGTTTACTGGACGAGTACGTGGTCTGGATTGGAAGGAGAAGCGCCGTGCGTGGGATTGATGAGATGGAGGTTGGAGGAAAACAGGTCGTGCGAGCGGAAAGGTAGACATGTAAACATCGAGTGTGTTGCAATTGCTGCGGTTCGTTGCGCGCTGGTACTACTTGATCATGGATAAGATGGTGATTTTCACCTTCAGCTATCGCGTCGCATATCATGGGGGTTTCTGAATGAATGGCAGGCGTTGATTTCGGTTTGCATATACAGGAAGATAAAAGGGTATATCATGGGTTTATAAACGTATTGCGGGCTGGCGTTGATCTTCTCTCGGGTCTCCATTGAAAAAGGGAGTATTTGGTGGCCTATCACAACGGTTGTCATTGCATTTCTGGCGTTTATCTTCTTCACGGGATACTAGTTGGAGAGAGAACATCATGCAGAATCATAGACTTGCTTGCATAGAAAATATACGCAGTATATTCTACCTCTCTGATATAGAGTGTAAAGTTCTTCAGGTCATCTCCAGAAACCTTGTCTACTTTCCATCCGAAGCTCCTTGCGACTGTCTTGTAGGTGTAGTCTATCATCTTCCCGTTGCAGTAACCGCCAGCAATAATGTCTACCCCGCATGGCAAATATGAGAGCCCGATCTGCAGTTCGTTAAAGTGGTAAATAATCTTGTAGATATCAGGTGTAGCTGCTACCATCGCGTAATCAACCCTGTAGAAAGACCCATGCATCCCCCTTTGTCCCCATCCAAAGTGCCAGGAAAGTATCATAATGGAAAATGATTCGTAGGTGGTTCACTGGGAGGGAACACTACACACCACACACAATCAACGTGGGCAGAATAAGACAACCGCCGGACTGAGTAAACACAACGAGTTTCTTGCTGGGTGCTCTGCAATTGAGTAGACTTCTTCGGCCTATTCTAGACGAGCATTGTCGGCAACCAACCAACAACCAACCACATGCCATCGCGAAAATTCATGGTTTTACAGTGAGCTGTTTGCGTCAGGTAGCACAAGAGAAAAAGCTTAGGAATAATCCTAAGCTCGAAGGGAGATGGATCTTCCTATCTCTAGATTTCTATCTACTAATAATGTTTGGCGTTTGAAATTGACTTCATCGATACAGTAGCACTCTTTCACTAAGTAAACAATTTCCCCTATTTGATTAGGGGCGAGCTGAGTCATCAGTTCCACACTAGCGGCCGCTCCATCGCTTTTTGTATCACTTCACGGAACCCTGAAAATCTCATATCCAAACCATCTACACCTTGCCTATCTCTACATTCCTTCACCATTTTCACCTAGTTATTCCTATTTATATTTTGTGTCCTACGATATTACCTAGACGTTTGATAGTCCGAGATCGAGTTATCACATATACGTTCACGCACAACGAAAACGATCGTCATTGACTCACGGATCGACTGCGGCTGAATTAGTTTTGCAGGGTTGATGTTTCGGGAACAGACAACAAGTCAAGCAAGTCAAGAGAGAAAACAGAATAGGAATAGAAAAAATGGTTCCTCCAACTCAGACGTTGAATTTGGATATTGAGGCAATTAGTGGGATTTGCGGGTTTGTTTTTATCTTTTCCTCAAGCCCCTTTCAGCCTTGTCCTTCCTTACTCGCTAGCGCGAAAACCTTCATATCAAGCCGAATTTCATCTGGAGCTTGAAAAGAATTATAGCTGATATGAGAACATAGGTCAATATCTCTTGCTTGTTGGATTGTAGTATTTTCTCCTCAGATTATTGAAAATTTCCGCCGCGGGTCAGCTGATGGCTTGAGCGTGCGTTTTATCGTTGTGTGGGCTGCTGGAGATGTCTTCAATATTCTTGGAGCAATACTGCAAGGAGTGCTTCCTACCATGGTACATGTCCCTCCAGCTACCCCACCTGTTCCTAAACCTGTCAGACATCCAAGAATGAAAAAACACTAACAGACTCCCCAGATCATCCTGGCAATCTACTACCTCATAGCAGACATAGTCCTCCTCGGCCAATGCTTCTACTACCGCGGCTTCACCGTAAGGAAAACTGGCTCTTTGATTTTATCCTACCCCCTTCTATCATGTTATGTCTCATGTACTCTAACTACTCCTTACATACCTCCTAAACTGGAAACATAAGCTCCTTCTACTCCGGAAACATTCTTCAATAGGAAATAACTAACTCCCCCATGATCTAGTGGCACGACGACCCCAACCCGCCCCCGAAACCCACCATCGTCACAAACGTAGGCGAACCCTCCGAGACCTCCGGACTCCTGCATCCACCCCGCGGCCCAGAACGCCACTCCAGCATCTCAGGCTCGCACCTCTCACCTGCCGTCCCGCTCCTCGACGCCTCATCGCCCGCTCCCGCAAACGCGAGGCCAACGACCCGTCTGCAAGCCGTACTCTTCAACTTCGTCGCGATCCTCATGGTCTGCATCGCCGGTGTATTCGGCTGGTGGCTTTCGGAACGCAGCAGTTCAAGCCATCACCCGACCACACATCACGAAAACCACCACCACGACTCAGAAGTGCAGTTCTCGCTCTGGGGCCAGATCTTCGGGTACCTTTGCGCGGCACTCTATCTGGGATCACGCGCTCCCCAGCTCCTTCTAAACTACCGCCGCAAATCCACAGAGGGCATCAGCATGCTTTTCTTCCTATTCGCGTGCATTGGGAACCTGACATACGTATTGAGTATTTTTGCATATGAAGCACATTGCGAGGATAAGCAGGGGAGATGCAGGAAAGGAGAGGCGGCGAGTCTGTATGGGCGATATATTGCAATGAATGCGTCGTGGCTGGCTGGCAGCCTGGGGACGCTCCTGTTGGATCTGGGGATTTTCGTGCAGTTCTTTTTGTATAGGGAGAGGGAAGTGGTGGTCGAGGAGAGGCTTGAGAATGGGAGGGGGCGGCACGAGAGGCCGTTGTTGGAGAGGGGCGATTCGAACTATCAGTAGTGAGGGTCTGGGATGGTTGCACATGTCTTCTATATAAATGTGCATTGGCGTTGGGATATAAAATGGGATGTTGGGTAACTGGGTTGGGCTAGCATAGTATTATCAATTTGATGTATCTTGTTGGCATTTTTCTTTACCCCTGTCACTAAAGCAATCTTTCAGGCGTGCAGCCTCGACTGAACTGAATTTTAGTGTTCAAAGCAGCATTGCTACAAACCCAAATGATACTACATGATCTCAAGATAAATGTAAGTCATGTATACATATATATACACAATGGTGGTGCAAAATCTATATCTACATTATGTCTTCATATTTCATTAACATCATCCAAACCCATGCGTATAGTTAGTTCATTACCCAAAGCGAAATTCCATGCAGCTGACGGCCTGTTCTAGTCGAAATCTCATCTCGACATTAGAAGCACCTCGTCCTCTTCCTCTTGTGTCTTCTGCTTTAAGTCTTTCCTACGATGCCCTTCTTCGCCCGGCGGCGGGGTCAAACTCTTCTCCCACTCCTGCATGATCGTAGACACCGTCCTCTTCAAATTACCTGGCGTAAGCTTGTCTAACGCTGGCCATTGAAGCTCTTCCCGCTTGGACGGTGTACTTGACTCTGCGTTATTTGACTGCCCGATAATTCTGGTTTGAGCGTAAGTAGGGGTTCAAGCGTAAGGTGGAGAGGAATAATATCATACTGGACTGGGTCATCTATATTTTCATTTGAGGGCGTAGCTGGATCGTCTGAAATAGTTGTACTGCCACTCCATCTCGGTGATTTAGGGGCCGGAGAATCCCAATTCGACCAGTCATCGTCATCATCCAATGCGGGAGCAGCTAACGATAACGTCCTCGACTTCTTTACAGGCTTAGGCAAAGGCTTTCTCGCTTTAGTCTCGGCATGCGTATCAGACAAGAGTTTCTCGGCTGCATCTAAAAGCGCAGAGTCTCCCCCCGTCAACGAATCCCACGTCCGGGGCGACGACGCCCTGGGAGAGTGCCTCGGCGAACTCTTCTGACCCCTGCTCATGTCAGCACCCAACAAGCTGCTCTTGCTGCTTTTCCTGATGATGGGCCCTTTACTAGTTTGCTCTATGCCACGATTTGCGGTACTGTTTGCAATCTCATCTCCAACCGTTGCTTGCCGCAGATCTTCCAAGAATGTCCAGAGACCCGTCCTCATGTCTTCTGCGACTTGTTTTGCGCCGTGCGTTAAGCCACCTTGGTAGGACAAGGGCCGTGCTCGATGGGTGCTGACTCTGGTGATGCCCTGGCTAGTATCCGGCATTGTGGTGCTTCTGGGAAAGTTGGCCTGGCTCTGGTTGTCGGTGCTAGCTTCTCGGACGGGCGGGAAAGGACGAGGGCAGTTCGAGCGTTCAGGAGATAATAGAGACAGTGTCCGCGTATGGGCCCCTGAGAATACCCTGCTCCGTGATTCCTTGGTATTGATGTTGGTCAAAAGCGCTTTCCGCCTGTCCCATTCTGCACTCTGCCGTGTCATTATCGTCCCATCCTCGTTGAACTTGGTGCCTTCCGCTGCAGCTCCAGCCGTTTGCAGTGGCTGTAGTTGTTCCAAATGTCTAATTTCCGCCTTCTTCTTGTGAGCCTCGTGGACTGCCCATTGTCTTTTGAGCTTGCTGAGGTCTGCCTCTGCTTTCCCAAGCTCCTCCTTCAATTCCAGCACTTTCCTCTCTTGGCTTGCCAGAGCATTCAGAAACCCGCTCGGATCGCTCGGAGAGGGAGTTGGTATTGTTTCGGGCGGTGTAGAAGGGAAAGAGGTGGAAATCGAAGAGGTTGGGGTGTGTCTCGCAGATTCAATACTGTTCCTGTTCGTAGCAACCGGAAAGCTCAAGGACAACCGATTTGGCCTTAGGGGTGTATATGACATGGTCCTTGAGTGCCTTGAGGCTGGTTGGGAAGGAGGATCCATGGCAAAGTTTGTCCTGCTTGGTGAGGTCCCGATATGAGGGCTTGGGGGATCAGCAGCTTGGCTGGAAACCCCTGAAGTCAAGATTGACTCCACAGAAGCCGGGTCGATAGATGAGCGTCTTCTATGACCTTCCATTGTACATATCGTTTGGTGAGTAAATTGTGCAGCTTCGTGATCCAATAATGGGAAGAAGGACGTTCTTTGTGATATCATAAATTCGTTGTTGCTCTTATATGTACGCTCCTTGTTGATCAAAACAAGGGGAAAGCTTGGACGCGGCCGAGGAAAGAAAAGAAAGATGTTTAGAAACCCAGCCCAATATAGATTGGAATCATATGGTCATGATAGTCATAAAGATAGAAAATGAGTGAAGAGGATTTCACTCTGGTCAGTTTGGACTTGGACCTGTTTGAATTGGATGTCGAATGGATTTGGATGGCGAGTGACCTCGAAGAATAGAATGACGAGGAACCCCCCTGCCCCTAACCCGTTTTCATCTGATGCGGAGATTGCTTACATGTACGGTCAGCCAATGAAAACCCTGAAACACATCACGAGACCAGGCGTCAAATAAGGCACGTCGCGTAAGCTAAGAATAACAATCCTATCCATCAACTTGATATTCACAATTCGAATATACCCCAGCCTAACATCCTACATCTTCAAAGCATCATTTGCATCATTTGCGTCCTTTTTGGTTATTTTTATCACTGTGCCATGCATCGACGGCCACCATGCCGTTCAAGTTTGCTTGGCTCTGCGACCTGCTGCAGAAGCTTGAGTCTCCCTATCTACGGGACACCCTTGTCCTGCCAGGACCCGTGAAGGAGTTCACCCAGAGGGAGATCATTCGCTGGTTTCAGAGTTATAAAAACAAGTTGAACGGATTTGAAGTCGGTAGCCGCGCTGTTGCTACGATGTTGCGACCTGAAGCGTGGACGGATCGAGATTTTGGACTAGACGCAGATGGCTTGGAATATCTGCTTGCAAGAGTTTTGTCTCTCACAAAGCTGCAGCTTGCCGAAGTCAGCAAATGGAGGGTTCATCCTTGGAAAGGTGATCTGGCAGTTTGTGTCGAGCGTGTCATGGGGGCTACAAAACGAGTGAGTGCCAGCAATCTTAGCCGTTGTTTCACCTCCCCCACCTTGAATGTCGTTTGTCGTCGCGCCAAGACGATGATTAATCTCGATTGTTCAAACACGTTTGTATTTTTCTGAAACATATACTAACAAACGTCTAGCCCTTCACAATCCTTGACATCCATGCTGTGACAGTCGAAGAAATTGATCAAGCTTTACTCAAGATAGCCTCCTATAATAAAGGCTCGTCCCTAGATGTCCAAGCCATTTCAAAACGACTTCCGCAGTCGTTTTGCCCAGTAGACTCCCTCAAGGATATATATACACGACTAGAACCACGAGAAGCGAAATGGCTTACCCGCTTGATCCTGAAGACTACCACACCCGTCCAGGTCCCAGCAGAGTTTGATATTGGCTCACATCATGCCAATTTGCCTAATATTCTCAAGATACATCTTGAGTTACCCGCTTCTGCACCGGTTGGCCTCACAATAGGAGGAACCGGTGTATGGAAAGGTCCTCAGCAAGGACGGAAGAGGCGTCTCTCTACTCCGCACAGGGAAGACGCACATGGAGACTCTCGCCAGAGAAGAGCTTCCCCTGGACCTATTGTCTTCAGAAGGGGTGTCCTGCGCCCCATTGGATCTACAGCATTGGTAAACAATCCCATGCCGACGCCACCAACGTCTGCTCCTGAAGACAGTGCACCAGCAGTCACTTTCTCGCCCAAACGAGCGTCTCCTGCTCGGCGATCACGACGTTCTTCCCCCGGGCAAATCTTTTTCCAACAAGGCATTTTAAGTCCCAAAGATCCGGAAGTTGCACGAAGAAACCAAATGCTGACTCCGGTGTCATCCCATACACCAGCAACAGCACAAGCAACATCTGGTGCAGTTCCAATATCAATCCAGCCTACCTCGCTGCCACCAACTAGCTTACCAGAGGTCGCAGCTCCACAAAGGAGCAGCCTTATCGACACCCCCTTGAGCTTCCCCACCTTCAAGCTTGGTCTCTTGACACCAAGCAGCGTAGCGGTACCGGAAAAGAAGACATCGAATACAGCACCACCTGCAGCAGTATATGTTTCAACTTCGATCCAGCCATCTCGAAGCATGCATCGATCCGCATCTACACCTAAACATTCTCCAAAGCCCCCCTCCTCTTTAACAACAGCCGGAACCGGCTCCTGTCTCGGCACCCGCAGCACTTGCCCTCTCACAAATTGCATCTTCCTCCTCGGCCCCTCTCTCCCCTCGACTATCATCACCTTTCTCGATTCCCACGGGTCCCTTTACACCACCATCCTCTCACACCTCTCGCACCCCTCTTTACCACGCACGTGCCCGCAAACTAAAAAGAAATACCGGAAGATCGCGCTGATAAATACATATGCACCCAAAGAAAGCGGAGGGTTTTTAAACAGGATAAAGGAGTTAGGATTGACGAGGAGTGGGGGACGGAAAAAGTGTTGGGTGGAGGTTTATGATTGGAGGTTATTGGGGTTGGTAGAAAGGGAGGAGAAGGGGGAGAAGGCGAAGTCCAATGTTTGGAAGAGATGCTGGATGTGCGCTATTTAGCTTGGATGGAGGGAGTTTATGGAATTGCATTTGGGCTATACCCGGCATTGATAAGTGCTTTAGATGGATATCATGGAGTCGGAATACCTATTGGGAGTTATTTTGCACAGCGCTGCTATATTTATCAAAGGATACACACTAGCTCACAATACCCGGTTCTCATCGCGTTCTGCTATCATCTCTCTTGAATGTTACTTTATATAGTTTTCGAAAGAGTCTTCGTCAAAAGGAGCTCCAGGTTGATGTGTTGCTAGGGGAACGGTGGAAGGCAAGGAGAGCTGACTAAGCGGATTTAGAACCACCTACCCACCAATCATTCTATGCCACTCTCTTTCCCATTCCACTTCCAATTTTCAATGCCAAGTACGCGACTCCCACGTCTCTTATTAGCACATAGCCATTTCCAAGAGGATTGTATTCCTTCTTTTCTGCATCTCCGTTTGCTTGGTTTTTTTACAAATCGATTTTTCTGCAAATAGGATTCCGTTTGAAGAAACTGTAATAGTCTGTTATCTTTCTTCGCTCGCTTTGTGACCGAAGGGAGCTAAGAAGGAAAGACCGACTACTAGTTGCAATCCAGATCGATACTATCCTTATTCGCGCGGTTCGAAGACGATAACGCCGTTACCAAAATTCCCGAAATTGATAGTGCGGAGGCAAGGTCTATGGAGATGGCAATGGATGGCTTTGCATCGAGGACCGAGGCTATTGCATATCGAGGTTGGTTTTGCTTTCTTCATACATTTAATCTTCGCCCTTTAGTCAATCTGTTCTTGGGCTATGTTTTCTTGAAATGCTTGTACTCTTCTTTAAATACTATGATCGAGTCCATGCTTCTAATTTGAAAAGGTCTTGGGCACACTGGTATTCTCGAAATTTTGCACTTTCCCTAAGAATAGCTTTGTTCATGTACCTGAATGAAAGCTTTCTGAATGCTCCGCTGCATAGAATCGCTATACTAGGTACATGGTCGAGGTGGTCACACAGAACTGGTAAAGAGTGGGGCAAAGACCAGCTGACATACTGTACAAGGAAGCCCCGCCCCATAGAATCGTACTGTCCTTGCCCCGATTAAGAAGCCCGCGAACGAAAATAGACTCGCTTGAATTAGATTTCATCCTTGTGGTAACATACATAGGAACCTTAATTATTAATAATGATGCTTAATTCCTGGGAGGTTTGCCTGTTTGCTTAATACTAGATTAAGTTTCAAGTTAAACGTTATCCCTAATACCTATTGCATTGCAAGTCATTGGTCAAGCAAACAACTCATCAGCGGCAGAGCCTCACCTCAAGATGGCCAGGACATATGCCACGCCCGCGGCCGTCATTCTCATCAGCATCCTATTCCCTATCCTCGGTCTCATAGCCGTACTCCTACGCTTCTACACGCGCATCAAAGCGAATGGCAAGTTATGGGTCGATGACTGGTTGACCATTCCAGCATTAGTACGTGGATGTGCAATAACTGCTAGTATCACTTACCTACCTATGCCTGGTACTGACTCACCTGATTGATCTAGATGTTGGAATTCGTCTTAGCAGGGCTTCTGATATGGGGTGCTGCTACTGGATCCCTGGGGGATGTCTTTCCTCAACCAGATATCCCAGGACCAAAGGCTTTTCTGTTCTCGGAATCTCAGCGTCAGATTAGAACTCAACATGTAATCCATCCATCCCTCAAACCCATGCATAAACGTGATATAACATACGGTGGTAATTGATTAATCAACGAATTACTTACTAATGTAGAGTACTGCATAGATCCAATACTTCTTCGATTTCATCGGCGTGTTCGAATTCGGACTGCTCAAGCTTAGCATCTTGTTCTTCTACCGCAAAGTCTTCTGCACCGCTGTCAAAACAAGCACCTTCGATATCGTCACGCGCGTCATGATCGTCCTCGTTATCCTCTGGACCCTCGCGTTTGGCATCGGCACTATCCTGGTTTGTGGCGCTCATCCGGCTTCTGCGTGGACTGCTGTTGCGAATTTGGTGCAGAAATGTAGTGCGCAGTTGCCGGTGCTCGAGGCATATGCCATTTCTGATTTCATCATGGATGTTCTGATCTGGTCGCTTCCCCTTCCAAAGGTAAGATACCTAGGTCCTGCCTGAGTTCCCCCTTCCCCAGGTGTCTATCTGTCCATGCCCTTTATGGAAGAGATGAACGTTGTGATTGACTTATCGCTAGATATGGGGTTTGCATATGAGCACCAGCGGGAAATTTGCTGTTATGGGAGTTTTTCTCGTGGGATTTCTGTAGGAAGACCTCGTAGATTACTGGATAGTCTTACTGATATTATCTCAGGACAATTGCAGCCTCAGCCGCAAGAATGGCAATCTATATAAGGTTTGTTGTCAATGCATTCGACCAGCCTGATGGAGAGAGTAAAGAATCCCATGACAGTCCTCTTACCTCGATCATGCGCTTACAACACTTAGCCCTCATAACTTTCCTTCTCTTCTGGACAATGATAGAATGCGGTCTGGGCGTGGTGGTTGTATGCTTACCCACCCTCAGATCTCTTTACGGCAAATTGTTCCCCGGATCTATTATTCGAGGCATTCGAAGCATCTTGGGGTCCGGGTCCCAGGGCGTGCGCGAGTCTACCGCGCCAGGTATCCATCGCCTAGAAAGTATCGAGAGGTCCTCTGATCCCTACACATCTTATCCATCTGTTCATAGTCCCCATGAAGGGAGGATACAGACATATATTGTTGGGTCTCATGACTTGGAGGGCCAGAAGCACTTACCGAAGGCAGGGATTCGGATCAAAAGCCAGGTGGAGCAATATTGATTGGACTCTGACACGAATGGCTGATAATATATGAAATGAGAATTATAACAATTGATTCTCCAAGTTCAACATTAGGTCAAAGTATCCTGGCCGTGACTCTCACCCCCTTTGATTCAAACTTCGGCATTGCAACCTGGTAATCATGAACGAAAGCAACATCACTCTCATCCGTTTCCCAAAGCTCCATATTAAACCCCCTGACTAGTGCTGCTGTGACGAGATAGAGTTCTGCACGCGCGAGTTCGATACCTAAACACTTTCGTCCTCCTTTACCAAACGCCATCTGGAACTTCCGGCGTTCGTTGCCCGCATCGCCGAGCCAGCGCTCTGGGTCGAAGGTAAAGGGTTCAGGAAAGACGGCTTCCGCTGTATGAGCGCTGAAAGTTGTTGTACTCATGGGTGTCCCTGGGGGGATGACGTAGGGTTTGCCCGGAGAAGTGGCGTATGGGGATGGGGTATATGTGAGAGTTTCATCTGCGATGCGGGCTGTTCTAGCCGTGACGCCAAAGGAGAGTCGGTTCCCTTCCTCAAGAACCGCAGACAAATAAGGGAGTTTCTCTAGCTCTGTCCACGACGCGGTTTTGGGGACTGTGCTGAGTTCAGCCCGGAGTTTACTGAGTATCGAGGAATTGGCGAGGATGTGGTAGAATATGATATTAAGACTTTTCGCAGGTGATTCTGTTCCAGCGAGGACCAATAGTGCACCTTCTTGCTCAAGACGCAGTAGAGACTTTTCCTCTGGTGGTAAGACGTTGCTGTCAATCACCGAGTGATATACGGACTCTTTGCCTGTTGGTCCCAGCCGTTTCTCACTTGAAACGCCTGAAGATTTGGCTGCCACGATGCCCATCAGCTCAGCACGAACTCTCTGTAGCTCATTGTCAGTAATAATGCTTTATCTGGTAATCTTCAAACATTCTCAACTTACATCGAATAGTGCTAACATGTCAATCAATCCAGGTGGCATTATCGGTTTGCTAATAAATAGTGGAAGAGAGTCGAGGAAAGTAGGGAACCATGGAAAGTGCTTGTTGATGTTAATACCTAGTAGAAGATCATTGCCATTCTGGCGAAGTGTAGCTGCAAGAGTCTCGTCGGCAAGGACATCGGTTTGATGAGCGAATAAGAAGTTGTTGGTAACACTGTTTCTTGTTAACACTATGCTATCAAGATATCTTCTCATTCGTACTCGCTAGAGAAAGCAAAAAGTGCATCAGATAAATTGATCGTTGTCTTTTCAGATGCATGTTTCGTGATCAACTGACATAATTGCTCAAGCTTTCCAGTGATCAGAGGTTCCAGGTGAAGCACATTCCGTCTGCTAAAAAAGGGGCCAAGTGCTTCGCGACGTTTTCTATGGACATCGTGCCGTACTGTTGCGCCTATAGCGCCTGGAATTTGTAGGGTCCTTAATATGTAATCGTACTTATCTCTATGGGACATTGAAGGTGCGTAGATTGTTTCTAGAAAGCCAACATCATTGATATGAATCTCATCCGGAGTGATCCGAATAATTGGACCTGAATGATTTGTTCGTGATCAGTTACAGGCGATATCATTCTTGGCAGTTTTGCACTGCCAGCCTCGGTTGTCACAGACTTACCATATTGCTTATGAAGCTCCTGGATCTTGAACACAAATATGCTTGGCTGAATAACATCGAAATAGAATTCATACCACCACGTGATTGCGGCAAGTCTTGGTCCTGGTATATGTGCCAAAGGATGAAAGTAGACTCGGCGTACGGCTTCAGCAACTGCCAGTAGCAGTGACAACACCACGGTTGTCCCTAAAACTTGAATAAGAGTCATGGTAGGGAATTCAAAGACAGAGTGATCTGCGAACGACAACTTCTAGAATTCAGATTGTCAAAGGCCTCCCTCCTAAGGAAATGTTGGCACCTGGATGTTGACGAGAAGAGCTTGATAAATCTTGCTAGATACTTCATAGACGGAGCTTGCGCTATCTGAAAGGACATGCCAAAAAAGCGCAGAAATTGGATCGAAGATGATGGTTTTGTTAGAGATCAGCAACTCACTGCCTAGGTCTTGTTTTGGTGGCCTGTGCAGCGGCGAGGACCACTTGGGTTGGATGATAATAAGGCTGGTTTTGATTGGCCGCTTGAACGAGGACCAATCAAAACAAAGCTAGGTGCGCTTAGGTCATTTCCAACGATAGGAGCGGTGGGAGCAGGAGCCACCAGAGCTTTTGAGGTCGCACCGTACGTACCTCCATAAGCTTCACTCCACTGGTGGTAGCCCAAGTATAGTATAACTTGGTACTTCAACAACAGCCAGAGGGCTAAGTGGTAATACATCAAATTCTTCTATCATATCAAATTTTATTTCGGCTCAAATCCACCAACGCCCTGCAAATTTATTTTCCCATCCATTTTCCAAAACGCCCACCAGATAAATTCCCAATTAGTCTTCGTCCAAAGCCTTTCTCCTCTTCTCCTGATCCCTCTGCAACTTCTTAAAGAATGAATTATGCTCCCCCTTCTTTCGCTTCAACTCCTTATTCTTGCTCTTGTTCTGCTCCACGTACGCCATATCCTGGCCTCCAGCAAGCTCGCTTAGCGCCCCGGCTGTTCTTCTCGCATTAGCCTTCTTTTTCGCTTTGGCTTTCGATTTGCCGTCCATCATGTGGAACATGTCATCTCCTTTGTCATCGTTGTCCATGTCTGCATCATTGGCGATCAAGACGTTTTGGAGGAGTTCTCGGCGCTCAGAGGGCGTGGAGAAAGCAAGACCTGGGAGATCTTCGATCCCTTGAAGATGGGTAATGACTTTGAATGCGTAGCCTTGGTCAACGAGAAAGGCTTGTCGTTTGGAGGAGAAGTACATTTCTTGCGTATCTTTCGAAACGAGGGAGTAGAAGAATGCGTTAAAACCCTCGTCATTTCGACGTTTGGCTCGGAGGATGCGACCCAGTCTTTGGGCCTCTTGACGACGAGAACCGTAATGGGAGGATATTTGGATGAGACAGGTGGCTTCGGGGAGATCCAGAGATGTGTCACCAATTTTGGAGAGGAAGAGGGTGTTGATTTTATCGTTATGCTGGAAGTTCTCGAGAATTCGCATTCGCTCGGCGTTGCCTGTCTCTCCGTAGATGAAAGCCTTGTTGAGCTTTGTTGCATAGGCTTTCAGAGCGTAGATGTTGTCTGCAAACACGATGATCTTATCCCCTCGTTTCTCATGGTAGTCGATCAAGAATTGACAGGCTTGGAACTTTCGAGGGTTCATTGTCCAGATAAGTTGCTTCTTTTTCGCCGAGTGTCTTAGATACTCGGAATAAAACTCAGTTGTCATCGGACACCAGACTTCAGCACATTGAACTCGGGCAATATGCCCTTGTTCTGCAAGCTCCATCCAGTTAGCCTCGTACAGCTTAGGACCAATCAAGAAGTTCAGATCACTGATCTTATCGTCCTCACGAAGAAGGGTCGCAGTCAGGCCCAGCTTCGAATGAGTCTTGATAGTAGATGTGACCTTTCTGAACATATTGGCGGGTACGACATGTACTTCGTCAAGAATCATCAACCCCCATTCTCTGCTTTGAATGAAGTCCATCATTTTCTGAGAATCGTAAGACCTCTTGCCTCTCTGTGCTACCATAGAGTATGAAGTGACGATAATCCCAGTGTTCCTCGCAAACTTGTCCTTGTTATCTGAAGTGAAGATTGCAATATCGCTGGGATTGATGTTCGACCACTTAAGAAATTCCTGTCGCCATTGGATGACCGACATAGAACTTGTGCAGAGGATGATGACGCCCTTTTTGACTGTGCAAGCAGCTGTAATCCCAACCAGGGTTTTGCCGGCTCCGCAAGGAAGAACGATGATTCCACTTTTAGCTCTCCCGTTACCAAACATCTTACTAAGACTCTTCTCCTGGTAGTGCCGGATTTGAGCAGAGGGTTTCAGGTCAATATCAAGGTTTGCATTATGCGAGTCATTGCGGAAATCGTACTCCTCCAGAACAGGTAAGCCCAACTCAAGGCAGCGCTTTTGAACAGTCTCGACAGCAGTATCGCCAATTTCAAAGTGGTGCACAGCGTCGGCATCCTCATCATCATCATCATCCTCATTCAGAGTAGCAACAATATCTTCCTGCTGTACGTTTTCTCCTTCTTTTGGTTTTGCGCCTTCTAGTTGAGCCTGCTGGACACCTGCAAAGTTCTTCGTTCCTGGAATGACCAAACCTGCCATCTTGGGAGCCGAGGCACTTGTGATCTCTTCAGTTCCTTGCACTCGGAGGGGACCAATGACTTCATCCTTAAGCAGACGCTGCAACATCTCCGGATCAGAGCTCTCTACGTAATGCTTGGTATCCTTCAGCACCAGCTTCACCTTGCCATAACTATGCGTGCAACTCGTAATGAAATCCCGTATGTTGTCCGGGACAGGTATCTTGGATAATCGATCCAGCACGTTTATTATATCCTTTGGATCCAGTCCAACAGAAACAGCAGCGTATAGACTATGGGGTGTCAAGGCGTACTCGTGAAGAAAAATGGGCCGCGACAAAGGCTCCGCAATCGTCGTTAAGAAATCCTGAGCATGGGTGGCCAAGGGCGAGAAACTCTCGAGGATAATTCGCCCTTTGTGAGGATCTATCCATAGCGGTCGATTGTCATGATCCGGCTTCAGCGAAAGGTACGAGAAGTCGTTGGCCCCAAAGTGGTGACTCGCCGAGTCCATCCCAGAAACAGCATGGCTTCTCTGCTTCGCTTTATAGTTTTCCACGGAGAATGAATTTATATTTCTCTTCATATTCTCCTTCTCCGACTCACTCGGCTCAGCATCTGAGTATTCATCGCTGCTGCTGCCGATGCTTCGTGGGGTCGCAGGTCCTGGGGTTGAGACTGCGGAATCTCTCCCTATCTTTGTGCTCCCTCGGACATCTAGATGGTACACTGTTAGCAATGTTAAGGAGTGTAAAGCAAATGAAAGCCCATACTTGATGAAGCTTTCCTCTTCGCCGGCATCTCGGCGGTTTCTTACAGATGTAGCTGTGAGATGTATAAAGTGAAATGAAATCCAGAGGGGCAAAGTTTAAGACAAGGCTACGAGAGTCATCCGCGCTAGTACGTTCTTGTTCTTCAGGCGCGTGGTCGCGTGAATTTGAACAAAGACATTTCGAGATCACTTTTTGATATTAGAAGAACTCGCCAGACAAACTGAATCAATCGAGTCGCAAGCATGTGGTAAGTTATGCAATAAGAGAACTTGGAATGCTCCTGATGAGATGCCCAGCAAACACATCCTTAACGCCCAGGTCTCCATCAGAGCACCATGCTGTACGCCCCTTCCAACCTTCTGGAACTCGAAACCTGCCATGCTAACAACACCCAGGCCGAAAATGGTTCGACTGCGCAGAATGCCACCTAGAATCAGAAGACCATCCTCTCCTGCAAAGAACTGAAATGGTGCGTCTTTTCCTTCTATCCCCATCGTCTGTCTGCCCCGCCTCTCTGCCCCTAACAAAGACAACCAGGTATTCGCCTGCAAAAAGTGCAAAAAGGCCTTCCGCAAAGATGGCCTGGAATTCGAAGAGAGCGACGAGTACTGCCCGCACTGCGACAACCACTTCGTATTAGAAGCTGTCACAGCGAAGCCGATCCTAGAATTTGAAGGGGAGGATGCCAGGGTTGACAGTCGGATGTTGAAGGATGATAGGGTTAGAGGGGAGGAGCAAAGGACGATATTTGATGTGAAAGAGGCGCCTAATAAGTTGGGATGAGTGAGGAGGATACGTGTTGATGATGGGGTGATAGATGGGGATGAAAGGCATTTGATTTAGCGGCATGGTGTCTGGAATTTACTGGTTTATGGGGATGAAAACGGCATGAGAATGGGATGGCCTTGCTGATTCGCTAGACAGCAGAATATACCATGGGGGCATGCATCTGGGGAGACGAATAAAGGATGTGCAATGCTTTTATGGCCACGGGTTCATCGCTCATTGCTATAATACAAATGCTCTATGAAAATGCCGAAAATCAAGGAAGTACATTCTAAGCACCTGAAGCATCATCCGGTCCTCTCGTCAAAATAGCAGCATTTCCAGTACCTGGTGTCCGACCACTCTTCTTCTTGGCAGCCTCCTCGACCTTCTCCTGCTCAATGGCCTTCACATATGCCTCAATATCCTCCACGGGTAACATCTCGACGCTCTTCCCTGGGGCCATGATCGCGATCTCAATGTTCTTTGCTCCAGTCTGCACAACTTCCAGTAATGACTTGATGGTCAACTTGAGTGTAGCTTCTCTGTCCATGTCATCCTTGTGGTTTCGTTCGAGGAATTCGCGGACGGTCTTGCTGGAACGGCCGATGGCGTTTGCTTTCCTGTACATAAGTTAGCATGGGTCTTTTTTTAACACCTATTATGCAACATACCATGCAGAGTAAATTCCCGACGGCTCAGTCTGGTACAATCTGGGCGTCTTATCATTGGGGTCAAAGCCAACAATCAACGTGCTAATACCAAAAGGTCTCACACCACCACTCTGCGTATATCTCTGCTGCACACCAGCCACATATTTCGTAATGTACTCTATCGAGACCGGATCCTCGACTGTCAGACGGTGGGATTGTGCTTCTAATCTAGCCTTGTCGACTAAGATTCTGGCATCGGCATTGAGACCGGCGAAGGCGAGACAGACGTGGGTATCGACGAGACCGATCTTCGAGGGTGTAATACGGGTATCTTGCAGCTTCATTGCCGAACGCTTCTCACATCCTAGCACAACAATATCTGCTCCCTTTACTCCTACAGCACAAGTCCCTAGAAAGAGCTTAGCTTTGGTTGGAGGCTCTAAGACGACCATTCATACCTCGTTTCACAGCCTCCAGCGCATATTCGACTTGGAAAACGTGTCCATCGGGGCTTTGTGGTAGTTAGCACATGTTCGAAGTTTGAGGACATTCAACTGACCTGAAGACTACACATTGTTAGCATAAATGTCAACATGTGAAGGGAGAAGAGCTTAGCTTACCGGAAAGAGCTCTGTCATATCCAGACGCCATGTTGTATGAGTATCCGAATCAAGGTGGGGGATGCACGGCTTCTTGAGTATCGAGAGAAAAGGTTGAGTGGTTGCGAAGCTGTTTGGTTGATATTGACTAGAGCTTGGAGTGTTTCCATCAGGTAGGCTGCATCGCGTACGAAGTCACAGCTGCCGCGAGCTCTTTCTAGGCCTTATATATGAGGCTACGACGAGGCTGACTTCAGGCGCGACTTCTTCCGTGCTCAAACCCCACTTTTTACTTCTTCTCCAGCTCATTGCCAAAGTCTTCCTTAAAAATCCTTTTATTTCCAATATGGCAAGCCGTTCACGAGTGTCCCTGGCTCTACGCCGAGCTCGAATATCCCCAATCCCCTGTTCAAGACCCATACGACCGCTTTCCCAGTTCCGATGGACAAGTACCGCAACTACAGAAGATAGCGAAGGGGTAGCAAAAGGCACCACAGGCTCCTCAAAAACAATTAAATTTACCTCCGAAACCTATCCCGAGATCAAACGAGACTCCAAGTTCGCAGAAATTACTGAAGATCACGTCAAATTCTTCAAACAGCTGCTGGGTAAGGAATCGGCGATTATCGATGGCGTAACGAAAGATGCTACAGATGATATCGAGCCTTTTAATGGGGATTGGATGCGGAAATATCGGGGGCATACGAAGCTAGTGTTGAAACCTGGATCAACCGAGGAAGTCAGTAAGGTGTTGAAATATTGCAATGATAACATGCTGGCTGTTGTACCGCAAGGAGGTAACTCAGGATTGGTCGGAGGTTCGGTGCCCGTGTTTGACGAAATTGTCATTACTATGAGCCGGATGAACCAAATAAGGTCTTTTGATGAAGTCTCCGGAGCTCTTGTTGTAGATGCTGGTGTGATTTTGGAGGTCGCGGATAGTTTCTTACAGGAGAAGAACCACATATTTCCGTTAGACCTTGGTGCCAAAGGATCTTGCCATATTGGAGGGAATGTTGCTACCAATGCTGGTGGCTTACGGTTATTACGTTATGGAAGTTTACACGGCAATGTACTTGGCATTGAAGCAGTATTGCCAGACGGAACAATCATGGACGACCTTGGACAATTAAGAAAGAACAACACTGGATATGATCTCAAGCAATTGTTCATTGGAGGCGAGGGTACTCTTGGGATTATTACTGGTGTCTCCATTATGTGCCCTCAAAGGTCCAATGCCATCAATGTGGCCTTCTTTGGTCTGGAGTCCTACGAGAAAGTTCAATTGGCGTTTCAGGAAGCAAAGGGCCAACTCTCGGAGATCCTCTCCGCATTTGAGCTCATGGACGTTCAGAGCCAGGATCTGGTCCAGAAAGTCACAGGGAATAAGCGTCCACTGGAGAGCGAGCACCCATTTTACTGTTTAATCGAGACAAGCGGATCAAACTCCGAACACGACAACGAGAAGCTTGAGAAATTCCTCGAAGATGTTATGGAGAAGGAAATTGTCTCAGATGGAGTCGTTGCCCAAGGCCAAACACAAGTCAAGGAGTTATGGGGCTGGAGAGAAGGCATACCAGAATGTCTCGGCCACTGGGGAGGTGTGTACAAGTATGACTTGTCAATACCGATCAATGAGCTCTATGCACTTGTCGAAGAAACACGAGAAAAGATCCATAACTCTGGCCTGCTCGGAGATACCGATGAGCACCCTGTGGTTGATGTTGTCGGTTACGGTCATATGGGCGACTCGAATCTTCATCTGAACGTCGCGGTTCGAACATATGACAAGAGGGTCGAGAAGGCGTTGGAACCTTTCGTATATGAGTGGATCGCGAAGCGGAATGGAAGTATCAGTGCAGAGCACGGCTTAGGTCTTGCCAAGAAGAACTATATCGGATACAGCAGAAGCGATACAATGATCAATTTAATGAAGCAGATCAAGAATCTTTACGATCCCGTAAGTCGTATTCTCCAAGCTGACGTTTGGTTCTAACTAACACTCCACAGAACGGAATCATGAACCCATATAAATACATATAAGATGTGTGTAATTCTAAAAAGGGGTTGTATATATTGGCTTAAGTCTGTACATAATTCAAATACTTCAAACTGGTATTGCACATGCTCTCGTTGAAATGAAACCTTGTAGAACCGCGGCCGCGGTCTGCGCCGTACACTAGTCCCACTTTGCCCCTTTTCAAACGAACCGAGCCTAGAACACCGTGATTTTCAACATGAAAAAATACACCTCACGTCTCACATCAACCCAGAATGTCAGAATGGTCTCTAAATTTGCCACCTTCCTCCTCATTATCCACACATTCGTAGACCTCTACCTAACCGCCGCCCTCCAAGGCTTCGACTTCAACCGCGACAAGGATTTCCTGCCCGGCCAGCACCTCATCTTCAACGCGTCCATCTACTGTACTTTTGGCACTATCCCCTTCTTCCTCTTCACCTTCCTAAACTATGCGTGCATCCCGCGTTCCTGGCGCGTCTCTTTCAAACGCCATCTCCTGATTGTGCTTGTTCTTGCACCCATTCTAGCGCAGGTTATTGGCAGGGGTGGCGGGTGGATTGAAAATGGAAGTGGAGAGGTGGAACAAAGCGTTGCATGCTTCGACCAACTTGATGCCAGCGATGTTAATGTGCTTGTCAAGGGCGTTTACTGTGAGCATCGATTCGGGCTTTTGCGTTCTGATGCGGAACGCAAGATTGGGAAACGCCGGGGGAGAATGGAGTTCGTGGAGTATTTGGCGAGGGTTTGTAATGAGGCGATGAGGGATATGGATCATTGGACTGGGTATGAGCCGGTTTGTTGGATGGGGCATGGTGGTGGTGAGTTTAAGGGGGAGAGGGTGGGGGGAAGAGAGGAATGGTGAGAGGGAGTGGGTGAGGAGGGGGTTTGAGGAGTGTCATGAGAGGTTTGGGGTTGAGGCTTTGATGAATTGGAGGGAGGATGTAAGTTTTGGGCTTTACTTAGCAAGAGAATATGTGAATCGTTCTTGGAAGAAAGGAAGCAATTGCTAACACTTGATCCAGTCGCCCTTTCCATCGGTCAAGTTGAAGACTCCAAGAGTAAAAGGCACCATCTTCACAGGTGATTTTGTCGATTTGGATGCCTTTATTAACATGGACGAAGCTGGCTTCCTGGTAGAAGCAAATTAACTCATTTAAGTCGCCACGGCGCCTTTTTATCTCTACCAAGAACCATTAACCGGATCTATCATCCAACCAGCTCTCTCCATAGCTCAATCGTATCCCCTACGCGCTTTCCATGTGAGAGTGAACTAATCACGGTAGTCTTCTTGTTATAGACATCCTAGACTTCAAATTCCGTTGTCCCAATACCTGTTACCACTACTACGCGAAAAAAGAGAAGAATGGGCAGAAGACCTTGGAGTCAACTATACTGCTGGCGTTTATTTAGAATAATTAGTTTGATACTTTTGGGAACTAAGTCCGCTCTTCAAGTATGATATACGACGCTAGAAGAAGAACCTCTAGGGTCATAATCACAAAGTACGGAATGGGAAACAATATCACAATAAGAACCTCTGGCAAACCTACTCATATACCAAGCTGGTATCTTGATACATCTTCCTACCTCTCTCTCTCGGCTGTCTATGAAAAGGATAAACGATATCGCTAGAAGTGGAAATTAAGGTGAATACCTAGGTATATAATAGGGAAAAACAAGGACTTTCCCTCTCCCAACTCTCCAAAAATGCCCCAAAATGCCCAATTCAGATTCGCAAAACTCTGAACCATAACTAATCTTTAATATGATTTCTCACGAATGATTAGGAAAGGATGGAGAACTCCCTACCCAGACCGCAGTCGTAACTTGAAATACGCGGCTTTTTGGATTTCATATCTTGATTTCTTTTAATCTATTCCAGATATCTATAAATTTCCATCCTCTACGGTTTATACACAAGCCGTTTCACTAAGCTACTATGTAGCCTACCTATAACCACTTTTCCAGTGGGAGCCTCTTAAATCTTACTAACCTCTCCGACCTCCAAGAATCCACCCACAACAGCAGTCAACAGCTGATTAGCAATGGCAGTTTTGGGCGGTAATCTCAAATTCCCCTCCTTATACCCCTCCGAAGCTGGATCTCCAAGCCCACTAGTCCCAACCTTCAACGCCTCCCTAACCTCATCAATTGGAACCCACTTCGCATCTTCCAACTCCGGATCATGCTCCAAATGGATGCCCTCACCATCCGGCAATGCCTGTCCAATCGCCCCAATCATAAGATTCGCAGGATACGGCCAAGGCTGCGTAGAGTGGATCACTACACGACCGAGATGCACGCCTGATTCTTCCCATACTTCGCGACGCACGGCTTCTTCTACTGATTCCGCGGGCTCGCAGAATCCTGCAAGAGTAGAGTACCAGTAGGGCGGCCAGCGCTTTTGACGGCCGAGGAGCACGCGTTTCGCATCGTGGGATACAACAGCCATTATTACGGTGGGGTCGGTGCGGGGGAAGGAGAGGTTAGAGATGCCTTTCCGCGTAACGCAGGCTAGTCTCTCCCGGGGCGTTTCCAAGGTCGTTGTTGCGCCTTGGGCGTTGGCAAGAGATGAAAAGTCTGTGGGTGGACAGGTTCGTTTTGTCCCTGCGTTAACGGAGAGGGTGGGCTGGCCGCAGCCGCCGCAGAAGGGATTCCGTGCGTTCCAGTCAAGCAATGCTCGGGCTTGGGCGTATATGGCAGCTATTCCGAAGATCAGTATTTATTTTTCCAGTTGCTGGGCTGTGAAATACCTTCCGGCGCATTCAATGTCATATGTACCCTTCCCTCAATAAACTGTAATCCTTTCTTCTTCATCGCCTCAATCACAGCACTCGCCTGTTTCTCCACTGTTCCCCTGGGAGTAACATCTACTGCGAAGAAAGCCTGCCCCTTATAAATCCCATGTTCAAACCCCCCATTCTTCCTCTCATCCAGACCCAAAAACAAGACCAACGGCAGGGTCACACTGCTATTATATTCTTTGACCAACTCCTCCTCGCTCTTCTCAAATGGATTATCCCCAATCAGTTCCCGCACATCTTCATGTTTTGCGTATGCGAGCTTCGTGGGGTCTGTGGCGAGGGGTGAAAGATCGTTAAAGAGCAGGAAGGAGGTAGAGGGGTGCGTAAGTGCTTTGGTGATGAACTCGTGGTTTGTACGCAGGAACGAGACACGGTTGAGGGGGGAGCCGGAAAAGTAGTTGGCTACTTCTCGGCCGAATTTGCGGGAGAGCATTGAGTCTAGTTCTGCGTGGGCTGCTTCCGGGAGGCTGGGTTGAGGGGGCATAGTTGCTCGTACTTTCTCGACCGAAACTGGTTACCGCGAGATTGAAGATTTATTGGGGTTGATGGGAGCTGGAGAAGAGAAGTACATTGTTAGGAGTGGGTTGGGCAAGATGGCGGGGTGCGATGAGATGTGGGGTTCCGGATTGCTAAGCATCCAAGTGCTTACGTACAATGCCTTATCGCCGGTCCGTTCGGGAATAATAAGTGTAGGACTAGGATAGGATTACTGAACAAACCTTAACGTCCTATCAAAACCTTTCGCTCTTTATGAAAGTAATAAGTCTTTGAGCAGGATGATGTGATCTAACTAAAATTGGATAAAGGGAATGCGAAGATGGCTTAGGCCTTTCAGCTTAGCATCAAGTTGTGATATATCATGTGACTGGCCTGCCCCTTTTTGATATCGAATTAGATTAATCAAGGGTGAAGAAGTGGGGATTTAATTTGTATTTGCAAAAAATGTTTCTTTTATTATGAATATTTCTGTCTTTGAGGTTAAAACCAACGAGAGCTTTCTTATAGTAAGTCTTAAGCGAGCCCCTATTTTCCATTGACGGCGGAGCTAAATTGCTAATAGGATGCCACGAAAACGATGATCACGTTAACATTGTCGGTTTTTATTCGATATCTTTCATACATTGGAAAGCTAGCTATGCAACGGATGTGTTTTGTACTGCTACGCATAACACCGAAGAATAATATCTGTACCAATACTACCACCAGTACTAACAAGTAGTACTAGTAGATGAGTGAAGCAAAAGAGAAGCGGGCAAGACCCATTGTCAGTATCCCTGATAGTAGCTGAAAGACTGCCATAATAGTCTTGACATGGTTGCTAATCACCCTTGACAGAATGCGTCGGAACTTTCATCGCTGAGAGTAAGTTGAATGGGCCTAAAGGCTAAAGCTCATCGACACTGAACAGTCCTGGGCGTCCCGGGTACCAAGATCTCGGAATTTTGCTTGAAAGCGTTACCCCTCTATATTTTGCATTATTGACGTTCGCCTAGATCATTATAAAGTACTCAACTGGCTTTTTGGGGCTTTAAGTTTACGAATTATCGTGCAGATTTCGTGAATGACGCCCTGTGGGGTGCAGGTGAGGAGTCTAACGACCCGGCCATGAATGGGGGTGTTCATTATTTGGGAGGTGTGAATGTGGAGTGTCAGTGAGGTTAAAGGGTCCTGGCAACTTCCAACCGCTCCTTGTATTGTATTACACCACTTCCCACTACATTCTACACCGACACTTGATAGTTTCATGAATCAGCTGAGATTTTAGATATTACGTACATCACGAGATGCAAACAAGGAATTCATATGCACTACATTGAGAATGTATTTATTGTTAGATCTACTTATTGTATGAGCAATGGTCCCTATGGGCTTGGATGCTCTGGGTGGATGTCTATACATAGATATCAGAAGATCATGGGAGAAGGAAAAAGGAATGGTTCGCAACATGAAGGCCGAATTAAAAAGTACGTCTACTTTGTAGTTGGAAACAGCCAGGAATTATGAACCACAGGGCTCTTCAATCCAAGATTCCCTGGGGGGTACATTCTACCTAGACCACCTCCCGCAATAGGCTGTGTCCAATGTAAACTTCGGCTCGTAGAACTGTCGAAGAGGGTCTGGAATGAGTGACTTCTTGCTAGTCTCTCTTGGAAATCAGAGAGACTAGACGAAAAGTTACGCAGATTCAGCGCTTACAAATTCATTTTTCTAAAAAGTCAGGTCTTTGATCCCCGTTTCCTGTTGTGTGTCAGCTTCCGGTCGAGAATATCGCAACATCCAAGCGTATCTTACCTCCAGTAAGGGATGTGAAGGCCTGGATGATATTCTCGCTTCAAGTTTACAAAATCAATGGCGAGAGGCTTTTATATACTCCAGTCAAATATGAATGATTATCAAACAAGGTATACGCAAATGTATTCAGGAGGTTGTACTGTGACCTAAGCTACAGGAAAATCATGCTTATTTCTCTCGCAACATCAAAGCTTCCCCAAGAATTCCAACTCCCAGACCACTCGCAAATCAAATATAATCTCAGGAACCCCTCCCAGTCCTCCTAAGCTAAGAACTGGTAATCAGTTAGAAGTTGCTTTGAAAGGAGAGAGAAGAGAGGGATGAGAACATACCCTCGGATCATCAAGTCTCGCAAAAATAAGCTGCACATCCTTCAAATGCTCCAGCTCCGGAATCTCCAAAACCATCTTCCAGAACGCCCGAAGCACATGTCGGCCATTAGAGTCGCGTGGTCTTTGATGCAAGTCAACATAGGATATCGGCGTCGCTCCATTCGTCTGCGCAGTCGAGTAGGCATATTCCTCCGTCTCGGTGACATCGACAATGATCTTTCTCAAGTTCGGTAGGTGGAGGTACGAGGGCAGAACTTCTGCAAAGAAAAGACCCATGCCCAGGAGATGTATTCCGAGTCCCACGGTCCTGATCTCCTTGACGTTTCTCTGGCTGCTACCACCAAAGAACACCCGAGTGGCACTCCGTCGACCGAAGTGAACAATATCGTGGTCGTAGTCGAACAGGAGCATGGAAGAAGATGGTAGACCTTTTAACTCCCAGGCATGTGCTGGGAAATACTTGTACCTCCATAAGACAGCTGCCTGGGATTCCTTACAGGCTTGTTTAATATGGAAAAGAGAGTCATGGGTATCTTTGCGAATCATCTGCCCCATCAAATTAGCATAGGAGAAGTCAATTGCCTAAAGAGAGATGAGGAGACTGGGACGTGTGTATGAGAATAAGCCTACCAAATCCTGTTTCGTTTTCTCGCTAGCATAATGGATCTCGATAATTCGCGGACCAGGCAATGTGTACGACCAAATCTGACGACGAAGCTCAAGTGGGAGCTTGGTAAAGAGTGTAAATTCTTCAAGAGGAGCAACTTTCCGGATGCAAGCCTCTGCTAATCGTGCTCTTTCCCTATGGATCAAGATGGAAGCAGGGATCTCATTGTACGGCTTGCTTATGACCAGACCCTTCGACAGAACTCTATCTGTCAGGCTTCGAGAGCCATTGCCATTGCGGTTTCTTCGAAGAGCGGCCTTTACTCGCTGAATGATGTTTTGACGCTTCTTCTGTAAGACCATGTTGTAGACAGCTAGTCGTGTTTCGTATCTTGGATGGGAGAGGCTCAGGATCTCGAGGTTGTGTGGGGTTGAGATCGGTCGTGGTAAAGGAATGATTACGCGTTGTTGGAAGGCGAAAGACCCGCAAGAAAATGAATGTAATCCAGCTTCACAAATTCACAGATTCAGATTCACATTGTTGTTGCAAGAGCGAGAACAACTGATGTCATTGCTTCTGACCAAAGCGGTCGTGGTGAGAGATTGCATTTCCGAAAAAACATCATATCCGAGGCAACCACTTATATCTTAAAAACAGAGATTTGCACTGCTAAAAACCTCCTCAAATACTAAACCATAAATATTTCCGATGGCGCGACTCCACACAAGCCGAGTAAAGGAGATATTGTGAAACTTACAAATCCAATGACAGTACTCTATAGGAGTTTCACAGAAACGATCGTGTAATTAAACATTCGAGAGACCAGAAAAGAGCAATTTACAGAGTTTGGATCTTCTCAAATAAAACAAAATCTACCACGCTCTTATTCACGCCACGGTAATGTGGCGCTAATCCCCCTTTTATCACGTACATTGTACACGTGACACACCCTGCTCTGCGCCCCCAATCTCCAAGGCCCCCGAACTATAAGCTGCTCATTTGATTGCATCGTGGGCATGGGAGCTTAAACGAACCAGACTTCAACATCTCTCAAATGCTCCAGCCCCATCTTCTCCTGCATGATATTTTCGAATTTCTCCAAGATTGTCACGCAATGGGAACTTGGTAAATATCTTACGATATGGGGAAGCGACACGAGTATCGATGTCCAAATCGTGAACGGCGGCAGAGTCAGGAACGAAACCACTTTTTACAAGCAAGGACGACGTCAATAATTCTGCCTAATCCCAAAATTCAACATCCTTATGGCAAGCAGAAATTGGGTCTCACTTGCCCACTGGGATTGGGAGTTTTGATACACCTGTGTGGGTGTGTAAGAGCCAACTGACCTTGAAAGCTACGGCGGAAATCCACAAGCCTCCCATAAAGTTGTGAACGCAATAGCATTTGATTATGTTTCCCCATGGTAGCCATACAAGCGAGTGATATACCCCATCCTTTCTCAATGACCTTCTCTGTTAAGTCCTGTAATATGAGCTAGGAAGTGTCAGTATTGATGCAGCCAAACCAATGAGAGCCGCGATTATGCACCTAATTGATTTTGTATACCTTAGCTTACGATCATAACCGTTTCCCAATCCTTGATATACTGAAACAGTCTAGACAAGCCGTAGCAAACCATTTAGCAACAATTCCCTGATATAAAGTAAACAGTCAAACTCCAAGAAAACACCGAGCTAACGGAGCAATATATAAACATTTCATGCATTCGGAGAGACTTCGAGGTGTGAGAGCGCTGACGCTCAATGGAGCTGAGCAAAGAGGATATCGACGTTTTCGAACTTCTTGAATTTTGGATATGTACCAACGAGGAAATGGAAATGCTCTTTCAAATCCTGAGACTGGTCACAGGTGAAGGTTGCACCGTAAGCCTTCAGGAATCTGGGTGGTTCTAGAGCTGGAGGATGAAACATATCGAAGAACTGAGTTGCGAACGATCTCGCTCTTCTGCTTTCTTTTGGTGGGGGTCGGTAGTCCTCAATTAGGATGATGGTTTTGAGAGCGGTAAGCTTCACAAGTACGTCGGGTCCGTATGCGTCGAAACAGCTTTCCAAGTCATCAGTGTAGAAAGTGACCGACTGGATGTGATCTAGCGTCTTGGTGTCGAGGGCGTGGATTGAGTCTTGTATATCCGAGATGTGGAAGATGTCGTCATGAAAATTCGGTTCTTGGTAAATCACAGGCCAGCCTGAGGGATTATCGTTGGAGGACCCGGGCCAGTACGGAACTTCATTGGGACAATAGCGTCTTGCGACCACGTCCAAAGCTTCTTTGCAGCTGAGCATGATATTGAGGGCCCCAGAAAGACCGGGGGTCGACGTGGAAACACTGTTCTGACCCAACCCGCAAATGGAAAGCTCTATGATCTGTGCAGGAGTCAGTGGTGCTTGATCGAGGGGGACTATATATTGCAGCAGAAGTTACATACCCTCCTCGCCGGCAATGCAAACCCCCAGATCTTCTGCCTCACTTCAGGTGGCAACTCCGGAAACTTCTTGAGCTCCTCGTTCTCAATGACCTTAGTAAGCCGTGCGACGAGTTCGGGTTTCTTTCCGGAGAGCTTCAATCCACGGGATTTCAGCTAGTAAACATCTTGGATCAGTATAATGGAGCTGGTGAATGAGAAGGATGAAGACTTACCTCAGCCTTGATTTCAGGCACTGTGTACTTGACCCAGTTGACCATTTTGAGCTGGAGGCAAGCCACTGTTGGATGAAGAGAGATGAGGGTTGGGATTGGGTGGAGAAGGAAGGTGGAAAAAAAAGTTGGCATTGTGTTGGTGTTGAAGGAGAAGGAACAATGTGGAGGTGAACACGTGATATGACGCAACCAGAATTGACCTGTGTAGGTGCATGCACACGTACGAAGAAGATCACTCGACAACGTAAGACAAGATATTGGTAGTTTCAGTCCTTGGCTTCATTGTATATGGGCTGTAATTGATAATTGGTGATGGAAAGCACGTGTCCCAAGACTTCCTCCGGGTTACCAAATTGGGATAAGATCTACTACTCTCTTCCCCTTGAACTCCAAACTTCACCACAAGTAATTTGACACAAATGATGAGGAGTGGCGTTAAGGTGTATGTACATTGTACCAGGCCGCTCTGCAAACATGGACTTGCTTGGAAATAAGGATTTGCTTTGCTATCAAAAACCGCTACATATAAATTCCCAAATACTAGCAAAAGCCCAGTTACCTGTTCTCATATTGCACCGCAAGACAACGCCCCGGATATCATATCATAGCCCAATAAATTCAATTCCAAAACCAGCCTGGTTTCTTCTCTTCTGGTTTAGTCTCCGGATTGGGGTCCTTGCCGCCTCCTTCAGCTTCTTTCCAGCGAGCAGCATCCTCGAAGTGTGTTGTCGTTGTTGTAGACTCCCTACCATCAGCAAAACGTTTCCAAACCGTGACGGTAGTTTCTACCGAGCCATCTTCATCCTCATTACGTTCCGAGGTAGTACTTGTAGCTATCACTTTGTTTACGTTAGAAATTGGCTTGGCTGGTACATCGGGAGCGGCACTCTCCGATTTCTCGACCGACTGCGGCGGTTCTACCACTCCTTTTGTCTTCTGAATCATCCGAAGAATGTCTTTCGCCAGACTTGTGTCTAAGAACTCTCGTAATTGTTGATTCCACTCAGGACTTTTCTCAAGGTTTTGGACTTGTTTCTCAATGATATTCCCGGCGTCATCGATAAGTAGTGCTAGTGTCTCCCGAATGCGGGATGGATCTGATGCGATACGGGCTGGTGCTGAAAGGAAGCGATCATACATCTCCTGCTCGGTTTCGGCAGCCGCCTCTATATCACGTAGGTGTTTCCCATATGTCTGAAGACTCGGGGATGTCCAGGGGTTTGGCCACTGTACCATGTGTGAAATGCTTTTCCTTTCTTTCTCTTGCAGCAAGCCGCACGATAATAAATTGTCGATGTAGGACTTTCCGACAACAGCTTTGATGGATGGAGAATTGGTATCAAAAAGGAAAGGGAACTTCATATTTGGAGGCTGGAAAGCATAGTTAATGCCCGATGGAGTCCATCGGTGTGGAGTTCCGTGAACTGTGGCGATTAAATCTTGAAACGCTTCGCAGTATGGGAATTGGTCCTCGCCTAGAACGATTTTCGTCGGAAACAGTCTGGGGTTTGGTAGGTTGTCCGCCGATAATTTCAAAGGAGAGTATGGAGAAAAAAGAATGTACGGAAGAAGGGAATAATCTGACAAGAGATTCGGCTGACAATTCAAGTCGTTGTAGACAAGATATTGAATTTCCCTCATGACGTCAGGCGATTGCTGCTCCTGGCGTAACTTCATGGGCCAGTATTCTGGAGCAAGACCCTTTCGGATGGAGTTCAAGAAATTAAGCGGGTTCCAATCCGGTGCATTATCTCCACGCTGGTCTAGATGTGCAAAGAGAGATTTGGTGACAGGCGAGTAGAGCGGCAGATCTCTAGCCGTCTGCTCATCCATCTGAGTGGAAGTACTTTCTTCCTCTGTGTGCCGAGACAATTTCTGCCCAAGATTCTCCGTTTCTTCGTGTGGTGACGGTTGGTTCATTCTTTGGGCATTTGAATCCTTTAATTGTCTTTGCCGTGCCTGCAATTCATCTCGTCGCCGAAGGTCATCGTCGAAAACGGCCCAGTGGGCATCTCTATTCGGGTTCTTGGAGAAGGCAGACGGAAGACCTATGACTCCTATCGCAGAGTATTAGCATCAACATTCTGAGAACGCCGGGGGGGCAACTTACCTTGTAGAAATGAGCTGATCTGGGCATCTGCGAATTGGCGAAATTTGACAAAGGGATTATCAGGCTTGGGTGGAGAATTGTTCGAGTTTCTGTCGCCATCCGGATCCGAAGCCATATTGGGCTTTGTTTGTATATTGAATGAATGGATGGGAGGGAACGGGATGTTGATGAGGGAGGTTACATTTAGACGTTTGAGGGAGCCGAGCCGAACCTCCGCGCTTAAGCTTTGTAAGGGGCTTGGGCTTGCTTGGCAGAGCAGATAACCCGCTAGTCCATTTTGAACTCTAGCCTAATGCGGGGACGACGAACCAGGGACTTGAATTCGATGGACAACACACTCTGCATAGAAAGGCCAGAACCAGCCAGAAAATCCTCAGCTTGGGGAGAAACACGCATCGCATCGCATCCTCCTGCAATTAACTCAAAACGTAAACAGAAGGGAATAGCCGCAGCAATGTCTGAAATACACCCCTTCTGACATTGATCCCTCCCCTAACCCTATCCCATCCATCCACAACCACAGCATGGCAACGGAAGCATCGGAGAGTGGAACAACCCCACACGCCTACATCTATGCACCCGTATCCGCACACACAGCACATGTAAACGCAAGCGCACAAGCACAAACACAAGCATTGCCAGCGTTCCCTCATCCCACCTTGCCTCCCAAACCTCCCTACTCAGTCCCTGACCACGCCTCCCGGCGACACTCTCTCCCTCTCCACTTCCTCCCACCAGGCCTCTGGAGTTCCAATACATCGACTGCGAGTCTGGTAGTCGAGTCCGAAGAAGCAGCTCGAGGAGAGCATATTCTGGACGAGGCCACTGTTGCTCATCGAATCTCGGCTCTCCGCCAGCTTAATGGTGCAACACGGTCTGGCCATCGATACGCCAAGTCAACTGGGGCACGGAACAGCACATTCAATCAACCTGTGATTGTGCGGACATATTCGGGGACAGCCAGACCACGGTCTGAGCAGCGGGATATTGTGAAGGCGAAGAAGGAGAATGGGCACGCTTCAGTAGTACTAGCCAAGATGGACCTCAAAATGCCACCTGTGGAAGCTTTTAGCTTCAAAGGAATTATGGATGAGATACGGCATGGAGTTGCGGAGGACTTGGAGAGAATTGCTGAGATTTGTGCCCGGAGCAAATACAGTCTTAGTAATCAGTACGAGGTACACATGCCCCCTCATGGTCGTGGGGAGCCATTTCTATCAACTACAAGTCTAGTTCCTGGACCGAATCCGAACGGCGGGCCGACACTGCAAGCGATTGGGTCAGATGAGGAACAGACGAGGCATATTGGTAGAGGCTCAAGAGGCGGGAGACGACCGAAGTCAGTGGCGTATGGTACCCTTGAAACAATCATGTCATCGTCAAAATCGTCGGAGGAAGATCAATCCAAGAAGAAGCCTGCAGCTGAAATAGCAGAAGAAGTTCGAGGAAGGGCAGCCAGAAAAGAGCTGCAAAAGGAGGCTGAAGTGGTGGATGATATAATTGAGCCCAGCCGTCCGTCACACGAACGCCCTATCAAACATGTTCGATCCAAGTCCGCCACGTTTGCTTCGGTGGTAATTGACAACGCACAAGGCTCTAAGCACGATGCTACGACTCAAATGGTGTCGCCAACTTCGTTAATCAGCGAGCCTGCTAGGCCGCAGACGTCGACTACAGAAGATATCAATGTTCCTATCTTAGATCAGCCTCTATCGCCGACACTGCGAAATCTGACGTTGCAGAAACCGGCGACAATACAGAACGTATCCAGGGCGTCAACGCTGAGGCCAGAACTCGAGGGCCGGCCTTCAATACTAGGGAGTATTACTTCTTGGCTACCCTGGAATAGGACATCAGAAGGAAGAACGTTTCAAGGCAGAATAAGAGGTGCTTCTCATGCTGAAGGGAGTTTGCGAGACTTACTAAGATCAACCGATGGTGATAAAAAGGGAAAGAATATCGATCGGATCGGATGACAGGACAAAATGGCGTCAAATGGAAATCTCAGTTGAAGACTTAAACCATCTGAACTTGCTCTATTTTGTTAAAGTAGCATTTACTTTGGACATGGAAAAGTGAATACCTCATTGCAATTATTCATTGCGACGTAATGACCTCTTGTAGCTTTGGGAACATGCTTTCATAAAGTAACCTCCATCTTTATGATAGGACGTCACCCTCAACTAGTCAACATTCAACAAATTCCGAAAGCTTGACCATCTCGAAGCCGCTCTTCGCCTTTCAAGTTAGTTTCCTGTCTCGTAATTCCAACCGTATTTTCGCTAACGATTGCGCAACCAGCAAGCAGATCACCATCATGCCACCATCACAATGATCGCCTTTTGGCTCTCGCCTCTACGGTGCGTAAGGACGACATGTATGTCGATATGACCATCAATCGCCGTGGAACTATTTTCAAGCTTCACAAGAACATGCACGCAGTCACAACTACTTGCCGCTGCATTTAAGGGCAACTTCAAAGAATCCGAAGATTCTACTATCGTCCCTGAGGACGATGAACCGGAGATGGTGGATGTTATGGTCAGATTCCCCTACGAGCAAGCTCTTGATCTGAATGCCACCGAAATCGGCAGTCTGCTGTTTTTGGCTGTCAAGGTTTGTAATCTCTTCTGCTTCCCTTTCATATAGGCAGAGCTTTTCTAACCTTTTGTTATCCAGGTGTACGCCATCAGAGACAAATACGACATCGGCGCTCTATCAGAACTAGCAAAGAACGAGTTCGAAGAAGTTGTCGGTCGAGCTAAGGAATATACTTCTTTCATTCCAGCCCTAGGAATCATCTACAAGCAAACACCCGACCGCGCCTTGAAAGATATCGCCATCAAGGTCGTCACAGCACATATCGACAAGCTTCTTGCCAAGAGAGAGTTTATAGATTTATACGAGGATATTGGGGCTCTCGCTCTTGATGTTCTGAAAGCAACTAGAGAGCCTGGCAACAGAAGTAATGACCCTCCAGGGTATTATTTCGATACATGCTGGGGTTGCGGCGGCAAGCTCGTTGCCAACTGTTTCGGCATGATGAAAAAATATGGGCGCTTATCAATCCACTGTCCCAGCTGCCTCGCACCCAGCTTGTCCATTGTTCACTTAAGCTTTGACTAGTGGATGTCTGGTTCAATTGTCTTGGGGTAGAAGACTTGATAACCGGTTCAAGGTGTAGATGGCGCTTTTACTAGGACCATAATAAAACATACACTTTGACTTTTCATTATTTTGTCTTGCCGTGGTAATCGTTCTTTCTGCTTCGTCCTAATCACTCTTATCACTCTTAGACGCCGGTACAGCCAGTGCCACGGTATGTATCTCACATAGATCAACCCGGAAAGATCGGATTTTTAATACAGTTATGGAATTATCTGATTTCTTAGGCAAATGCAGATCAGGCTTTCACTTATTCACTTACAAACTGTAACTGATTGCAGGACGTATTATTTACCGACTGAGGATGATGCTTCCCGCAGTGAATGTTAGCCACAGCTTAAGTCAAACTATTTTGAAAACATTTCAACTACTCTCAACCAACACCCAACAACGTCTGACAACACCATCTTCGAATGCCTACCTATGGTATGTGAACAACACTTGTCTCACACCAGCATGCCTAAACATCCCACAAGCAACATAATGCCAGCCAAGCGCTGCGATTCCAAGACCTGCGATTCCAAGGCCCATGGAGATCGGCTGAGCGCGCTCGTCTCGAGCATGCTTGAAGCCGACCAGTTCTCCGACCTCACCATCAAGTGCCAGGGAACCATTTTCAGAGTCCATCGTCTTGTTGTTTGTCTGCAGTCGAAGCCACTCGCTACTGCTGTTGATGGGAGATGGAAGGTAATATCCACTCTCGTCCCGTTCATAGTCCGTTCCTGCAGTCAAACTGGACAGCCTTTGGAAATCTTCTTGAAAACCCCCTAGCTGATCTTGACTTTAGGAATCGGTTGCCAACGAGATCGTCCTTGATGATGACGAGCCAGAGATCGTCGCAAAACTTATCAAGTTTTTCTACAATCAAACCCTCGACCTGTCCTCGACTCCGGGCGAATTGCTACTTGTACTCACAAAGGTAGGATCTTCTCTAGCCACAGACCCTGTGTTACTCGACAAGATGCTAACTACCATGCATAGGTGTACGTACTTGCAGATAAATACGACGTTCCTGCTTTGAAGGGCGTGGCTGTCAAGGAATTCACCAGGAAGCTCTCCGACCTTGGAGGACCTGAGCCCGCGAAATGGGATGACCAATCATTTCCACGGGCGCTGAAGCTCATGTACGACGCAACACCGGAGACAGATCGTGGATTGAAAAAAGTCGCCGTTAACTTTGCCGTGCACAATGTGGACGCTTTGGTTGCGTGGATCCCTTTTGCAGAGGTGTGTAAAGCCATTGGCGAGATCGGGTTGGATATGGCGATGGTACGGGTGCCTACAGAAGACTCGCTCGCGGAAATATCGTGTCCGTCAGGTCATGTAAGCGCCGGTGGCGGCCGGACAGAATATTAGTGGTGCAATCACTGCAGAGATTATTTTTGTATCCTGTATGTCTAGCTTTGTAAAAGGATGTTACATGATCGAGTGTTGTGCGAAGTCTACAGAAGCTTTCACTGCTCTGGGTGGTGGTGGTACCCCATCATATCAGGTTGTGGCTAACTCAGGTGGGAGTGTCACATTTGATTTTCTTCTGCCCTAGATACCATACATAGACTTTATAAGGCCTCGCAAGGAATATACATCTCCAGCAATTCCCAACATTTTCGTGGAGTTTCAATGATTACAGGGCAACCAAAACCCTTCCTGTCGAATTGCTCCTTCTCACAGAGTAGTCGTCATACTAACCCTCGTTCGATCACAATTTCCGACTAATCCAAGCAGCAGCAAGTCCAGATATCCCCGCACACCTCAAAACCCATCCAAAGCTATCGTCCACTTCTAATGCTTCAAACAGTTTGAAAAGAATACTACAAGCAAGCCCGGCAACGATTTGCGGAGCTGCGATGAATGAATTGTGCAGCCCGAGGATTGCCCCTAAAGCTGGTCCCTGAGGTGCTGCTTCATCCCAGCTATGTTTAACATAATGCTCATTTATCGACGCAACTTCCTGACCAATAATTGCGTACGGGACCCATTGCGTGACCGCCCAACTAAAACCCACAACAGCGATTAGTACGGTCCCGGTTTTGACAGTATGGGCAAAATATGTCGAGAACATAGCTACTGCAAAAAGGATATGCGAGCATTTCCAGAGGCGTGGAAGGGTAAGTGGCTTGAAGAATCGTGCAAGTGTTGGAAGCACGAGTATGTTGACCAAGGACATGGTCGCAAAGAGAAGGGATGCGAAGCTACCGTCACGAGCAGCGATGCCAGCTAAGTTGGAACCCTTCGGCAACGGGCTTTTCGAGAGGGAAGCCATAGAAAGACTCGCAATATAACTTGAGAGAGTCAGTAAGTGGCTAGCAACATTATGAATGAATTACTCACGCTGTATTATAGTACAATAGAGGGAACCAACCCATCCAAGCAAAAAATTGGATCTTGCACACCAGCCAACTTTTTGGGGGCATGTTCCTGGCGCTGGATATTAAAGATGTGAGCATAGAGGCTTGAGGAGGTTGTTCTTCTTCGACCTCTAGCTCTGACTTCGACTCTTCGCTAGCCATCAAACTTAAAGGTACCACTATCACGAGGACCGCAGAGGCAAGCACAGACAATGCCATAAACCGGCTGTTTCCCAACCATCGCGGCCAACAATGTGAGCCCAGCTGTAGCAAAAACGTAAACACACTTCCAAGATTGTTAAACCGGGCCACCCATGCACTTGCTTCGACTTGCTGCTGAGATGGACAATTCTCCATTATGAAAGCCCGAACTCCTGCTTGCAAAGGCTGGATCGCGAGTTTCAGGGCATATACCCAGAATACCGCCAAAGCCTTTACCGCATTATCATGCGACTGCTTTTCACTTCCCCATTTCTTTTGGCTGACGAAATTCACAACCTCTCTCGCGCTAGCAAGTCCGAGTAGACAGATAATCGTCCCGACGGTACCACCAACGATGTATGGCTTTCGTCTTCCAAAGCTAGATTTGCATCTATCGCTATGAGCCCCCACCAGAGGTTGAAAGAAAGCCCCCGAGAGAGGACCAGCGAGCCAGACGATGGCGGTTAATGTGGGTGAGAAGCCGAGAATCTGCAGGTAGAGGGTACCGTAAGACATTAAGAGAGACCAGATACCTTGAATCCCAAAGCTACTAATAGTCAGAAGCAACAAATGCATAGTGCTGACATTGCGACTCCTACTAGAGTGTTTGGGATTCTTGAGCAATGTCTCAGCTACACTTGATATCTCAGGTCCATCTCCAATTTTGAAATCCGCCGAGGATCTGGGGCTCGATTCTTCAGACTCAGATGATGACCTTGGACGGCCTCTTTCCTTCAAATCATCTAACGGAAATGCGTCCGACAAAACCGGTGGTATGTTTCTTTGCATTCTCAAAATCTGTCTCGATAAGGCGGGGATAAGCATGTGGGGTTGGACGTCCAGCTCGGGATACTCGACTTCGGGCTGAAAAAGGGACAATAGACTACGGCTATAATTCAGCCATTGTAGAAACGGTATAGTAAGCAGAAGGCAATGCCAAACAAACAATCTAGTGCGTATATAAATTTTAGCACGGGAAAATGTAAAAGAGGTTATGTTGCTCTGGCCTTTTTCGGGGCTCGGTGAACAGTGTGCGGCACAGTGAGATGTCACGAGTGGGGTTGCCTGAAGGGGAAGGTAATCATGCTCGATAAGCTAAATCAGGGTTGTGCATAAATGCTAGCATGAAAGCCAATAAAGTCTATAAATGGAAGCAAGGTTACTATGTACCAGTAACAATTGTTTCCTGTCCGTTGCTCTTGCTCCTGCTCCATATCATCTTCGCGTGTCTGCCCTTCGCTTGATGACCTTCACTGTTGCTTCCCGTGCTACTAGTATTTCTGTTGGGCTTGTCTTGTAGTTATCTCCGTTTCCATCGCATCTACAGAGACTGTATAGCATGTCTCTAAGAAGAAGGACACATACCTCCATAAATAGCATGTGATTATGTCAGCTTGCTTATTCGTTCCTCTGGTTTGAAATAAACCATGCAGAAGTCTGCTTCAGAAGGGCTTGACAAGAACATAATGTCAAACATAAAGGGAATTTTCCGTTGCTGATTTTTAATGAGTTGTATGACCTGACGGGTGGAAAATTCCATTTTACATTCACCGCGACAAAGGGGGCTGTCTCGCCTCCTGTGTTTAACCGAGACCGTGTCACGTGGTGTCTCCTTACTTCCGCCTGGAATTTACTATTAAAGAGACCCTCAAATCAACTCGACTTGCCAAACCTTATGCCACAGAATCGAACCTCTTCACCACCATCAATCTTAGTCCAACACCATGGCAACCCCAAGCACACTTGATCAAGGACCCTCCGTCACTGCGTCGTATGTACCTTAGTTCCTCGCAACCTATGTATTTTAACTGATCTACAGAATGTACTCGTCTGGAAAGTACTCTGACATGACGATTATTTGCAAAGGAAAGACGTTCAAGGTCCATCAATGTATCGTTTGCCTGCAATCAAAACCCCTTGCGGCAGCTATGGATGGGAAGTTCAAGGTGAGACAAACACTTTCATAGCCTTGAGTGTTAGATCGATCTAACTCAAGACAGGAAGGAACATCTAAAGAGATCGATCTTGAAGACGACGCACCGGAAATTGTAGAGAAGATGTTGTCGTACATGTACACTTTAGACTACACGGACGGAAATCAGTCTATAATTGTCGACTCGACCGAAACAGCAATGACTCCAGCTAAGACCAAATTTCATAAAAAGAGTGGGAGAACCATTGAATTTGTTCCGTCTTCCATCACTGCTCCGCCTTCAGGCCTTAGTCAATTCTCTGCCGATGCCCTCCTCACAAACACCCGGGTGTTCGTCATTGCAGACAAGTACGATATCCAGGGTCTAAAGCAACTTGCCACGAAGAAGTATAAGGTAGCCGTCCCAAATGCTTGGAACTGCACTGAGTTCGTTGGATCACTGAGGCTTTTGTATGAGGAGACGCTAGAGTCCGACCGACTTCTGAAGGACGTGGCTGTCAAGACCGCAGGCAAACACGTGAAGGATCTTGTGGACCGTGGAGAATTCGCCGCACTATGCAGATTGAACGGTGAACTGGGTTTTGAGATTTTGAGAGCATCCTTGACTATAAAGACTTGTTGCCCTTCATGTCAAGGTTATGGTTCTGTCGAGACGTATGACAATGCAACTTGGTATTGAAGGACTGTGATTATGACTTCAAGTAGTCTACTTGGAGCGGAAGCTATTGATTCTTTACACTCTTTACTAGGGCAGTGATTAGCAGTAACATATCTTTCATATGAATAAGTCTTGTTCCTTATAGCAGATCATTCGTAAAGCCCCGGTTATTTGTATTCTTTATACACCAATGAAATTAGTTCACTTATCAAACTTTCGGTCAAGCCAGAATAAGCCCCGAGGTCTATTTTTGGGCTGAAAGCTGTTTTACCTGATTTTTTAATACTCTCTCCCATTCGATACTTTGATTCTTCCACATAGATGCCAAAGTCACTTGCCAACATGCGAAAGAATTGGTTGACCGAGGAGAATTTGCCGCCCTCTGCAAGGAGTACAGTCATCCAGCTTCGATATTCTCAAAGCTTCCCGAGGTCCTTAACAATAAGTCCATCATAATACCCATATTATCAACGCCTCGCTTCCAATGCGAGTGAAGTGCCTTGGTACTGTTCTTGTAGAAACACCAGCAATTATTAGGTCTGTAGCATTTCACACTAAATCAATTCACGTAATCTCTTGCCCCAATTGCCCTTTGTAATTTATACTTACAGGTCCAAGGCGGTCGGTATTTCGCTCCTTTCAATCGACACGACCAGCTGCTTCTAAATAGTGAATGGCACCTGTCCCCTTTCTCATATTTTCTACCCAGATTTAACCCACGCCCCAAAGTGGATAGGGAAACATCATCACCAATATCTTTGAGAATACCTAACCAACACTTCTAAGTAGTTTATTACGAAAACGAAAACGAAAAAGGAAACTCTCACTGAGATCAGACGTCTCTTCCAGAATCGCCATGACCGGCACCAAGCGCACTTTCGACGAGATGTCCAGAGCCGATCAACCAACAGGTCATGGCCGATAAATATGACATTCCTGCTCTGAACTGGCAATGACCAAGTACGAAGACCTCCTTCAAACCGCGTGGGACAGCGAAGTTTTCAGCCGAAACCTCGAGCTTCTGTTTGATCAAACTATGGAGAACGATCGGATGCTCAAGAATGTGGCCATTGAGTTTGCGTGAGGAAAGGCACAAGAACTTATGGATCGAGATGACTTTGTCAGCATGATTAAGGAGAATGGGGATATCGGAGCTGAAATATTCAAGGCCTCCCTGGCTGCACCATCGAAGGTTCGAGCAGCCGTAGCTCTAATGGCACAGCTGCCGAATCAGGCTTGTGTCTCGTGTGGCAGTTCAACGTCTGTCTCGCCACCTAGCAATACTACTGCGGATGTCGTCTGGTTGTGCAGGTCTTACTATACACGTATTCAGTTTGCTTGATTGAGTCTAGTATTAAAGTGTGGAAGATCATGTTTTATGAAGCTTAGCAAAAATAGTGCAAATTATGTATTAACTTCATTCAACCTTCGAAAAGTGAATTCTCCAAAACTTGATTTCTACTGAATTTTTATTGTCGGACTCGCTTTCTCAAGGTTTCCACCACTTCTGCAATCTACAACCTCCCAAGGCTCACCCGAAACACCCACCAATTTCATAATAGGAAGATCGACCAGAGACCTCATTCTAGTGCCTCTACAAAGAACTTCTCAATGGTAAGCAATCGCTTTCATGTTTGCTCTTGAGGGCACCGAATATCTTCGATTGCAGATCTCCCAAATCGAGCACCTTTGCTGACTTCCACTTTCACGCACAGAGCAAACGCTCTTTCGACATCATGTCAGGCACATCAGGACTATTTCCTATGAATGCTGAGTGAATTACTATTGTTCCACATCCCTTAGATATCTACTAACATGAGAACAGCCTTCTCGAAAGCGGTCAATACAGCGAACTGACTCTGAAAACGTCCGATGGCAAGGTTTATAAGCTTCATCGCAGTGTCGTCTGTCTGCAGTCTAAGCCGCTTGCTGCATTCGTGGATGGGAACTTCATGGCAAGTGATCCGATGCCCTGCAGCCTCCAGCCAGGCTTGCTGTGTTTTTTTTGACAGGTGAAAAGAACGATGAGCTAACAGATTTCAAGGAGGGAATTACAAAGACCATCGATCTCAAGGATGACGACCCCCGTACTGTGGATCTATTTATCAAGTTCTTATACACCGCCGACTACGATGTCTTACAAGCGCCAGAAACAAGTCACGATCCTACCGTGGTTCACACAACTGAGCCAGACGAACTTCTCGTCCATGCCAAGGTCTATATTCTCGCGGAGAAATATGATGTTTCGGCCCTCAAATTTATCGCAAGCAAGAAGTTTCAGCTTTCTTTGAAGTTGTGTGGAATCTCAGACTCATTTGTCACAAGTCTCGAGTTGATGTTCACTCAGACTCCCGAAAACGATCGCCTACTCAAGGATTTGGCTTTGGGGTTTGTGGGAAAAAATTACTGGAAGCTTGCAGATAGAGGGGACTTTATGGCATTGTGCAGGCATAATGGGGAAGTAGCCAGTGAGGTGATCAAGGCAATTGCTAGCATTCCTCCACCTAAACCTCTACGCAAAGACTGCTCGAGCAGGGAATGCAGAGATTATCACGATTTTTATGTTTATCCTACCCCAATCGCGCAGGCAGAAAGAGGTTTTTACACTTGTGGTAGGTGCAGAGAATCCTTCAACTAAGCTGTGGCGATAAGACGACTATTTCAATTTCGACCCATCTCAGCCTGGAAAAGAACGATAACACTTATGAAGCATACAACCGAAAGGAAGCCTCACCTTTGGTGAATCTTGATTCGGACTGTAGCATAGTCATTACGTGCTTTTTTTGCTGAAGGAACTCTAGAAATGGGGGACTGTATCCAATTTGGCAAATAGGCATATCAATTTGATAAACTGCTGAAAATTGAGTGTGCGGGAATGCCTTCAGTCTGCCATGTGCTTCAAATTCTGAAAAGTATGAGTAATTAATCATTTCTGCAACCTTAATCAAACTTCTACCATGTTAGCACAAACTTGTTATACGTAGACTGGTCCCTGAGAGAACATGTAAAATAATCCAAAATAGAGTAAGCATATTTAGAGAAGTAACAGGTACTACCGAGTCAACTAAGAATATCTATTTGCATCCTAGAGAGGACATAAGAGACTGTGAGGAGTGTCTCAAATAGTCCTTTATTTTGGTCACTTTGGATGAATACCGGGCTTAGCCAATCCACGCTTTAGTCACATCGGTCAAGCCTTCCTGCAACCAGGGTTCTTCTAATGTTGTCACAGCATCAACCCCATGATCCCCCTTCTCCCACTTCCCCACCACACTTCCTTGCCCAAACTTCTCTTCCCATTTCCCCACAAACTTCTGTGTATGTTCACAGGGAACAGCACTATCCTCCGTTCCATGAAACGCGAACAAAAACGGCACCTTTCGATCCGCGCTCAACTTCTCCAGCACCCGATCAGGAAACAGCGACTCGTCATCTCCCAACCCAGAAAAGGCACCACTCTGCAAAATCGAAAGCACAAGCGGCATTCTCTCCGGCGGAAAAGCTCCTGTGAAGATCTTCCCCTCCGGTGTCCCCTTAACATGTTCCTCAAACACAGCTACTGGCACTTGCGGCGCTCCCATCGGTGCTTTCGTGCTAGAAGCAACGCGGTACCAATCCGCATCAATATAAGTCATCGGGTACGCCGCAATAACCGCTTTCACGAGGTCAGGTTTCGTAAGACCAGACATAATCGCAAGATATCCCCCAGCGCTCTCGCCATACGCAAGGACTTTGCTATAATCCGGCGTGACTTCACTGCCGACACTCTTCAAGTACGCCGGCAGATCATCCTGGATCCACGTCCAGAAATCGCGGATGTCGGAGAGGATTTCGAGCCCGCTGGATTCGGGGAACAGCCGGTAGTTGGGCGATACTACAATGGCGGAATGGAGGAGCGAGTAATCGATTGCCCAGTTCGCGAACCATTCGGGGTACATGGCATGGCCGGTCACGAGGAAGCCACCGTGGAAATGGATTAAGACAGGTCGTGCGCCAGAGTGTGCATCTTTGGGGATCATGACGCCGAGGTCGATGTCTTGGCCATTGACGGTTTTATAAACTGTGGTTGAGACATTGAACTTTGAGTATTTAGGGTCGTCCATTGTAGTATTAGGAAGTGGAAATTTGGAGGCGAAGGTTGATGCTGGATTGGCAGTGGGAAAGGGTATATTCCTTAACTTTTAAATGGCACTGCAGCTTGAACGATGAAATTAGAGAAAGAAAAGAGAAGACTAGGCTCCTGATATCTGTTTTGGAAAGTAGTAGCAGGTCCGGACTAAAGCTGGGCTTTAGCAGACAGCATATGTCAGCATCCAGCCCACTCGGCTCGCGTTTCGGAGACTTTCTTAACTCCGAACCCCACCACACGGTTCACTGTAAAATGGAGCAACATAAGCACTCATAACGAGTGAGTTACTCATTGTAGCTGATACTGATATAATCTTGCCCCCGCCGCGCGGAATCTCTTCCACTAAATCAAATCCTCGGTTAGCAGCGCCATTTTGAAAATCAATAGGCTTCATCGCACTCTTTTGGCCTCTGTGGCTGGTAGGCTGGATCAACCGAAAATTCCTAGGTCTTATTCTCCAGTCGAGGGAATGAGTGACTTTTCGTTCTTCATCTGATATCCCACGGATCCTTCTTCCCCCGATGTAGCAGCTGTGCCGCGAGCGTGATTCCCATTGCACCAGAGACGTACTCCAATTTGCCTCGAAGCCAAGACTCAGTCTCACTCCCATCTTCCGCAGATACCATTGCCAGGTACAGGGGAATGATAGTAAAGTACCCTACTATGGGCTGTGGTTGGGGATTGTTAACCACTTTCCCGGCTGAATCAATGGTGCCGAAGCAGAAAGGTATGCTTGCGCGAATGTTGGAGATCATCTCTTTAATCACGGATGTCGATTGCATCCGTGTGTTCTCAAAGTCGAAGGTTAGTGTCTGCCCGTATGCGTGGGATTCGATGAGCGAGATGCAGCGAAGGAGTACCTCGTGGAGATGAATGCGGAAGCTGCGATTTCTATTCCAGAATGTGGCCATCAAGACGTCTGTATTAGAATGTTAGGATCAGTATTGCTTGCGGCGAAGATATTTGGAGTTGAGTTAAGATGGTGTTTTGTGACTAGCAGACTCCCAAAGGAGGTCTGCACAGTGAACAACTTAACATTATCGAAGTTGCAAATGCGAATTGCAGAGTTTGATGTACGTACCATAGTAGATGTATTGAGTTTGACTGTCGACACACGCAGAACGAATCTGTTTATATCCCCAAATTCCACAGGCCGAGTCTTCCCACTCCTGGTACTGCTCTTCTATTCGAATCACCTCTTTGACAATTTTCAGGAGTCCGATAATCCACCACTCATCCCGTATCTTCTCGTCAAACAGCACCTGAGCATCAGCGCAGCGTCGTGCGCTCTGGATAATTACAAGAGAGAGGTTGTGTGTAGGATTGTACGGTTTGGCGAATTCCATCCATTCCTCTGCTTCGTTGATTGGTTGGAAGTGACTAGTGATGCACTTTGCTATCTTTGATTGTCGATATTAAAACTGATCTTGAACGGGTAGTGGTTATGAACTCTTACATAGACCGTATATATGATACCCCACATACTTCGAGTACAATCCTTCTTTAGCTGATTTTGGCCACGTGAATGAAGCAACGCTACAGTGCCTTTCAAGTTGAAAGAGCTCCAGCGTGGTCCTATGTCATAACCATTGATCATCTATGTGCAAGGGTCAATTAGCAAGCAAAATGACGAAGTAAAAGATATACGCTATATAATCTTACATTATAGAAGCTAATCAAAAGGCTCGCGGCCAGAGTTGCGTCTTCTTTTCCCTGTCGAGGATCTTGTAATGATCTAGCCAAGAGCCCCACGGCTCGATAATATGATCTTTGTGCTTCCAAACCGATACATTCTTGGCGAGTTTGATTGGCGAGGTTGACGAGAGCTACAGCTCGAAGAGCCTCATTGAAAGTAGCACATGAGGCATTTGTGCTAGCAATCTCCTTGATGAATGCTAGACTAACAGGGTCACGACGTTCCAATCGAAAGATGTAGTCGGTAAAAAAGCGAGGAATAGCGAGATCCACCCAGTGTGTTCCGACCTGCTGAGGGATGCGGCCGAGAATGCATTCGCTGATTTGGGAATTGTTCGGCGAGAAGACTTTAAGGATATGACGTCCTTCAATTTCAGCAACTGGGTAGGGATCTTTTTCGAGTTGGTCCTTAACTCTCTCCTGGACTTTGGCCTCGGCATACTTGCCCATATCGCGGAACATACGATCAGACTCATTTGGATATCCAGGGCATATCTTGCACGCTCTAAGACATCTTTGACAGGATGGTACAGTTCTATCGCACTACAAATACAGGAGGTTATTATCAGTAACGTCAGATTTACAAACACCAGAGGAAATAAGTCACCTTGACTCTTTTACCTTTGCAGGTATAACAGCCTGGTTTACGGATACGTGATATTTCCATAGCCGGTGAAAGTGATCGGGTGTAGATTCAATAGTAATTGTATAGTAGCAAGACAGAAAAGGAAGATCGCGGCGGCGTGGCGGAGATGCAAAAGAGGCAGATAGTCGGCAACTTTGAAGTGAGTCTTGTGGAGTGAGTGGAAGTGTCCATCCAGTATATACGTAAAGACCCTTGCTTGCTTACGACTGACTACCTTAGCCAGGGGGGAACTGCCATGCATGCATCTGTGGGGCGAAGTAAGGTACTTCGTACCTCCGTACTGCACTGTACCTTAGGTCTGAGTCGCTAAGGTTACCATTTCGGGCAACCTCGGCGAGAGAGGAGAGGAATGTCGGCTATCATCTAATCACTACAACGTCTTTGCGCCGTGGTGGTATGCAATTCGTAGTCTTCGAAAGAAGCTGAAAATAACTTTCAGGCTTGAAATATAACGGCTCATTTTCCATGATTATTGCCACTTGTAATCTTAATTCTGACCAACAGATCCCAGGATTCAGAAATTGGGCCACCTCTCTTACTCAAGTATACACTCTTTGACTTCCAGAGCTGAAAAACTAACTTACCAATCATAATGGCAGATCCCCCGACACACCGTATTGCGATTATAGGTGCAGGACCTGCGGGTTGCACATTCGGTCGGATTCTGAGCCTATCAAACATTGCATTCACGATATTTGAAAGCGAAACCTCGTCGACCGCTCGAGGGCCTGGTGGGACTTTGGACTTGCACACGAAAACCGGGCTCGCCGCCGTGAAAGTTATGGGACTTCACGAAGAGTTCCTGAAACGGGCTCGATTCGATGGAGAAGCCCTGATTATCGCGGACAAGAACTTAAAGAGATACCTAGATATCGGACCTCATCATTGGTGCAGATGGAGCATGGAGCAAGACTTGTGCTCTCATCACTGATCAACTTCCCATTTACACCGGCATTTCAGGCTCCGAGTTCACTATCCGCGACGCTGCTTTTAGGTACCCTGACCTTGACGCACTTGTGAACAAAGGATCGCTCTTTAGCTTTGGAGACGGGCACGCGATTGATGCTCGGCAAATCGGTGATGGGAGGATTAAAGTTACGGATTGGGGAGCAAGAGAAAAAGAATGGGCGATAAAAAACAGTTCAAGTGCCCTATATCCAGAAACTCTAAAGACGATACTTGCTAAAGAGTACGCTGGATGGGCACCAGAGCTCCAGAAATTCATCTCGGTTGCTGATGAAGAGCCCGTATTGACCAGAGCACTCTTCATGCTACCAATAGGTCTTAGATGGAAGAACAAGCCTGGAGTAACAGTCATCGGCGATGCTGCTCATCTGATGTCGCCTTTTGCTGGAGAAGGGGCCAACTTAGCCATGGCCGATGCCATGAAGCTTGCAGAGTATATCAAGCCGTCTACGACAAAGGAGACTTTATACGAGAACGTGGCTGCATTTGAAGCGGACATGTTCGCGCGAGCGAAACCAGCCCAAGCACTCTCAGATAAAAATCTAAGAGACTGGTTCTTTACACCTGGAGCGCCCGGGACAGTGATAGAACGGTTTCTGGTTCGCGAGGTAACGCAGCTTGAGGGTCCGGTGGTGGGGACGTTGGCTGCAGCGTATATTTATCCTCGATATTGGTGGATGAAGTTATGGGAGTGAGATGCTACTTTGGCCGCCGCATTTTGGTATGTTTGTGCATTCAGCAGGATTCGGAGTTAATGCTACAAAGCGGGTTTTTGGGTTATTGAGTTCAAAGTTTATCCATTATGATATGTCCAGCCACTCCACTTCAACTTTCTTGTGTATGGCGCTCATCTTCAGCTATGCGATAGCGAGCAGACACGAACAGCGCGCTTTGATGTCGTGACGCATCGACGAAGTCGTGAATACTAAAACTTAGGCGTTAAGTTGAGTTTCTGCACATTTAAATAATCAGCACTTGAGAAGAAGGTTTCTACTGATATACAGTCAGCTCTATAAGAATGCATGCAATTTCGGAGACCTTAGTAGGTAGAAGGGGAGATTTGATGCCGTCCGATGCCTATATTGAACTAGCTCTATATGACTTAGAAGGCTTATATACAGTAATCTCTACCCGCGACATTCTCCAGCGTTAGTAAACCAATGGATTGGCCACATCTTGAACTTCACGGCCCACAATCTTTTCCTAAGCCGTCGTGCGGCAAGAAGGCTTTAAACCAGGGAATTTAGCTGTTAGTTCCAATTGAATATAAGAGCTGCTACTACCTTGCCGCGTCTCAGAAGCCGATATGCATCAGCCCTATGATATGTGAGCTACCAAATGTGGCAGAAACGACGAGCCTCCGGTAAATAGCGTGCCTCAAAGCTTGATCCGATGCTCAATCCTGTATTATGCCTAAAATAATTTCCTACCCACAGAGATGGTCCTCCAAGCCACACCGCCAGAGCCACGACTTACATACGGCGTATACGTACGATCTTACCAATGGCAGACTCCACTATCAGTAGTTCCCTGGCTTTCTTTAAAAGAGGGTGTTTCCACCAGTTTTATATTCCATCCAATTCAACCTTCTCTTGTTGTAACCTTTCACCTTCTTTTGACTGAATCCAGAGCATTGTTGCAGGCAAAGTAGGCCTAATAAGAGCACTAAGATCATTCACAATGGGCCACAACCATTCGAAGCCAGTATGCCCCGTGGTAAACACCAGCGGACCAGGTACGCAGCTAGAGCTTAAACAAATACGGTTCTTCAACTGACAGCTTTTAGATATTCTACCATTAGTGAACGGCTTCAGTTTTCATTCGGTATCAATCATAATCTCAGGGGCAACCGCTGGCTTTGCGTCATTGATAGCTTTGCTCCTTATTCTCAGCCATGCCGTGCATTTTTCCAACCCTCAGGAGCAGAAACAGTGAGCAGACTTGTAGTAAGGGCAATGTGCATCTTCCTGACTGATCCATCTTACTAGAATCATCCGTATTATCACAGTTATTCCGGCACTCTCTTTGATATCATTTCTCTGCGTCTGGCTGGACGGAAAGCCCCAACCGTATCTTGTACCTGGTCTCGATCTTGGAGAAGCATTGCCCATGGGGTCCTTCTTTCTCCTTATATCGGCATACATTGTACCAGATCATGCCCATCAAGAGAGTTTCTGGGAACAACTCGAGCTGATTGACAAGAAGGGGAAAGCCCAGGGAGGAGGCAGCCTTTTATGGTACCAGGTATGTCAGGTCCAGCGAATGTACTATTGAGGTGACACTGACGTCAAGCCCAGAAATTATCCTTTGGTGTTCTTCAGTTCATTCCAGTCAGCATTATCTTGTGGGCTGCAACAGCGATTTCACTGGCAGCTAACACCTACTGCATAACTTCGAATAAACCACACTTCGCTCATATTTGGGTAAATTCGCCCCCGACATCTTTGTATTGATTAATGTTAACAAGCGCTAATATTTTCGTAGATTACACTTATAAGAATGATTTCTACTTCCGTCGCAATAATATCGATCTTCAACTTCTACAAGAGGTCAAAATCTACCCTCAAGTCTCGCGGAACAATGAAACAATTCTTCTGTTTCAAAATCCTCATATTTCTCAATTTCGTTCAGACTGTAAGAAACAAGACATCACTCAAGTCTGCCCTCGATCCCGAGCTGATAACATATTCCAGTTTGTTTTCAACTTCCTCATGACTGGCGGACACTTGCACGCCACCAAATATTTCACATTCGATGACCTGTCGAAAGGGCTACCTTCATTGATCCTGTCGTGCGAAATGGCATTAATCGCCCCGTTCTTTCTACACGCCTACTCCTACGCGCCATACATACTCGGCCGGCCTGCTTCTCTCTCTGGTGGGCGACTAGAATATCAGGGTGGAACCTTTGGAATCAGCGCAATTTTGTCCGCACTTAACCTTGTTGACATTGTTTCAGCGCTTTTAACGGGAGTCAAAGCCAAAGCAACTCCGCGCTGCAACATTGAAATGGGTGGACAAAACCGAAGACGGAACCAGCGATATTGAGGATGTTCCTAGCGACAAAAAAAAGTCTAGCGATTGCTAGTATAGTAGCATGTATATAGAGTGTATTCTCTGCTAGAATTCTTTATATATTCTTTATATATATTACTTATCTATAACATGGTTTATCACCGAGCCGCGCATATCACCGAGCCGCGCACTTCCCTTCTACCCTACCACTTTAAAATATAATTAAACTACTATAACATATTATATTAATTAAAACTACTTAGAATCTAATAAACTAGATATATTTATAACTTCTTAATATGTTTATATATTATAACTAGTCTTTCTATAAGTGCTATAGCGTTATTTAGTTAATTGACCCTTATTTTAAAAAGCCTCCCTAGAGCGCTTATCGCATCGAATCTGCTTATCTACCTCCTTTTAAGCTAATATATTATATGTATCCTCTATAGTAAGTGCACCCCCTTAGCGGATACGGGTTTTTTTAGCCCTGCAGCGTTTGCTAAGGGCTTTATTTACCTAGTGAAGAGTACGGATCTCGGCATTTATAAGAGTTAATTTATAAGCTAATAGCTCTATACCTTTAGCTAATATAGCAACTATAGCAAAAATTAGGGTTAGTAAGCTTCCTTAATAACTAGCAATGCGATTTTTAACTAGAGTTATCTATAAGAGAGTATTAGTTAGGTTGTAAGGGGTCTAGGAAATCTAAGGGTCGGCATTTGCAGAAGGGGGTCTAGTAGGCATAGGAGTCTATAACTTAACATCTAGCTTTAATAATACTGCTTAAGGGTTAAAGGGCACTAATCCAGCTCTGCGGAACCTAGCCTTAGCATTTCAAGTTGTAACTAACTAGTTATAAGCCGCATAGAAAGCTAAAAAGAACTTGACCTTAGTAATATAGTTAATATAAGCCTTAATAAAAGTTTTAATTTAATAGCCGTATATCTATTTAAAAATACTAAAACACCTAATATTAAGTGGCTAGGTTAAATAAGACAAGTAAGTAGGTAGGTAAAGAGTTATAATATTATTAGCCTTGCAATACTCTTAAAATGCGGCCGATTTGTAACTCTTATGCCTATCTAACACTAGCATTTGATATGGACCTCTTATATAAGTAGTAGTATATTTATTGAAGTGTTTTAACTATTCTAGACCTATCTTATTATTTGTCTATCTATTACTTATTAGTTTAATAACCTAGTTATAAGGAAGGCCGCCTTTAGTATACTAACTAGAGAGGTGGTTAACACCTTAAACCACTAGAAATAGAGGGACACTCTAACCTTTACTATTAATGCAAATAATTGCTATTGCCTATTCCTAATTACCTAGCTGAATAGCCTTGCCTCTACTATATTAATTAGCGCATGTAATAACTATTCCAGTGCAAATAATACCTATTATAAAGCCTATCTTATTAAAGTTATAGAAATTATAGTCTTAGATACTATATTTTACCTGTATATTCTAAACTAACTAGAACCACGCTTTAATAAGCTTAGGATCTTTATATAAGGCCCTTTAAAAGTTGTAAACGCGATTAAAACGCGTCTTTAACTCTAGGCGTTATTTTATAAATTAATGTGCCTAGAGCTTTCTAATATGTTATCCCCCTTAAGATTCTAGTATATAATTTGCTATATCTTCCACGCTAGCTAGCCGGGGCGCAAATCCTCTTATATCTAGATCAAGTATATATTAAATAAGTACCTTCTCCTCTAGTTTAGTTAATTTAAGGCAATTAACCCTAAGTTTGTAATAAGCTGTTTAACTAGTTATTCTATTATGTAGCGTAGTTTTAGGGATGTTATAGATTTTTGCTGCAGCTTAATAGCTTAACTTTTTAGACGTATGAATAGCCTTAATAGCTAAGATAATTCGTGCTTCTTAGGTTTAAATTTCTATTAGTAGTTATTAAGAAAACGCGTGTTAAAGTTAGTAGGTGATAAAGTAGAGAAAAGTGCACGGCTTGGTGATATGCGCGGCTCGGTGATAAACCACGTTATATATTATATACTTATACTAGCTAAACTTTAGTGTAAATACTAGTTATACTAGTTTAACTTTAGGAAGAGTAGAGACTTACTATACTAGCTTGACTTTTAGTTATACTAGCTTAACTATTGCTCTGGAATAGTACCGGTGTGGAATAGTAGCGGAATTAGTTATGGACTGAAGCAGACACTTATGGTCTCTTTAATTTATAAAGAACCTATTAAAGAAGAATTCAGCTGAACTGGAATAAACACAATCAAGAAATCGAGAAAATAAACACCGATAAGTTAAGCTCCTTTGTTAAATCTCATTACAGTGTGGAACACACCGATTTCTTCAATCGTATTAACTACTTATTAACTCCAAAGAGTAGTTAGAAGTGTGCAGCTGCAAGGAAGGTATCCTAGTGATAGTCCGAAATGTTACCACGTTCAATGAAAATTCCCAATCCTTGGACCAAAGTATTCACCGCTCGCAAGATGATGTTTCACACAAGGCGTATCCTCACAGCCCTGAAAGCTAACATCGTTACCCCACCACGTAATGCTAGTATTTGTATACTGCAACGCAAAGAAAATGATAACTGCGGAAAGAGCAATGCCGGAGGAGAATGCAGCAGAGAGAACATAGTTGTACTAAAACAAACCCCGAGTCAGCTTATTTACTCACTCGAAAGGGATTTTAAGGAGGGGTGAATTAGGGCGCACCTTTGACCAAAAGGCGAGGGACCTCTTCTTCATATACACCATACTCCACCATCCAATTGGCACCCCGGGCCACAGATAAGCAAGGTTATAAGGTGCATAAGAAATAGCTCCATACAGGATCGCCACAGTATGGACTTGTCTCATCCACGTCTGTCTCGGGAATTTCTTCTGTGCATAGTACACCACAAACGGAAGTACAAACCCAATGGGGAAGCCAGCCAGCAGCGCAGTATATTGCCCGCCCTTTCCAAATACTTTCTTGGGCCCGATAGTTCCCCACAATACGGCGGCGGTGAAGAATTGATTGATGCCTGGACATGTGTAGTGGTCTTTCTGGTTAGTTGTGCAGACGTCTTCGATGGAATTCATCTGGAAGTTTAGGACACCGGTACAGACAAGACTGGAGACAACGGTGGCGATCATTTGCGCGAAGAAGGTTTGCTTGGGTGGGATTTTGAGGTAGTGGGCTAGTTTGAGGTCGTTGGAGAAGCGGAGAGCGTGGGCGCAGGTTACGTACCTGCAGGTCTCAATTAAGTATTTGATCCAATGGACAGAATTGCATCTTTGAGACGGTAGAAGGTTACTCACCCGAAAGCCTTGAAGTAATTCATAGCTAGGGCATTGCCTGCAACCCACGAACCGCCGATAAACTCCGCAAGAACGTTCAAGGTTATCTCTATTCCGGTGATGGCTTTGATGATGCCGACAGGAACAACAAAAATGAGGCACAATAGAATGCCATAAAATACCACGCCGACGGTAGTATAAGTATGCCACCCGGCAATGCCAGCACATCCAAGACAAATAGCAAAGCAAAGAGCTAATAAATACCACCATTCAGGAACTGCAGTTACATAGGTCAGCTATTATTTAAAGCTTGACAGGAAATATTCATTGAGAGATCTGCTGCTGACCTTCAGGATATTTAGCCATCAGTCGATTATGAATATCTGTGTAGTCATGGTCGCTGTTTCTGTCCTCTTTCTTGCGGAAGCTATTGATAAGATTGCGGAAGCCCATGGCGATTTCATGCCGGTGATACAAGTAGGTGTAGGAGATGACCGAGGAATAGATTGCGAAGAAAAATAAGTAAACAGTTGCGTAGCCGGCCGACAAGTAAGCTGGAGAGTATGCTTCGTATTTCGGGCCATCAAACAGCCCCTTCTCATTAATGGCGTGAGAAATATTGTAAAGCTTGCCAAAGTGATCAAAAACCCTATTGGAATTGATGGGAAGATAACCAGTGTAGTAGCTGTTGCTGTACCAGATCCCTAAAATGACGAAGAAACTGAAGAATCCGCCTATAAATTTACTGAAAGTGTTGAAGAATGGCACCACTGGATGACAAGCAAGTTAGTTATTTTCTATTCAGGAGTGTTTTGGGAGCAGTGGAAAGACATTTTCTATTTTAGGAAGTATGAAAAGGAGGTTTTGGGGTATATAAAATAGAACATAATTGGAAGAGATGGAATATGAAAAAACCCGTTGTGCTTACTAAGAGGATCCTGTGGCGGCGTATCCCAGAGCATGATATTCCAGTCAAACGTTGGGAACGGATTGAGTCCAAGGCCGTTTTCCATGCCGGTGACAATATTAAGATTTACATTATTTGGGGCGATCCATGTCATCCAATTAAAGACACTCAGGGCCTGGAAGATGTAGTTGGGGAACCAAAAATATACGAACATGGCAATGAAGGCGTACAGGAAAAACCGGAGTCGAGAAATTGTAAATATTCTCTTAAAAGGGCCCGGTACTGCAATGTTTTTATCTGTGTGGAAAGCATCATTCAAAGCTATGGTGACCAAGGATGCGGGCCAAACACAATATGCTGGATAGACAAGGAATCTTCTGCACACTCCAGCAATGCCGTATCCGATGAGATTGGTTGAAAGTGCAACCAAAATTTGGTATCCGAAATGACCCGCATAGCTCTGGTTGAAGTACTGAGGAAGATATTGTGACCAGATAATGTTGTCCGTGTATGGATAGTCATAGCCAACACTTGCCATAATAGTGATCAGCATATGTTCTTTGGGTGAAAACTTGCCAGGGTTCAAGCTGTGCCTGGTACCGAAAATCGTGAAGCCCCAGTCAGGAAGGATTGCTTCCGCAGCTTTTGCAACGGGGAAGCATAGCAGCTGCACTACATTGGCAGTAACAACTATTTGAGGTTGCCGAATGGAGAAGAGCTGGTTGACGAAAGCCAATGCGACGACAAATAGAAGTCCTATGACCCAGACACGGATGGTAGAGCACGGCATCGTCATGTCATCCGTATTGCTGACAACAGCGCGTACTTCTGCATAAGGACTGTTACCTGTGATCAATGCCGCCTCTGCCTTCATCTCAAAAATGAGATCAGTGTAGTTCTGGGGGTGTTCGAATATATCCTCATTATCAAGGAAGGCCTTGATCTTGTCGACAATCACAACGGGAAAATTTGGGTCTTTGAGATGGACATCGTAAACTTTTTTCATCATCTATGACGCTAAATTCAGTATTATAGAAGTGAGATGTTAAAGTTGAGAGGCTAATATACCTGGCGTGTTTCCTCCAGGGTCAAATCCTTGGCATTTTCTCTCGCATTGATCAAGTCATTCTCAGTTACATTAAGATCCCTTTGTGTGTATTTAGCTAGCGCTTTATGTCATGGAGACAGACGGTACCCACGCCTCGATTTGGTCTTGGGTGATATCGAGAACAGATTCGAATCCGGTCTAGTAAATAGTGTTAATGGCAAGACAAATGCAGTATGTAGCATTGGGTTAGCAACTTACGCCCGGTGTCTTCTCGTTGAGAGTATCACCTGTCTGTATCTCACCAATGGTGTCCCCTCTGGTTTCTTTTTCCGACATCTTAGCAGTAGTAAGCGAATGCCACTTTGCCTTTTCAAAACGCTAGAATGCAATAAACATTAAGGTTCTGACCTTAATGTCAAGAATAGGCGATGCAGTCTTTATAGACGCCGGAGCCCACTTTCTAGAAGCATATTGATTGCAGGATAAATGATTTGGTGCCGATACGATAGATCTGCATGCATTATGCTATCTGCTATCTCAATTGCGAGTTTCCAGTGACTTGTGTTGTAACTATCTTCATAACACCTTCCTAAAAAGGAGATCTGCCGGTTACTGCAGGCAGTTGTACTCCATAGGGTAGATCATAAACTAACTTACCTAATGGCGAAAGATAACAGATGCCCCCAGGGGAAGAGGCGGTGCGGGGTAGGCTATGATAGCCACGACGTCCAGGTAATACTATATGGGTATTTTTAGTCGAGTTGTACAGCAGAAAGAACATTGCGGAATAAATTTCCGTTCTCTCTGTTCTCGCTAAGGAACGAACCATTAGTGAACAGGTATTTGAATAAATATTTTCGGGCCACTAGGTATACCTGGCAGCTAAGGGGTATAATGACGGAGTACAGCGATGAATCGGACCTGGGTCCGTAGCTTTGAACGATGAAATACTGATATCGCGTTACCGACTTGTTGGGTCGATTTCCCCTTCACTACCTTCCTTATGTTCAGCTTTGTTTACCTTTTAAGATCTGTAAATCTTTACCTCTTTGGGCCTTTCTTGCTTTCTTTAGATGTTACGATCTTTGATCTTCGTATCTTGAGTGCTATAGTAAGTGTTAGTATTAGTGTTTGTTGTAACATTAGATGCAGTACCTTACTACTACACGTGACCGAATGCGCAAAAATATGTTTTTCTACATGTATATATAAATTGCTATGGCGTGCTCACTCTCGGCTTTTACCCTTTCCAATTCTGCCTGAGGCAATGAAGCTCCAGACTACCTATTATAGAGGCTAATTAGTATAGGAATAATGGAATCCACTTGATAATAGCACAGACGTTGAATGGGGGTTTAGCGTGTTGGGGCACGGACTGGCTGCTGCTAAAATGCGCGTTCACTTGCGGAACGTACCGGCGCGTTGTACTCCTCGCTCGGTTATTTCGTATTTCGTATTAAATCGTGTTTGCTAAGTCTATAAGTCAGATCCTAGCCTAGAGTCCGCGGTTGTGTTGTCCCTCCACATTATTTAGCGAAGCTAGAAGTGGCGTGAATTTAACGCAAATAAGTCAAGCTGTTGGTATCACAGGATACCGTGTCAAAACACTTCGTACTAGCTAGTACAAGGTGGTCATAATCTGTTACAATACTTGAACCGCATCGCGAACCGCATCACGACCTTTCTAGTCATGTGACCTAGCGTAGCTTAGTCAGCAAAGAGGCATAACCTCTTCGCTTCTACACCACCATGAATGCTAAGCAACATCAACTAGTATCAAGTCTACTACGTAGTATAGAGAAGTGATTACGGATATCAAACCTGTGATACCAACATAATCGGTTGTTGTTCTTGATGTCTATCTCTAAAGGTGGAAGTGGGAGACGCGAAGAGGTGATGACCTCTTCGCTGACTACCAGTGAGCTAAGTCGTATGACCTGGGACACCGCCCTCATTCCAACACAAGTGCTTACTTTGCTTAGTGGCCACAAAGACATGGGTTCAAACCTTCTGCACCCTACTGTACTATACGTCGTATTAAGTTATGCTTATTTCGATTATACACCGACCACGCCCCCACCCCCCTTAATAAAAGTTGAACCACGTAAAGTCTTCATAATACATAGAATCCTAATAGTCGATCCTCCCTTCGCTCGCATTCGGGGGAAGCGAACGTCACACTAGGTAGGGTATCTGACTGGCCTAGAAAAGTAGTAGTGGTAGGAGTGTCTTTATACATCCCTTACTGTACAGGCTGATAAGGCGCAATCGTACTTCCCTCTAAGCGCTGGAACCTTCCCTCGCATCCTTCTTTACACCCACTTAGATAACCTCTCTCTTATTACACCCAGAATAGATGCATCAGCTAGCACAGCCATGGTCAACGCCCCAGAGCTTGCGCAGGGGGGCATGGTTAAGGTTCTACAGTACTATGCTCTAGACGAACGATATCATTCGCTCATTTACGCGGTAGCGCGAAGTCTCATTAACATTTATCAAGGGGGCAGAGAGTATACTGTCTTAAGCTTGACTCTAAGTAAACATACCCTTGTCCAGTAAATATGTAAAGATTCTATTTATAATAGGCTCCATACCTCGTGCGGCGGGAAAAGGAATCACATAAAGAACAGCCCGCAACTGTAGCATAGACTTTTTCATCTTGACTTTGAAATGTCTCACGTTTTCCTACACACATTCCTTTTAACACCCTCGCGAGTTTTTTCCTAACTATCTTTACTTCTCCAGAGAAGATAAACACAGGTCGTTCGTCTCAAGTAAGACATAGGTGCTAATTCCATATTTGCAATGGCTAGGTCCACAAAGGTCCCTTGACAATTCCTTGCCCCCGATAAGTTATTTGCTAGCTAACAGATATTAGGTTTTCAATTATGACAATGAATCCTCCGGATCTTTGTTAATATTTGGGAAAAAATGGTTCTTCGTGTTCTGCTCAGTATTTCTCCTCGCGATTATCTGGATTGTCACGTTCTCGAGACAATTACACTCAACGCCGGACTTATCCAGTATTACAACGTCATCTAGCAGCCTTGAAGAATCGACCGCGCCGGAAACATTACCTACTTCCATCCTCCAACCTTCTGCTACCCCAACGTCGTCTTCCGCGGTCGCCGTCTTAACACCCGCAAAAAATGTCGCTGCAATCGTCGAAACACGACCTCTAGATACTCTAGTCCCACTCTTCCTCCACTTCTCAACTGTCCTCGGCCCAGAATGGCCAATTCATATTTTCACGACCCAAACCACCATTCCCGCTTCCATTCCTCTCAAACGCGCGATAGCGTCAAAACATATTATATTCCGATATTTACCGCCAAACACACAATTCAAAGACCACAAAGATGTCTCACTGTTTCTTACAGAACCGTGGCTCTGGGAAGCTCTAGCACCTGCTGAACGTATCCTCTTTTTCCAGGCCGATTCTATCCTCTGTGCAAACGCACCCATGCGAGTGGACGACTTCCTGGAGTATGATTTTGTGGGGGCGCCTATCGATCCGAATTTACCAGCAGGTGACGAGGGCATGAATGGAGGGTTATCACTGCGCAACCGGCAGATGACGCTCGACATTATTGACTCCTCTTCGTGGATCGACGAGTTGACCAACGCGACAGTTTATGATCCCAAGCTGGCATATGAGGATCAGTGGTTTTACCACAAGATGAAGGCTATAGGTGCCAAGCTGCCGGATGTAGAGACTGCGAATAAGTTTTCTGTCGAGACGATGTGGTATGATACTCCTGTTGGGTTTCATAAGATCGCGGGGTGGAATATGGACCGTGTCAAAGAGATTGATCAGTACTGCCCAGAACACAGACTAGCTACTAATTTACCGATTCCTGAGATCGTGAATTGAGGCGATCATCAGTTGAAGCTTGGATTCTCTAGCTATTGGTACTGAATTTGTACGGTGCATTCCCCTCTATGGGTTTACTGTCATGTTCAAATCCAAGAATCGAGCGACCTTTTCCACTACCCTATAGCTACCTCGATATAAATTGACTCTGTGGCGTGGGACATATCATGGTTACCTACGAGCGCTAGGCGGGTATTGTGGTGCACCTATCGGCAGCTTGGTACCAATTGTTGATTTATGGGTCAGGAGTATAAACTGTGCTCTGTGTTGGGAAAAGTGTACAATATTAGATTATTCTAACCAATCATCTCGTTTGCGAACATAAGATCGGTAAGTGAGTGGCCATATGCAGTATCTTGAAGTGAACGTCTTGTGCTGTCACTTCCACTGAATTTTAAGATTGAGGATATGTAACCAAGCTCTGATTAGTTTCCTTTGAGTCAAGCACGGCATATACAAGCTTATTTTGAAAATTATTCTCTATCTTGAGCGATCATTGGGATTTTCTGTTCCAGAAAGAGGCAATAAACCCCCCACGGTTATCAGTCAGAGCAAGTCACAAGGGAAGAGCCGCTAGGGACTATATAGCGCAACCATCCTGGCGGAATACGCCACGTCACTTACGAAACGCTACATTTTTCATATTGCCATGCCAATTCTCACCCTTCAATATAGTGAAATAACGCTTGACCGCTAAACTCCATGACCGCTTGCATGTACTACCGCACCTTTGCCGCTTTTACATCTGGCATCCGGTAGCAAGTCGACCAATCAGAGCAGTCATCATGCAACCATATATTGTGTCGTGCGACAGTACTTGAGGCTCATTTATATACATATCTGTCAGCACTGGAGGACTGAGTTAGGCAACTACTGAGGCAAATCAATAACATGATGTTTCCCCACGACTGGGTGGAAGGGAACCAACGGCGCTTCAGGCCGCTGCGGCCCAACCCGCACATGTGCCTTTTCGGTGAAGATATGGGTGGTGTATGGATTTGGGTAGATATGCTGCTGAAGTTCTGCTAAAAATGACTTGTGAAGTTTCTCGATCGTCACAAACTCTACACCTATGCAAGCTCTTCCCCTTGGGGTAAACATACATCAACACCGAGTAGCCGAACCCAGAACCGGCAATCATGTGTAGACGAGACTCCCTGCAGATGAGCAGCTCCATCTGCAAAGAAATCGCCCAAGGCAAAGAGATGCACACCTGGGTACTACTCACCTACAACCTCTGCGAACGTGCCCGGATAGAGGCTCCTTGCGACGATGTCCAGGAGGCGGAAGGTCAGACATATCTAGACCGTGCGACTCCTCGAATGGTGCCGTGTCAGGTGTGTGACCTCATCGACAAAGCCGTGGCCGAGTATCAGCGTAAAGTAGAGGCGGCGAAAGACCACTGGGACGCAAGATATGTAAGTTCAAGTCGTCTTTGGATTTTGACCCGAACCTCGCTAACGATTTGTAGATCGGTCCACCTCAAACCAGTGGAAGAGGCAGAGATTCTGGCGAGCGCTCGTCTGGCAGAAAGCGAGAAGAAAGATACCGAGATGATAGACGTCGACGAGGATAGTTATAGCAGATGCACCACAAGAGAATTGCCCCATGCCAAGGTTAGGAAGATGCTATGCCACGGTTAATGCCGGAGAAGTTCAATAGAAAAGGTCGACTGGTCTTCCGGGATTTGACTTTAAATCGACGGAACCCTGATTCAGTTGTGTTGGTGATGTACTTTCTGGAATTTAGCTCTTGGTCTCTCTATTGCGATGCATCGATGAATTGTATTACAATATTATCTTCCTCCCCTTGCTCATTTCACTCGCTTTTGTTGAACAACTTTTGGATGACTTGATGACACAATCTTGGCTACTCAAAGGGCTATGAGGGCGCTGGAGAATCTTTTTTAAGTTCGGCGCACGCACAAAATGAACCCAGTGCTGGATTTCGGCGGGAAGTAGTTTTTAAATGTTCTTGCAAGTTAATTTCATATTTTATTATTTCAAAACACATCAAAAGACCCACTACTTTTGACCTTGTCTGTGTGATCAACTAGAAGGAAAATGGCACTGTAAATTCCATCCAGAGTAGAGAGAGTTTCCTCAGGCCATAACGCCGTAACTCCTAGCTCAGTACTAGAGAAATTCCCTCATGTGTTCAAGTGCAGAGCAGACATCAGAAACACTTTCATACTCTCCAGCCCAACAAGATTGAATAATATGCCGTACATCCGGGTCAGAAACTTCTTGGATGGGGAACTCGCCCGCCAAAAACTTCTGACGAACTATTAAGCTCGATGCTAAAGGGAAGGGGGGTCGACTGGTGTATATCTCGAAAAAGACCGAACCAAGAGCAAATATTTCGGTCTTAATAGTGGGCTGCTGACCAGAATATGTCGGATGTTGGCTGCGGACCTCATATGAGATCCAAGCATCTAGGCCACGCAATTTTGATCCAGCAAAGTCGCAAAGTTTGATGTGCCCATTTGAATCGACTAAAAAGTTCTGGCATCCTAGATCTCCATGGATTACATCGTGGCTATGGATGAACTTGACAGCCGCACTGCACTCCTGTACCCATTGTAGTGCCAGAGGTGGTTGAGAAGGTGGTAAAATTCCTGCAAGTCGCTGGCGTAAAGTTGACTCAAGCCGTTCTAGGACCAGACCAGATGTCCACTGGTACTTGAAAGTAACTACTAGCTTAGAAGTCTCTCTACTCTGAAGGATTTCGAAAATTTCCTTTTCTCGTTTCAGGTCCATTTTGCCGTAAGTATCTTCCGAGAAGATCTTTATGACTTTGGACTGATCGATTGCGAACACTGTTCCCGAGCCGCCGTGCCCAATGGATTTTGCCTTCACGATTGAGAATGTGAGTTCCCAATCTTCCGTCCTTGGAGGCACTTTTCGCAAAGGTGACCATGTCCGAATTGAATTAGTCTGCTCAAAGCGATGTTAGCATTCTACCATGGTGTAAGAAAGTAAATCCCGTTAATTCAATGGCGGTGCTCACCCGAGAGTCTGTTACTGCGGGCTTCATTCTCAGTTCTTGCAGGCTAATTGCACACCATGGATGATCTCAATTGGTGTCTGCCAGGAGTAGGTGGAGTCGCGAAATTTGGAAGTCTGCAACTGAGAGGTGTGACCGAAGAAAGCTCCGCGATGGCCCTCCAGATAATACAGTGTATGATAATCAGCATTGTCTGTCATGACGCCTTGAGACAATCGTAAGAGTAAGCAAACGAGACCTGAGCAGAATCTCAGCCGCAAGATAAAGCTATTCCTGCCACGTCGGGCGTCACTCCCACGAAAAAAGAGTATGCTGCTTTTACGCACTTACAATATGCAGTAAGCCTCAAACGCGGAATGTGGACTTAGCAAACGAGCCAGTAATACTGAGAAGGGGAGACACCTTCATGCGGGTGTGAGACGAAGTGCGTGGGGTGAGCCACACCAATAATCTAGATCTGACATAGAAGACAAAGCCTCGTCCATTGGACTGCAACTAATTGAAAATATGGTAAAAATTCACCAGCGTCCAGCGCTCAGAAGTAAGTCAAAGGAAAACAAAACCAAAGAAGAAACAGAACTGACCGAAAAGCTTCAGAAAGGGGTAAAATGAGGTTTTGCGCTAGCAAAGCACCTTGAAACAGTGTATCAGCAGTGTATAAGCAATGGATAAGCAATGAAACTTGAACCAGGTAGAATTTCAGGTGTGGGATCCCAATAAGAGAAGAAGAGTCGATCGCTACCTTGCGAATGCTGGCATCAGGGGCCTTTTTCAGCTCGTACCTCGATTGATTTGATCTAGCTTTCAAGAGAGTTTGCTAAAACTATTGGGCTGATAGCAGGCTTGGGTTTGGATAAACAAGCTGAAAATCAAGACGAAGACTGAAACCATTGGTGAGGATTAAGACTGTTGAAACAAGGTTTGGTAGAAGGTATTGCAGCGGCTAAAGTACGGTAACACTCCTGTAAACGTGAATTGCACAGTGTTTATTGGATTATAATAGCTGCATGCTGCATGCTGTATCGCTACTTCATTGTCTCGTAAGACCTACCATGACTCGTCGATCTTCTCTCTCAAGTAAAACTCATGGCGGCTCAGGCATTAGGCAGTGTGGAAGCCGGCATATGGATGATATGGTGTCGCTCGATACTGAAGACAGAGTCGTGCAAGTAATGCTTGACCGCTTCTTCCGAAGCATATAATTCGTCCGAAGCTCGTTTGTGGCGGCTCAGGTGTTGGGAGTGGCGTCTTGGATGTCCATCTGGTTTAGCTTTTCTTCCAGTTTTGTGGACGCTTCTCCGTTTGTGCCATTATCTTCGCCAACTTCCATGTCCTCATCAGCACCCTCATTCGCAGCACCTCCAGCAGTCTCTCCACTGACCCCTTCTTCCAATTCGTCGCCACCCTCTCTTAATACCCATTCCACGACATCCTTCTTGTCATTCAACTCGGCCTCATAAATCGGGTCATGACCTCTCTGATTGGTGATTGTAGGATCTGCTCCTTGATCCAAAAGTACTTTGACAGACCCTAGATGACCATTCAAAGCAGCCCAATGCAATGCTGTATTGCCAGCTTTGTTTTGTGCGTTGAGAATGGCTAGCATCGCGGGGTTCTGTGGAGAGGGGTTCGAGAGAGCTTTGCAGATCTGTTCTAAGAGACCTGGATATCTCAAGTTAGCAGTGGCTCAAGGCATGGCAGGAACAGTCCAGATAGACAATGGAAATAGCGCGTACCTTCGAATCCATTGGCTGCAGCCATATGCAAAACTCCATTTCCACTCTGCTCATCGCGCGCTGCTTCCAGCAACTCGACCAGGGTAATATTTTCCCTTTTGCAGAGCTCTTCATTTGCAGTGTTAAATTCTTCCTTGTCCCCCGTACGGGCAAAGTACAACATATCGTCGATCTCGTCTTCGGAGAGGTTGGTAGGCATGTTTTGGGCGTTGGTGATTTGGGATTTAACTTTCCAGAATTTTCAAGAAACCTGATAACTCGCGATCACGTGGCTACCCCTCCAAAAATAAATGACCCCTCTTTCCTTTTTGGGATAAGCCAAACTCCAGACTACAACCTTCCATTCTCGATCGACAGTAATCCAACAGTCTTTATTGGACATGGTAAAATTGACTAAGATGTTTTGAGTGTATAGGAAGTTATAAAAGAGCAAAAGCGACGAAGTGTGTTCCTCCACTGTTTACGGAGTACAAACAAATTCCGAAGATTCCATCTCCGTTTCGAGTTGAAGCTGATCGTTCACGAGAATACAGCCCGACACCATAACAGGAAACATCTTCATCCAGCTGGTTCATCTATACTATGACCATGTCTGTTACTTCAGAGTCTTGGACTTCAACAATACCAGGTGCAAAAGGACGAAGTCTAACACTACTCCCATTGCCCGTAATGCAGGCACTCAAAGAAGGCGACCTGGACTCCGCTCAAGAACTTTTTCCACTCAAACTACCGTCGATTCTCATCTCTGACTTATGTCGAAGCACATGGAAGAGACGCTACGCCGAGATTGAACTTAATGCCAACGACGAGCCTTGGCTTACTCGACTGGTTGTTGATACGGATACACAAACAATCGTTGGGCGAGCGGGGTTCATTAGTCCACCTGATGAGGCTGGCATGGTTGAAGTTGGCTATGCTATTGACCCTTTGCATCGCCGAAAGGGCCACGCAAGAGCAGCGTTGGAGATACTGCTTGAGACTGCAGATGCCATCCAGATGTCAAGATTGTTCGAGCCACCATTCGACCTGACAACTTACCATCAAGGGCACTGGTCGATCAGTATGGATTTCAGGAGATTGGTGAAAAGCGGGATGAAGAGCATGGTGTACTTACAATCTTTGAGTCTAATATTTCTTAAATGGTTAATAAGGTGCTCAAAGGTAAAAGGATGATAATGAAGTAGTCCTATGATCAATATCTCACGCTATAAATGGAATTGCACAAAACACAGTACTGATCGCTGAAGTAGCGTACACGCCTACTAGTTACTGTATTTTTAGTGGTCATTCCCCTGTATGCTTAGTGGTTTTGCAGGGATACACGTCCAGCCTCTTCGTGATTCTGGCATCCTCTGCAAATGCACAGCAGCTTATCTCCTTACAATCGCTATGAATAAGGAACCAGCCTTCAAACTCCTCCCAGCAGAGCGTAGTGACATACCCCGCCTCGCAGAAATCAACGTCACGGCCTGTCTCCCAGATATTGCATTTAGTCTCTACTTCCCAACACCTCAAGAATTGGAGAAAGCCGTGACCGATGCGCTCGAAGTCCAATTCGGCGACCCGACATGGCTTCACATCAAAGCAATTGATAAAGCCACAGGAGCCATAGGTGGATGGGCATCGTGGAATATACTCACTAACGAGCAGATCCAAGAGCGGGATGAACAAATCGCGAACGGATCTGATTTCGCGCCTGGACTCTCTGGGCATGTGGCGCGAGAGACAGATAAATTGTTGGGGAAACACAATGGGAAACAGAGTTATATTAGATGCAAAGCGTTATTTACAGATCCTTCGTTTCAGAAGCAGGGTATTGGAAAGGCGCTGGTCGATTATGGGAATGGAGTCGCGGATCGACAACACTTGCCGATCTTTTTGCGGGCGACGCCGTTTGGATTCCCACTTTATGTAAAAGGGGGGTTTGAGATGATTGATGAGCTACATATTGACTTGAGAGATTGGGCACCGGGTGGGAAAGAAAATGATAGGGGGTATGGAAATTATCGGTTTCGATTTATGAGAAGGACATCGAGGACTTTGCCAACGAGCATTTCGTAATCTATCAAAGGAGCATCACTTTTGCACTATGTTTCTGACTGTATTCGAACATTTGGCATTTAATTATCGACCCTTTCCATTGTTCGGTATTCGGTAATAATGTCTCGTTCCGTAATACTATCTTCATTGACAACATAAACTGGTGAAATAGTGTGAGGATCCACGACTTTCTGGTACTTTAAAGGGAATTGACTAAGAGTATCTTCACCGATAACGTGCATTTGCAGGTTGCCTTCTGTGCTTCTCCTCCCTGACAACGTTATCGACAGCAGCGTTGAACCGCTCTCTCACCTCTTTCATCTGCGCCTCTTCTAGAAATTTCAAATATTTTCCAACCTCAACTTGCGCCTTCAATCCTTCCACCCAGTTACATTCTGGTTTCCACTCCTTATCCAAAAGACTGAACAATTTCTTTAAGTGGTCCTTAATTCCCTTGAAGAGGTGTATGGAAGCACCAAGCATATCCGCGGGCTTCATTTGGACCTGGCCATCTGCTGCAGCACGAAGTACTTTCATATCATCGGCCATCAATTCAACATATATAGCATCATACACAGCAGAAAATACCTCTAGGGTGCGATACTTCGCCCCACGCGATGACAAAGGCCAGTCGATCAAGCAAATTCTTTTGTTGGTGGTAGAAATCTGATCGCCGGCATGTATCCTTTTGATAATACTATTGGAGTGTGAGTTGCAAGCCCGAAAGCCGGCATTTTGTTTATCTCCGGGAATATGCGCTGTAGACTCAAATATCTTGTTCAATTGCTGATATTCTTGAGCGCCAGGACAGTCACCGGTGTCCCAATAAGCTTCGAAGCGTGACGTCCTAGAGAATAGACCTTGGTATGGGTTCTCGGGTGTAGTTGTTTCAAAGACCCTGCTGAACATGATAATTGGAATGAAAGTAGCTGATATTGGTTCTTTCATAGAGCTCTCTTCTAGGGAGTAGGAGTGTTGATATGTAGCTTAAGTATGTTTGCAATAAGAGTTATTCAAGTGGAGTGTTTGAGTTCGGAGTAATACTTGCGAATACATACCCTTTTTACTTAATGTTGATATTGCGGGTGCTACCTCTCTCTCACTAGAAGTGAATCTTAGAATGAAATCCTAAGCTTTGTACCCAGGTGAATCGAACTGACTCGTCTACTTCATCATTTGTCATCTTTTGTTTTATAAAAACATGTCATAACCAAAACACACTTGGGTCAAATTCGGAAAACGTAGGACAATTTTCTTAACACCAAAAGGAGTCAGAATCTCGAATTTGCTGTCTCAAACTCAATAGTAGTAGAATAGAAAACAAAATATTGAAAGGAAAAATTGCTAAAGAGCAAAAACATATAATAACAGCAGGTATGTGAGGGGAGGTAACTTCAATCGGACTAGCGCAAATACTTAGTGTGAGTCCCACTAGAAAACTCCCATCCCATCCCATCCCATCTTCCCCCTCTCACTTGCAACTTGCAGACCTAGATTACTAAAATCTTTCACCAAATACAAAACGCACGTGTGTTCCATACATATATGCAGCACGTCAGTCAAGAACTCTCGCGTTTCATTATGTTATAAACTTTGTTAATTCTTTATCGCATAATAACTTAAACATAGCACATACTCGCAGTTTTCTTGTGCGTCGTCAACAGTTATCTCATAAATCAGATACTAATTTAGTTTTTGTGGAGTTTTCAACCGTGTGTGTTCACTTTGCCGAATGCGGAGGATAACAAACATGCAGCTACCAGATACCTCGTCCCGTCCCGTAAGTTTAAGACCTAGTAAGTAAACGCCTACTAGTTGACACAAATAAACAGGGCGTCGTACATGGATTCTTTTCCCGCCGTACGATCCATAGGATTTATACCTAGGAGTCGGTCGGTCGGTCGGTCGGTCGGTCGGTCGGTCGGTCGGACATGTTGTTTAAAGGTACGGGGTATGGAGTAAGCTGATTGCGTCTTGCGGGGTCATGCTCCGAGGCACAGGACAGGACGCCTACGCCGCACGCCAGCTTGAGCTATAGGCAAAATGCATCACAATATTGACTCGGAGTACCTGCGTGCCGGATATCCCAGTTAGCGTCTTGCGTCTCTCTAAAGACTGGTGCTAATTGGCAGGGGGATAGCTTCTTCTGGTCTTGGAGGTATTCTTTCCTCCCTATTGCTCTTCAACTCCGCATTGCTGCTCGTAGGGTCAAATAATTGTCAAGTTCAAGATACATTCAGAATATACGATTCACAAAACATGAATGAACTGAGCGAAGCCTTCGGTCCTCCTCTTTTAGAAGATCCTCCATCGCTATGGGAAACGTTCTCAGAAACCGTTCAGAAATATCCAGACTACTTAGCTATTGCTTCCGTCCATCAATCGCATGACCTATTCGGAATCCCAAGTCTACCTTTGGAAGAGGGCAATAGCCAGAGTCCCTACCTGCGATGGACGTACAAGAACTTGCTGCAGGGCGTTTCTCGTCTGACTGCTGGTCTGAAAGGTGCTGGTGTCAAGGCCGGGGTGCCTATATTTAGTTTCCAGGCAAATGGCGCTGAGTATCTGCTTTCACTGCAAGTCTCACAAGGCGTTTATTTTCAAGTACTGCAATTGCTAACATACAGCAATCAGATGGTCCGCAGCTGAGATGGGGTGTGTTTATGTGCCTATTAGCCCTCGAAACTTGACCAATAAAAGTGAGGTAACGCATATGATCAAGACAGCTCTAATGACAACCCCGGGTAAAACACCAGTGGTCATTGCCGGCGACTTTGATACCGCCGTGGCATTAGACGACCTGGGACTCTGGAGTAACGCAATCAAAATCATAGTCTCAGAGTCTAGCAATTTAGATGGCTGGACTCCTTTCAAGAAGTTCATGAATGACTCCGCCGTGAACGATTCAAAGGAGACTAGCTCTGAGTATGAGCACCAATCGGAAAATATTGCACAAGGTACTGTCTTGTTCACGAGCGGAACGACATCAATGCCAAAGGGTATTTTTGCCCAACAGAATAATCAGGCTTGGTTTGTCGAAGCGTGGGCGAAAAGTCGACCGCCAGATGGGGTTTTCGCTGGCTCAAGATTTTGTTGTGTGCTCCCGAACAATCATTCCTTTGCTCACTATATGGTTTTGTGTGCTCAATCTGTTGGTGCTGCAATTGTGTACCCCGCGCCCGGCTTTGATACCACTGCTATGCTGGAAACACTTTACCAAGAAAAGGTTACTCAGGTTAGTCCGCCAATTCATGTCATTGTGTAGGGCAGATTGATCCCTGCTAACATTTGTGACAGTATGTACTTACATTCCTTTCTTTTTGAGGCGGTGATTATTCATACTCGTGATGCAGTGGTTGGCATCAGAAACTAATTGCACACGTTGAACAGCACTGTCATTATACCCACAATAATCTACGCCCTCATCGCAGGCAAGGCAGCCTATGCCCCACGATTAGAACATCTAACGCAGGTCATTGTCGGCGGCGCAGTACTGTCCCCGGAATTTAGACGTTCATGCATTCAAGTGCTCGGGGCCAAAACCGTAGAGAACTGGTATGGTATGACGGAGGGGCTATTAGTTCGCCCAGGGAACCAAGGTGATCTGTCCACACTTGTCCATGGTAACGAAGTCTCTATTGGTTGGGTGATGCCAGGCTACACTTTACGGATTGCAGATCCGGAGACTAACGTGCCTGTTCCAAGGAACACCGAGGGCGAGCTTCAAGGCTCGAGTAATGTCATCACAAAGTACATTGGAGGTGCTGGTGCAGATAGTTACTACGTTGATAACGAGATGTTGTGGTTCAAGTCAGGAGACCAGGCTAGGATGGACAGCGAGGGTCGGATATTTATCACGGGGCGTTACAAGGAGATGTGAGCTACTGATACTGAGACTTAAGAGTCGGAGCACTAATCGAAACAGGATTATTCGTGCGGGTGCCAATATTTCTCCTGCCGCAATAGAGACAGTCATAGCAAAGGACCCTCGCTTCGCCGCTCTTCTTCCTCAGATTGTCGGCACGCCAGATACTGTCGCAGGGGAAGTCCCCATCGCCGTCGTGATAAAGAATGTATATTCAGATACCAAAGAGGCAATTCGAGACACAGTTCGGAGGGGCATGGGATTGGACTTCATTCCCGATGAGGTCATTTCTGTTCAAGATTTAGGTCTATCTGATTACCCGCGTACCATGGCTGGGAAAATCCAGAAGACAAAGCTAGCCGAGGCCGTCAAAGCCTACCGAGTGAGTAGAGATGAAGAATCTATCCTCTCCGACAGCTCAGAGCTAGCTACCGTCGTCAAAAATATATGGGCTAAAGCAGCAGGATTGGAATACTCTCGATTGCCCATGGACACGCCCGTCGGAGAATTTGCTGATAGTATTACGGCAATGAGAGTCCGAGATTTTATTCGGAAGCAAACAGGCAAGAATATGCCTATAGCAGATATGGCAAAAATAGATACCATCAATGGCCAAATTGAGTATCTTCAGAAGCAACCCTCTTTAACTTCCGAGGTAGTGGCTACGAAGCGTCCAATTCGACAAGGGCCACCGGGCGCTGATGACATGGTACATCTCACGGAAGATCCAGGACTATTTGAACCGACCAAGAGATTGATTACACAAACCGTCACACCTTATGGTTTTGATTGGGACGATGTTGAGGATGTCATGCCTGCTTATGACCTCTTTAGTATGTTGGCCGAGAGGGGGGTCATTGATAGTTGGAGCTACAAGTTTGGTATTCTGACAAATAAAGCCGATAAAAAAGTAAGTCTGGACAAAGGTTCGAGGCCAAGAGCTGTCCAAAAGCTGACTTGATTCAGGAGTTAAGGACCGCACTCGAGATGATGTTTGCCAACAACAGGATCCTAGCATCTTTCCTAGTCTGGGACAAAAAGTTATTAGGATCCGATATTGCACTCCACGTAGCAGTCCGCCAGAACAAGAAAATATTTGACCTCGTAATTCAAGACGGCGGGAGCGTAAAAACGGTAGGTGAGATTATGGCGTTGA